TGAAGTTGCATGCAGCGCATTTTCTGCTGTGTGTCACTTAATTGTCAGTAAGTCAGTCAGCCAACAAGGCGGTCCGTCAACTTGGTCAGTCATGCACTCAATCAGTGGCAGGACACTTCGTCCTGGCCAGGACACTGCCGCAACGCTGGTGCAGTTCACCCCCTGTGACTCCTACTAGTCCTGATGAAGTGCACTTTTCGCGGTTCCCCTCCAGGAAGTTGGACTTCCTAAGCGGAACCCTCGACATTATCCTTCCATGGGAATGCCAGGACTCGCGGGGTGGCAACAGCACCAGGACCAAAGTTTGTAATCAGCGATTGTGGCTGTAGTCCTTTGTGGTTTACGTTGGCAGCTCCTAATTGATGCAGTTAGTGGAGTGCTGTGACTGGAACCCTTTAATTGCTCCTATAGTTTTGAGTAGATTTCAGAAAGGATAAACACTTTGTTTAGGGAAGTGTTTAGTGGGAAATAAATTTCGGAGGTAAAAACTTTAAAAATAACTACGGTTTTAGAAGAGGTAATCAAACCAAGCTGTGATGTAAACCAGAAATGGCAAAATTCCATTTCTACAAAGTAACACAATATTGTCAATTAAAGTTAACGATCTTTTTATGCACACCCATTCAATTTTTACTGACTGTATAAGACCAAGCTATTGTAATCTATCTGTTTTTTATGCCATTACAAGACACCAATTCGATGATGCCCATCACTTGTTAATCATGCTTAATGCCCCAAAAAAACCAGACCGCACCTGCTGCCACACCCCCAGACCACCAATCCGCGGCTCTGGGCGATGCTTAGCTGGAATAAATCTACCATAAAGATGCCTGACATTATTCAAAATACCAAAACTACAGATTCCCCAAATGCCAGGCAGCTGAGAAGGAGGAGCTCAATCTGGAGGATGATGGGCAAAAAAGGCAATAAAACTTAATGCAGACGGGGGAGCCGCGGGATCGTGAAGGCACAAACGACTTCATTTTATCTTAATGTGCTAATAAATTTCCCGGAGACGAAATCTCCGCCAAAAACCAAATAAATTTACTAATACCAAAATTAACACACTCGAGACTTGAAGGGAAATGGAGCGCCAAGCAGTTGACTGAGTGGCATGCGTGGAATCGAAGAAATGCAATTAAGGCAGCCAAATCATCCAGAGAACCAGCCCGCATTCGGTCCTAAGTGTTTAAGTAGCTAAACGCCTGACAACTGGAGAAGTTATGGCCCGGCCTGCAGTTCCATGTTGGCGCGTGCTCCGCACCCACATCTTCTCCCCAAAAACGATTCTGTCATCGCCCATGGAAGGGAATGAGATGGCACGGGATGATCTTCATCTAACCGGAAAGAAATCGCCACTTGAGTTGGCGCTGACAATTCCACCCCGAAAGGAGGTTCGCTCCCCGAATGAATTGCCCTAAAAGGGTTCATGCCTCTAGCTCGTAAATTTGATAGAGCTCAAGTGGCCAACTGGCACCTGAGATTGGGATTCAAAGATCCCCAATTCATTTCGAATGGTTTTCGAAATTACCGAACTTTGATAACTTGAGTTTTATGATCGTTTGATGGAAAAACGTAATTAATATGACATTTATGACTCCAACAGCTGGAGAACTTCGACTTGAGGAATCCAGATTCCCTTCAGGATTAACGGTCAGTACTAGGCTATTTTTCATTTGCCTCCTTTCTGGTTTCTTGGGCTGGGCGCGCCTTTCAAGCAGTCGCCACCCCTAAGAAATGCAATCTCATATGCATTATTTTGCATGTCTGGCGATCTGAGAAACTCAAGCGTAAAGGTCAAAAGATCAATGTTGACAGAGCTGCAAGGGGACGGCGACCGGCCGTCGACCAGAGGGGTTGGACATTTTCGAAAGAATTTCTATAGTTTTTCCGGCGTTAATGCTCTGATTTACTTTTTGAAAAATTTATGCGGCATTTGCATTTGTCCATTGTCCAGTTCGCTGATTAGGCGTGAAGTTCGGGATTTGAATAAGAGTTTTCCTTGGGTTGACAATATGCACAAAATGCAGTAACATTTTCCTGTTTTGGCGGGAAAAGAAATTGTAGAAAGTATACCAACAAGAAGGAAAGACCAAATTCAACTCTTGGGTTAATAAATTATTTAAATAAATCAAGGAAAATATCTTCTAAAATTTCGGATGGTTAAAAAGTGTTTAGATAATGAGTACTTCGATTCTTGAAATCCTTTTTATAAAAGAACTCAAAACCCAAGTTACCAATGTCTTGTAAGATATCTTTTAAAGATAGCAAATATAATATTTTATTAAAAAATTCACGAATCCAAAGAACAAACATTTATATAAACTCCCAAGAATCTCTCAAACTTCTAGAACTCGAATAAAAAATAGGTCAATATCTCCTAATTAAGGTCACTTTCCTCCCGGCTCCCTGGACCATCAATTTCTTGCCAAACAAACAGCCTTACAACACGTTCCGCCTTATTATGACCATGCGAACAAAGACCAGTAAAAAATAGAACAAATCTTTACCACCCCAGCGGGGATACCGAGAAAAAATAACACTTAAAAAATTTGCAAACATGTTTTGCATACAGCCAACCGATCATCAAATATTCGCATGCAGGCCGGGTCGATGGCGCTGGGAAAAGAACGCAAATCTTAGGTAAATTTTCACCCAGAAGACAGACAAAGCCGAGAAAAGATCCGGAGTGCAACCACCGATCACGAACGCAAGAATATATCCAGCTGCTTGGGAGACCCACGTCACGATCTCGATCGGGACAGATCTTTTGTGCAGAACTGGAGCAAACAAATGCGAGTGCGAAAATCTACCCCATAATCCCAAAGAAAAACCCGAAATTAAGCTACGACGAACAATGGGGAAATGGGTAGGGAAATTCGTATATTTATTTGCGTATCGAAATGTGCAAATTTTGTTACTTTGAATAAATCATAAATCTTTTTTTGGGTAAAAGCAAATTTAAATTTCGGACATTGTTATTTGTGGAAATATTTCCAGAGGAAATATAGCAGCGGAAACAAATATTTACGCCATATACTACCAACATCACCTGTCCAAATCCAGTCCAAACACAATAATTGGTGTCATAAAAGTTAGTTAAATCATATTGGACGTCACTCAAAGCGGTGACATTACCGAATTAGAAAAGTTGTGGGGCGGCGACTCGCCATGGCGTGACGATTGCCACGGCCATTGTTTTGATGACACGCCAAATGGTTTCTGTTTCGAAGCCCATTTCACCTGTCACCCAAATGGACAGCTATCTACCTGCCACCCAATTACCTGCCCCCCACCCGCATCACGAGTGGGGCGTGTCCGGTGGCGCTAGCCATTTGCGGCCCATGTTCTGCGGTGCGTGGGGCAATAATCACAAATTTACAAGTCGTCATCGGTTTGGGTAAATGGCGACCGCGGAGTGTCACTAGATGTTGGTTTCTGATTGCCGCAATTATATGTAAATTAATTACGGGTTCAATTGCGCCAGTGTATGGCTCAATTCGAATGAGATACTGCACCCCACTCGCTCCCAAATGGCAAACTAGTTTTTGGCATGCAAATTGACAGGTCCAGACAACTCCAGACGCGACGTGGCAGAGCCTTTTTTGTAAGTGGCAGAGACAACTCAATGATGTCTGTAGATGCTACGCTCGATTGAGGATCCCCAGATACCCAGATCTGCACATGGAGCTGGCATGAAAGGCAGATTCAGATTCAGATCCAGACACAGATGCATATACAGATTCAGATTCGGTGGAAGATGCAGTTGCAGATACAGTTGCCAATGTGCAGCTGCCAGCAATCGAAGTGGCGCGATCATGTGCAAATGTTTTTGTGTACTTTTTTTTTGTTTTTTTGGAAGCACTTGACACGAAGAAATAATTCCATTGAGTTGGCAACTATGTCGGGAATCTCGAGCGAGACAAAATTAGACAAGAAGCGTGATTTACGGAACCCTTAAATCACATGACAACACCGCGGATCGGATCGAAACGGATCGAGAATCGAACAGCAAATGCGATGACAATGTCTGGGCAGCACATGTGAGCCCGTGGATGGGAATGGGAGTGGAAAGCCAAATGGAAATGGAAATGGGGCTGCCACTGGGAGGCGGACAATGATACTGTTACCGAGGCGATCAGACAAACTGATTTATGGCCCTGGAATCGAGAGACAGATCAGAAGCAGATCAAAGCAAACCAGGGTGTCTACAGAGCTTTATGGCCTGGTAATACTATATGCTTGTGCTAAGCACCGATCATCGATCACTGAACGTGTGACCACACTGGGGTATTTCCAGTCAATAAACAACTAAATTTTAGCTTGGTATTTTTTTGCTACTTAAGAATCGTAACGATTCAATCAGTCAGTCTTCCGGCTCACTGGTTTCGCCCAAAACAATCTTTGTTTACAACCAGCAGTTCACACCTCGTGTCTCTGGCCAAGAAAACTTGTTTTCAAGATGCTCCTATGAAAGCTTAAATCTGGCATCTAATTGAGCCAGAATTTAGATATAATAGCTCACACTATTCCCCCTCATTTGAATTATAAGCCTCTCCAGACAGAGTGTTAAAAATTATTACTTTCAAATCTCAGAAAGGAATCCCCTCGGGAACATCAAAATCATGTCAACAAATAACTCGAAAATAAATTTGCATTCATTAAGCTTCACGAGATGTTGGCTCTAACCAGTTCATTGATTTGTTTATTTCGTCACCGGGTTTTGGGAATATTTTTGGCAAAAAAACAAAATAAAAGAAACCGCAAAGCTAGATGGGGATTCTGGTGCCCTGTTGGCTTTTAGTCATCGTTGTAGAACAGGTTCCCCATTTGGGGAACGCATTTTGTTTAGATTGTTCTTGAATCCCATTAATATCGAGACGTTAAATGCCAGACCGCATCAGCGATCCCGGCCTAGTATAAAAGCGGATCCCAAAAGCCGGCTGAGAATCAGTTAAAACCGAAAGTTCTACGTTATTGGAAGTTGTTACTTTACTAAATAAGAATGCGCTCAGCAATTTTATTCGGCCTGGTGGCCTGCTTGGCTTTTAGCCTCGTCCTGGCAGCTGAAGATTCTCCCATCCAGTCGAATGATTTGTCCTCCATCGAGAAGGATATCGGCCAAGCTGTGGAGTCGGAGGTGCGAGCTAAGAGACAATTTGGCTTTGGCGGACCCTTTGGCGGCGGATTCGGACACAGGCGTCATTTCTACGGTGGTTATGGCGGATATGGTGGATACGGCGGATTCGGCGGTCCTTTCGGAGGTTTCGGCGGTGGTCCCTTCGGCGGCTTTGGAGGTCCTTTCGGAGGCTTTGGAGGAGGCCCATTTGGATTCTACGGCTAAATATTTTAATCTACCAATAAATGAAGACTGAATATGTAGACAGTGTGCGTTTTGTTTTTTCCATTTGGAAAGGTGTCCCAAATTATCTTCCCACTTGACCTCGTCTTTGAAAATGTGTGTGACGTAGGGGAATATTTTAAAAATAAATAACAGAAAATCTCCATTTATTTATTAGTGCGTTCGCCAGGTCTCGCTCCTGAGCTAGAGCCATGCTAATTATAAGTCCAGGAGGGTGTGTGTTTGTTTACGTTCCCTGAGCTGTCACGATCTGTTTGCTGTCTTTTGGGGCACTTTGCCTTGCAGCCTCGGCTGGGCATGTGTGGGAGTTTGCCGAGGTTTGCGGCAATTATCACGTACGAATGTCATAATTATCATTTAGATTTTATTAGCTGGACCCCTGACTCGGAGAGGGCTCCTGTTGTTTGGCTCTGCAGCAGCAACTGCGAGCTGTCCAAGAAAAATAAATAAGTAAATATTTAAACGCTGTCGGGCCGAACATACGGCTAAACTTGGCATAAATTATCTGTCATTTAGGAGACTTGGTTCTGGTAAAATGGCAGAAAGTACTGCTCCCGAAAATGGAAATGGCCGTCTTTTATATACTCTCTGGATCACCATCATTAGCGGTTTTTATGGCATACTTGCATTTCATAATCTTTCGCTACTGGGTACCATTATCTAACCTTTGGCAATTAAGCTAATTTTGTGCTGATACATTAAGTTTTTAAATCAGTGCTCTAGGCTTTGAAATTAAAGGCAATTAATAGATTGGCAAAAAATAAAACTGTTGGCGCGTGCTAAAATTTTTGGCAATCATTTCCCTGCCGCTCTTCTTCAAGCCCTGCAAAGTCGACTATAAATCAAGTTAACAATTAACCATTTAGCCGGTGGCTAGTCAAATTTGCAGCATATGCGCAGCAAAGATGCCACTGAGTCCTATTTACTGGCCACAGTGAAGCACTAATCCCGTTCTAATCAACCCAAAAACCCTCGGAAATGCATATTAATTTGCGGAAAGGAACACCGATGTCGAGGGTTATCGCGGGTTCGAGGGGTTCAGTGTGGGCAAACACCGAACGCCCAGCTCGGTGACTTAGCCCCAAACATAGAACGCCCTTGATTGGAGAGGGAGCGGGTGGTGCTGTCATTGTTTAATTGTCAATAGACATCGGCTTCTATCAATATCACAAAAGCTAATAACTCTCGGTTGGCTGGACGAGCCGAGCAACTGACAACAAAACCTCAACGGCCATCCCCCGTTCTAATCCCACCGGATATGCTCAATCAAAGCTCAAAGTGTGCGTGCCGGGGAGGAGCTGGGGTGTGGGAGCTAGTGGGAGGTGTGAGGGTCCAACCTCAACCTGTCTGGCGGGGGTTGCTCGCCGCCCGCTGGAAATCATCGCATTTCATTCATCACTTTTCGCCTTTTCAACGCAAGCAACCCTCCACGGATCCGAGCAGGACTTGGACATGCTTCCCCCTTCCAGATGGCTGGCATGTTTTGATATTAAAATTGCGTAATTATAATTAACCACATGTGTGTGTGTGTGCATACATGTATGGGGGGAAGCGGTTTAGCATGTCCTTTGACTGCTTCCGTTCGTCGGTTAAAGTTACTTCCTCCCGTTTGTGTCACGTGTGTAACTTTTGTAAGCGATCCGAGTCCGGGGCCGTGTCGGTGTCGGTGTTCCAGCCCCAGGGGCATAATCCATAACTTAGCCGACAATTGATACAACTTCCAAGCCGAGTCACCTGGTCATTAAAAAAGGAAATTTTTAATTAAGACTGGACATCCTTGGGGTTTATTTAATTAAACAAAAAAGAGGATAATTCTTGACTCTCTGGTTAAAGAGAGTTTCTAATTGGGTATCCAAAGGTATGTATTTATTTTTCAGATTAGTATATTTTATGTAAAGTAGAAACGTCATAAGTAAAGACTTGAAATAGCTTACCACCTTATAAATATTTATGAAATTAGTAATTCAAAAGTTTTGAACCTAAAAATACCTTTGGGTTTTTCTTACTTTACGTCACTGAAGTTTGAAGAAGCGTTTTAAAAACAAAATCAAAAAAACAAAAACTGAAAATTGGGAACTAAGCTTGTATTAGTATGTGATCATTTTTGTAGAACCAGTTTCCCATTTTGGCAACGCATTGTGTTTAGACAGTTCTTGAATCACATTATAATCGAACCGTTAAACGCTTGGTCTCGACTTTGTATAAAAGCCCCGGCCAAGAACTAGCTTAGTATCAGTTTAAACTCAAAGTCAACCTTATTGGAAGTCATCGTTAGTCAACTTATTAAAAATGCGATCTGCTATTCTTTTTGGCCTGATTGCCTGCCTAGCTGTCAGCCTGGTTATGGCACTTGAGGATTCCCCACGGCAGTCCAATGATTTGTCCTCCTTGGAGCAGGAAATCGGCCAGGCGGTTCACTCTCAGGAGCGCTCTAAGCGACAGATTGGCTTCGGATACGGTGCTCCCTTCTACGGAGGCAGGCCCTTCTACGGCGGTGGCTTCGGAGGTCCTTATGGTGGATACGGCGGATACAGAGGCGGATATGGAGGATATGGAGGCTATGGCGGTTACGGTGGATTCAGACGTCATCATCATGGTGGATTCTACGGTTAAGAAATTAATGACAAAAGACCCTGCTACTAATAAACGACAAACTTAGATGAACCTGGTATTACACTTGTATTTTTTGGCCACAAAAATTCTTACAGTGAGAAAAATAGTCCTCCTTCATTCCATTCCCATGCCAAGTCGAACTCTTTCTTTTCCTCAACTGCACATCCATCAACTAATGCGTTTGGCCCACAAATTTCCTAATTGTAATTAAGCATGGGAATCCACAGAAGATGGGAAACCAAATCCGAAACCGAATAGACCAAATAATGTGGCTAATAAAATTACAGTGGGCCTTGAATGCCTTCTGTGGAGCCCAACTGGTAAAGGATGAGTGTAAGATGGACCCAGTGTGGTAATAGGAAAAGGAGTAGGAGTAACAGTCCAGGGCGCAGACATTCCATATACCATACACCATGCCATAGAGATACCAGACACAGACAGAGCCACAGATGAGAATGGCCTGGCACTGGGGGATTACAAACGTGTTGCCATTAGTTAACTTCAGCTTTGATTGATTTCAATTAATCTTGGACGCGTGTAATTAATCATTGAACACTTTAATATGGTTAACAACTCTTGACCAAGCAACGGTTAAAAAGGTTCAACGAGCCATCGCCCGGCAAACGAATGAGCCCAGTCGAGGCAACTGACAAAGTGCCTAACTGACTAACTGGCAGACTGACTGACCACAAGTTGGAATGGAATGGAGGTACCCAGCTCCCCCGCCCTTTGAGGCATGGGTTGCCGGGGCAGCCGCCTCCAAGAAAAATGGCCAAGTTTGGAAAATGCGTTGGAGTAATAGCCGGTAACAAACAGGCATGGATTTCCATAGCCCAGTCCCAGAGGCAAGATTCGGATTCAACCACAGGCTCTGGGCCCCCAACTAATTGTACTTGGATTTCGCGCCACTCAAGAAAGCTTTGTGGTCTTGGCAACGTGAAAAGCGGTCGCGATTGATGGCTATCAATGCCGATGACTTATGGCCAGAGTCTCAGAGCAAGACAAGCCGGCGGACCTGGCAAATCCATCCATCTATGCGGCACATTTGACTGCAGCTCACTTTGATTATCTGGCTGGCTTCCCTCGGCTCCATTACCCTGGGCAATTGCTGGTCTCTGGTTTTGGCTATTGATTTTCCCAGGCCGCAACAAATAGCCCTGGGTCGGCAAAAATCGGTGGGTAAGCGATCCGAACCGATCCAATCCGATTGATGTAAGGTGTCATTAGGCGAGTTCTTTAAATAGAGCTATCTCGAAGGCACCCATCGAAAACCAATTGAACGAATTTCACACATGGGCGCTAATGAATTTAATGAAGTCATTTTTCTTTAACCGATTTACAAAACTACTTACAACTTCTGGACTGGCTGGGGCTGGGCCAGAGTCCGTCAGTCGGATGGTCAGAACAAGCGAGTTCATAATTTTGCACCATTAATCACGGCCTAACAAAGAGATCTCTCTCGGAGCAGATCGCGGGATTGACAGCCACCAAAGGGGGAAAGTAATTTGGGCTGCGGAGTTGGCTGATTGGCTGCTGGGAAATTAAAAAACAATTGTTAATTATTAAATTTTAAATTTTTACATTTGGCCGCAAATGATGCCCATTTCATCGGGGGCTATTTTGGGAGCTGTTAGCTGTTGGCTGTTAGCTTCAGATCCAAAACCAAATCATCGTGCCGCTGCTCGACACCTCGCTGATGAGATCATTCATCAAAACTTAAACCGAGTAAAATGAGTTGCCATTGTTGGGAAGCTGCAGTTCGTACAAAAAGAATTTTGGAGTGGCTGAAGAGTCTCCTTTTTTTGTATGAGGTGTTTCTGGAGTTCACTGGAGTTTGACTGCTCAATTATGATTTTGATGGGGTCGGCAGAAGCAGACATTTCGTGGGGTGCCACATGATGCCACGAGAAAGTGAGAACTTGCGTTTTTGAAATCATAACACGAAATAGAGAAAGTTCTGCACTACTTTATGATGGAAACATAGCCTTAAAATAATTTTGAAATTTATTTAAACCCCATATTTCCATTTCATCTTTTCCAGTTTTCCTTACATCATTTTTCTAGCTTTTCTAAATCCTATACTTTTATTGTTCCTTGCTGACCTAATAGAAAATTGTGTTTTTCTTTCGGCTGACCAAGACACATGAAATGCGATCACGACCGCAAAATGCTGCGCTTCATTAAAATCGGATTAATGTGCAGCTATCAGGAGTCCGGCCAAAGGACCCAGCTGACCAGTGTCCGATTCCCACGCTGAAGGGACAACCGAAAATCCTCGAGCCATGCATATGCAAAAACGTAAGACGCCAGAGTCGGAATTAAAATGGAAATGCGTATAAAATCGACCCAAAAGCAACCCCAAAACCACGGAGATATCTTGAAGGAATCCAGGTAATCGGGGTGGACAAGCGGAACCCTTTTGGGCAATGCCATAAAATTGTGTAAAATTTTAAGAAAATCAAGCTGAAAATTTCCAAGAGACAATAACTGGACAATGTCCAGTGATCTTATTCCTTGGGGGTTGCTGCTGCTGCTGCTGCTGGCTGGGCAGCGATCGGAAAGGTCAGCGTCTGCTGGACACTCGAACTCGAGTTCAAACTGCTACCTGGGATGCTGCCGGGCGCTGCCTCGTCCTGGAGGACATCTCTGGCATCTGGTCCAGTGATCTTCATTGTTGTTAACGCCGCGCCTCTGACCTCTGGCTGTCTCACGCAATTAGGGAAACTTTCTGGGGTCAAAAATATGTACATTTCCCATTTGAATATTTTGCATTAATCTTTGCATACAGTTGGCCGACTTTGTTGTTGTTGTCTTTTGCCAGGGCCGCCTCCCTTGGACTGATTTGAATAAGTGCTAATGATTTGTGACATGTTCAGTTCACTGCAGCACTAGGAGCCCCAGCACAAGGCTCTCTGGGCGAATGTTTAATTCATGGCTTCGGCTGCGACGGACACATAAATAAGGCGGTCTCCAGACTGCCCAGTAGTAGCTCGAACTAAGAATTAAAAGGGGGAGGCTAGCTCGTAATTACACACATGTATATACAACACATAAGAGCGGGGGCTGACCTTTTGACATGCGCTCTCGAAATACATATCGAGGGGAGCACAAACATATGGGCCCTGCCACTTTCCCCACCGCTCTATTTGCTTGAGTAGAACATATACTTACTACATATGAAGGGTATGTGGTACATACTGCTTTCTGGGGCCAAACGAACCCTAAACTGATTTGTGGCTTGCATGTCAGGGAGTAGTCTTTGAATCGTTTTTGGCTCAAATGCCATTCCAAATGAACAAATAAAAGATAAAATAATTGCTGTGGTTTTAATTGGTTCAATGGAAGGCACATGTTATGTATTTTTAGGAGTAGTGGTTGTGTAACTATTGGGATTATCCTTCCTTTAAATCCTATCCTTTCAATAGTAAAATATAATATATAGGAAGCTTGTATCTTGAAAGCCATTACTACTATCCTGAAACCACTATTGATATCAATATCAGTAATCAATGGTATAAATAAATATTTATGTTTATTTAATATGAGAAATACCTTGGTGTTAATTTGCCAAATGAAAAACATTCCCTCTCTAAATGTATCCACATTTTCTGTCAAATTTTTTGCAATGCATTCGTCAACCAGAGATGAGTTTTCATCAAGCATATTGGGTTGACAAAGTTGTTAACAGCGGAAACTTTTTATTTTGATTTTTTTTTTTTTTCGTTCCTGTGTCTGGGACATTTTATATTTGTGTACGCGACTCTGGCCAAAAGCATACATTTCCAGCATTTTCCAGCCACAACCACAGGGCTCCACTTTCACAATGAATCATCCGACTAAAAACAACATCCAAAGCGAACTTTTTCTGCACTCCAACTAAAGGCTGGGTGCAGAGTGGGGTGCCAAGTGGGCTGGGAAATGGCAGAAAGTGGGTGCTGGGTGGTGGGAGGTAGGGTGGTAGGGCGGGCGCGTGTTCGTCAGTTCAACCATCATGACATGGCCCGGTCCATTGCGGTCCTGGTCTCTGGCATTTTAGCACTTATTCATAAAGTCCTTGCGAGCAGCGGAAGACAAAAGGCAAAAAACCCGAGAGAAGAAGAATTACTAAAAATTTATCAATGTAAAAGTTTAACGGGTGGGGAGTGGGTGGTGGGTGGCTGGTGGCAGGAAACAAGCAACAATGTAAATTATATGCCAGTTGGTTTGCAATTTTAGAGGGAGGCCCGAGGGGGTGCCATCTGCGAGTGGCTGCCAAGCAGCTTTCCCTTTGTCTGGTAGAATAGGAGCATCGCAGATACAGATACATTTACAGAAACATACATCTCTGAGGAACATAAAAAAGTCCTTGGAATCGGGTGCAGTTTGCATTCGCGCTCGAGTGCATCTGTGCATCCACATGTGGCAAGCCGGGCTACAAAGCACAAAATGTTATGTAAGGATTTAAGTTTATGTTTGAAAGCATTTAGAGAAAAATTTAGAAATTTAAAATACTAAAAAAAACTTTAAAAACCCTGCCTTAACTCCAAGATTTATTAGACTAAGGACTTGAAAATATTTTCTAACTTGTGTATATAAAAACAATATATCAGCCTTAAGGCTGTAAAATATTCGAATGAAACATTCAACTTTTGTGACTATCTCCACTAGTACAGCCAATGCCTATACCCCCATTCGCATGAGCCCACTTCCCAGTTTTTCATTTCCCACCTACGCCCAGGACCACCCATTTTCAATGAACTGTCCAAAGCAGAAAAAGAGCAGAGCTGAAGGAAAAAAAAAGGCCAAAATGTAGGGGGATAGGTGGATAGGGGGGCCTTTGTGGCAGCGAGTGCAAAAAGGCGCTCAAATGGGGTTGTCAGTATTTAACCCACCGGGGTTGGAGGTGCTGGCCGACTGCGCGAACTCCGCAATGTAACGAGTGCCGGGGGGTTCTGCTCCGTGTGGTGGTGGGGGGTGGATGGGGGAACTCCCCTAACATACGAGGCCTTAACAAGAGGTGCCGAGAACCTCGGGATTAGGTTCACAGGCAGAGCAAAGGAGAAAAGCCAGCGACGTTGTCAGGATGCTGGGGAGATCATCGCCGGAGACCCCCAGGTCCCCAGTCCCGCCATTTAACGTATGCGGCGCGAAAGAGAGGGGCATCCAATTGAATTAGACCCGAGTGGGGCTGCCAGAGAGAGACATCTAGCGGTGTTAATAAAAAGCAAACACACACTTTTTCTCCTTTTTTCCGTTTTTATGGGGAGCTACAAAAAAAAAGCAGCAAAAGACAAAAAAATACGCCAACAAAATTCCGATACAGTTAATGATAAGGCATGGAGGCACGAAAGAGAGGCAGCTAGCAAGTCAGAGCGAGAAGGACGATGGGGGCGTCACCCAAGTCTCCAAAAGAGAGTGAGCGAACGAGCCAAACTTGACGAAACTCGGCGAGAGAGTGCGAACGAGTCCGATTGGAGTGGGTGAGTGGAAATGGAATCGGAATTGGAAGCCACCCTGGCGCATATCGTTCATCATCCAATTGTACGTTTGCACTTCGCTCTGGCCTTCGCCACCTTCCCACCCCTTTGGACCGCCGCCAGAGGGCGCCAGTCGCAGCAGCTACGGCAGGGCAGGGAAGGGGTCAAAGGAGGTTGGCCACAATTTGGCCCTTTGGACTGGACCTGCAACTTTTGCTACTCCGACGCAGCCTGCGACACTTTTCCAATATTTTCCAATTTTTCCCACTCGCCATGGTGCCCTGAAAAATGAAGTGTCGACACCATTGCGTGGCTTAAAGCTCTTTCATCTCTTTTGTTTCCTTTTAAATTCTCGCTTTTAGCCATTTGGGTTGCGTGCAAATAGCCAGGCCATAAAATGCAAATACTAATTGAATGCTTAGCCGAGAAATAACAGTCAGCAAATGGACATTTCGAGTCGCGCGAGGTGTCCACGTTAAGAATGAATTCAATTAAGGTTATGATTTCATGTTTTGGCACTTCCAGAAGTGCTCCGGCCCCTCTCCCTGGGAGCCAAGTAAGAGCCAGTGCCTGATCCAATTAGCCAAGAAATAATATTATAATTATATTACGACAGTCAGTGGGCTTCGGTCGCTGGCGGCTTGGAAACTTTTATTTAGGGGCAGGCCGCGTATATTGAGCGTTAATAATACGGGCGATATGATGGGTATCTGGTTTCTGTTACGTCCGATCCAGGTCAGACCAAGGTTGCAGGTATTTTCATAAAAATATATATTAGTTTTAATCTTTTCAGCAGTATTGATTAAATATTCATTGGATTACTTGGACTTGTCAACCACTTTTAATGATGTTTTTTATTAAAAAGAATTAAAATTGAAGTAAATCAACCTTAACGATAGTAAGATATTGGCCAAACTATCATAAAAAATGTCATAAAAATAGACTTGAATAAGTATTTAATTTTATAGCATATACTCTGTGCATTTCTTGTCCTATATAATCACCAAATCATTCCATATCTTCCATTCTTTGGCCAGTAACCAATGGAAAGTCCGCTTTAAAGCAAACATTTGGCCAAGAACGGCCATTATCGGGAGATAAGAGGAGCTGTGTTAAAGACGCGTTGGTGAAAAGCCCCCCAAAAGGCAAATTAGAACGCACTTTAAGGCCGCCAACCAACCAGCGAAGAACTCCTCCGGCCGGCACAGAAGAGGTAAACAAAAAAGGCAGTTCTTTGGGGTGGAGACTCGCTTAAAGACCTAGTAGAACCCAAGAGCCAAAAATAAAAGCAGCGATAAGAACCTTAACGGTAAAGTATCTGGCAGATGCGAGCTAATAAGCCGAGAGCAAACGGGTTCTAGCTGGCCGAGGCAAGTCCAATAAGAAGAGTGAGTAGATCTCTGAGCGCTTTCAACTGAACGAAGCGGCCCAGAGAGTAGTTGTGGCACTGGTGGTGGTGGTGGTGGTGCTGAGAGTGCCGGAGTGGTGGTGGTGGTGGTGCTGGCCCGTGTGGTGGTGGCTGAGCAAGCAAATCAGCCAAACGCGTCGAAGGTCTTGCCCCGCTGGTGAGAGAGCAAAGCGTGCGAGCGGGAGCGGCGACTTTCACTCAACTGACTGGCCAAATAGAAGCCCCCCAAGTGCGAGCGGAGCAGCAGCAGGACACCGCCGGGGTGTCTGTGTCTCACTCCACAGAGAGAGATTTGTGTGATGTGTCGTTAGGTCGAAATGGTCGAGTCGGGTCGGGTCGTGTACCTTTTGCCACGAATGTTGTGCCACAGTCAGGCTCTGACTCGAGAACAGCTGAGATTTCGCTGCTCCGCATGACGCGCATTTTATCGAAGATACAAATAGCAAAGATACTTGCGCTTGAGTTTGAAATTTTTTCAAGTCCCAACGCCTTTCTTCTTCGTGTGTGCCGATCGTGAAAAGAAATCTAAATCTAAAACAAATCGCAAACAAAAAATAAACGCCAAGTGATTTTAAGTGAAGCGTGCTACAATGTTGGCTACAAAATAAAAAAAAAAATAGAAAATATTTTTGAAACAAAAATATATGAAAATAAATTAAAGAATTCGAAACGCTAACGAGATAACCAACTCTGAGCCAAGGACTCAGCATTACAAAAAATACATCCCAGTGAATAAATCGCGGGCGGTACGAGTGCGTACAAAGTGTATTCCAGCAATTACTCCACGTGTTCCGACCCAGCCGCCAAAATTATTACGCACAACTCTTTGAGCGTGTACGGTGGCGGCGTCATGTGCGCCTCCCCGTCCACGGCTCCCGGATTCTTCAATCCCCGCACCCAGTCCGGCGCGGAGCTCTCGCCCTTCGACCTGGGCCTCTCCCGCTCGATGGGTCTGGGCGTCCCGCCGCACACAGCCTGGCACGAGCCGCCCAACCTAGGCAGCCACCTGCACGCGGCCTCCGCCGGTCCCGGCGGTTCGCTGGCCGGCACAGGAGCCACCGTAGCTGGTGGAGCGCCCAGTGCCGGTGTAGCCACCGCCGGCGGTGGCACCACGCCCAGCAGCGTGGCCAGCCAACAGTCGGCCGTGATCAAGCAGGACCTCTCGAGCCTCAACCAGAGCTCCGGCCACCACAACATCAAGGAGGATCTCTCCAGCCTGCCGAGCGCCAACGGTGGATCCGCTGCGGGTCACCACTCGGGTGGTGGCAATGTCCAAGGACACGGCTCCGATATGCTGCCCCTAATCAAGGGCCATGGCGGCCAGGAAATGCTCACCACCATCAAGGGCCAGCCGGTGGGCTGCGGCAGCACCACGCCCAGCTCCCAGGCGAACAGCTCCCACTCCCAGAGCAGCAACAGCGGATCCCAGATCGACAGCAAGCAGAACATCGAGTGCGTGGTGTGCGGCGACAAGAGCTCCGGCAAGCACTACGGCCAGTTTACCTGCGAAGGTGAGTCAAGATTAACTTTTGGATCTTCGGGATGGGTTGCAGTTGGGTTGACCCCCAATTGATTTCTTACACGGGGGATGACCAGCCAGAAATGCGCAGTTTTCGTAATAGAAAGCAAAGACAGTGACAGGGACACAAAAGCGTGCCTGCCAGCCGCTGATTTTTGACAGTTTCGGTGAATTATGGCAGTTTGATGAGTTGGCAATAAAACGCGGCCAGGTGTGTATTGTGGGTGTGCTTTGTGTGTATGGATTCTGTCCATAGATCCATGCAAATCTTGAAGGGAAGATTGCATGAGAAGATTGCACAACAGCTTGGCCCCGAATCAAGCCATAGATACTTTTACGGCTTAGGAAGATACTTCTGTTTCATGCCATTTTTTTTGCTTTACAGTATATTCTCCAGTGAATTTTCGCTAAAAGTTGATTTAAAAGCCCAAGTGGCAGTAAAAATATTCCGAGTTTTTTTTTGGCATTACCTTTTTGGATTTTCCTAAGTCACTTTCCCAGCTGGTCAGCATACCGTTACACTCCAAGTCGCTGCACGAGAGCTCTTGAAATATATACAGCGCTGTGGCCCCTCCAACGACCCCGGCACGCACAGACCCCTCCAACCCACCTCCCTGTCCCTTAGATGGGCTCCACATCTCGCTTATCGTCAGATAAAAAATTATTATCTAAATAAAATACGGGCCGTGCTTTGTCCTAAGCCAAACAATTGTTGTGCAAACATGCAAATTGTGCGGCGGCGGCTGCTAAATGAAGCGCCCACCTTCTTATTGTCTTTCCCGCTCGCTCACTCCCTCTCACCAGAGAAGAAAGATACAAGATACAACTGCATTCGGAAGATGGAGCGGGAAGGAGCCGAAGAGATAGCGCTCTGGCATTTAGTGCAGCTTCAAGTTGAACTTGTCATATTCGTATCTCTTCAAACGTTCTGGCACTGGAGCAGGGCCAGAAGAATGACTGGGCAGGCACAGTGGTACGAGATACTTTCCGGGCAGATTCCCAGATAGGTGTATCGGCCGGGTATCTCTCGGATACATTCCCACTGTTTGGCGGCGGGTGTTTGCGGCTTTGTAGGCGCTGCTATTATTATTAATCACCGAGCATTTTGTACGCATGCGCAACCCACAACAGACAACACACAGAGCAACAATCAGGAGATATGCCTCTCTGTGACCGCCTCGTTGCATTCTGAAGGTGTTTCCCCACCCCACCCGCTCCGGACTCTTCTGCAACATGCATAGTATGTGGTGCATACATAGGTATCTCTGGCAGTTCTGCCTGTTGGCCTGATGATGTTGCCACGATAGCAATCTATTTTGTTCTATGCAATCGCCAGACGCTTCAGCTTCAGCTTTAGCTTCACATTCAGCTTCAGCTTGAGCTTCAGCTTCACTCAAATGCAAGCGAAATAAAACGTAGGAAAATCATAATAAAGCCCATAGAGCTCATATCATTGCCAAAACGTTTTCAGGGTTTCTTTTTTTTTTCCTCCTTTTTTTTTGCCCGGTCGCGTCCTTTCAGCTGATTCACTCCGAGGTGCAGATACTTTACAAAGAAACTCACAACTCGTTCGGGGTCCGTGTGTGTTGGGCTCACTTGTCCGTCTGTCTGCCGTCCCTTTTGTCCATCCATCCATGTCTGTGTGTCGGAATGTCCAGTTTCCAGGGTCCAGTGTACAGGGTCCAGGGCTGGTCGACCGACCGACCGACCGAGTATGTGAAATTTATGCCACGGCACCCCGCCATCCTAGAGCCTCGTAGCTGCAAGATTAATTGTAGCTTATGCGTGTTGTCTGTTGCTGTTGCTGTTTCGGATTCGGTTCCTGTTCCTTACTGCTTGCTTCATGCTCCTTGGTGGTGGTGGTGGCAACTTGTTTGATTTCGCGCACAGCTGGCGAGGATTGGTGAAATTTGAAGGCAGCAGAAGCAGCAGCCAGAGCAGAGCTAGAGTTTGTAACCTTTAGCCAGCACAACAAAAAGTCACGGCTTCACTGAAAAATGTGCGCTGATAAAAGCGCCTCGATAATATTAATGATGAGTGCACGGCTCTAATGTGGCAAGCTCGCCGTATCGCCTATTAATTTGGCCATTTGTCATGGCTATTAGGGGCTCCAAAGAGTTTTTCCTCAAACAGTCATCAATCAGCGTGGAAAATATCAAAAACATATAGAAAACTTCTCCAGACTTGTGTTTCTGCGAATTCATTGAATTTCAAATTGCAACTAGAAAATTATCTCAGCACCCATGTCAAAAGTGTATTAGCATAATTTATCTATCTCCGTACATGACAATGATAAATAAATTTTGCGAAAAATTACGGCAACTACTAAGTACCTGGCATGCAATTAATTAAAACAAACATCAGCCAAGCAGAGCAGAGCAGGACAGAATTAAGCTTGGCCCACAACTTGGCGGGGAGAACATAAAGAGCTGTAAAAAATTGCCATCACAACTAATTGTTAAGCGCCAGCCAAGCCCATTAGCTGCCACAAATAATGTGTGTGAAGTGCACCCGCCAGCCACTCCAGATTGTCAACCTCCGAGTGGCATAAATAATCCGAGACGGGGCCGGGCTACGTTCCATTTGCTACAATTTCCGCGAACGAGCTTACATCAAATCCATTTAAATAGATTCCCACGTTCGGCAATTAGGGAGCAAGTCCCGAAACTCTGTAGAAGTTTTGGGTCTGAAAAATGCCCAAAAACTGCCATGTCGCTTGGTCAGCGGCTGTATCTTGTATCTGAGTGTCTTCGCCAGAGGAAGAATCTTGTTTCCTCCGTCTTCTTCCTTTGTGCAGAATTGTATTCAACATGTGTGGCTTTTTAATTAACTTCATTATGATGTGGGCAAATAAATAACTGAAAGAAATGACCAGAAAAGATGAAAGGAAGTGCACAAATATTAAATGCAATAAAAATTCATTTTTCCTAAAATATTTCATAGCCATCTTATGAACCCCTTTCTTATAATTTCTCCTATAATTTCTTTGTTTTTATTAAAATGACTAAAATTTCTCATTTAACTCTGCACCTCTTGACAATCTGTTAAATGGCGCTCGGTTGAAATTCGTGTTTTCGCCGTGGAAATTCATTCCACTTTGAGCATTTAACAAAAGCCAAACATAAATCAATTTGCTGTCTGTGATACAGCCCCTCGGTTCCCCCCTCCCACAGTTAAAATAACCAAGTAAGAGCCACAAAATAAATACGAATGCAGAAAATTAACAACGCCCACCGAGCATTGCAATTTATGACGCTGCAGTTTTTTTTTTTTGGGGAGAGTGGGCGTGGTTAAAACGCCCGCAGCCAACGGATTTCTTATTTATTAATTAGCAAGAGGCCAAATAAATTCGAGGCTTGTATTAAAATTTGCATTTAACCAGCCAAAATGGGCCGAATCGAGTAATTTCTTGCCCATACCATTTATCACATAAATCGCCTTTTGATAAACATTTATAACTTCCGTGCGATTTGCCGTCTGCCGGCTTGATTTACAACTCGGTAGCTCTCCCCTTTTTCTCTCGTATAAGTTATAACTTATGGCCCCAATATTTATTTTGACAAATTTTTATGTTTGGCCCGGCTTGGCGAGAAATTTGCGAACGTATCGTCCGGGTTAACGACTGTCGCAGCAATCATACTTACAGGAGAACTACTCATGCGATTGCCCAACTCTGTGTCAACATTAATGAGCCCGAAGCTGAACCCTTCATTAAAATCGTCTAAAGGAAAATCCCCCCAAAAACAAAACTTAATTGTAGCGATATTGTTGGGACAGAAGAAACAAACAGACAGCCGAGCTAGTTGCAAAAACAACTGAAAAAACAAAAGCCGGCCAGGCAGACATTGTAATCATTAAAAGCTGGCTTGTACTACAAATCGCTGTACTTAGAAGAAATGTTCAAGCCAATAAACCAGCCAGCCAGTTCAGGCCAAGTTCCAAGCCCATGCCCAAGCCCAATACCAATCCCTATTCGTATCCCAAGTCACTGCTGCATTTTCAGTTCCAGTTAAAGTCTCCCAGCTGAGGTCTCCCCGAAAATGAGGCGCAAAAAATTCATCCTGACACGATGCGATTTCGAGAAAAGGCCCCCGAAATAAAAGAGAGTCTCAGAGGCAGAAATCGTGAACTACCGACTTGATCCGCTTTATAATGTAACGGTTTAATTAATTATGTTAAGCTTTGGCTCTCCAACTGGCTCTGGGCCAGAAGTGGCTGCAGTTGCTCCAGTGTTCCACTGCTGGCTGTTGCCACTTCATGCGCAATTTTCGTTTTCAACTAAGTTCGTCTAATCGATCAGGCCCAGCGAAATGCAGCCAGAAACTTTTGCTGCCCAGCACGTTTTGTGTTTTTTTTTTCCTTTTATTTTTAGGTTTTTTTGGGCTTTTTGTATTTTTGTGTGCATCTTCGAGGGGCAGACTGCAGTCAGCAGACTGCACTTGCGGGTCTCTAGAACCGCGAAACCCCAAAGATCTACTCTAGCCATGTGTTTCGAAGTACATGACCAGACTTGGAGCTGCATAACTCCACATAGCATCAGTTAAATCAAAGTTAACTCGCTTATCTCAGGCGGCATTTGTGCCTTCTACTTGGCTGCAACGTGCGGATGGTTCTTGATGTGACATTTGGAAGAACTGCCCCAGAAATCCTAGGAGGCAATTACAAAAGCCCTGACTGAAGTCTGTTCACAGTTGACCCATATACATGCCAATAATAACGAGAAGCCCGGTGGGACATCCGTTTCTTGTGGCAGTCACCCACCCACCCGGGGCACCTGTTCCGTTTCCAGCTTTTTTTAGTGTCTTCAACAAGAAGAAGAGGCCCCGTCATAATCAGTGCATTTTGTAGATACTCGGAGTGCATGAGCTCAGTTGGGTTCGTGTCTGTCGGCGGGAGCTGTAATTATGTTTCGGTTGTACTCCAGATATTTTGTCTGGCCACTCTCTGGAGCGGCTGTGCCTGTGCTAATTACTTGGACTAGCTTGCGCCGTGTAAGCTTAACATTTAATTATTGCACCTTAATGATGGGCCGCCCCACCCGCCCCCTCATTGTGTGCATTAATAATTAGAAAATGAGCCAAAGTCAAGGCGAGGTCTGTGGCTTTGGCTATTGACTCGCCTCCACTGGGCCAAGCGATCATTGACCGCGGCTGGAAAAAATGAAAATGGCAAACGGAAAATAGCAAACAGCAAGCAGTGAACACTGAGCGAACGGGAAAAGTGATTGGGCCATCTGCCATCCGAAAGATACAGATACTCTGTACTCTGGGGCCAGCTAATTTAACGCTTTAAATTGCGCAGCCAAGCGGCAATGCGGCATCTCGTGTGCTGCACCAGCCAGATAATTTTGCTCACTTTTGAGGAAGTTCAATTAATAAAACGCTTAGCTTGGCTTAGGTTAGCTTAGACAGGGTTCTCGGAACCTCTTCTAACTGTATTGAACGCTTTATGGCGCGTAGCGCACGCGAACTTGCAAGTTGCAACCACTGCCTTCCACGTCCCACCCGCTGCAATTAGGGGAAGCGGTAATTGAAACTACCGCAAGTCGGTGTTAGCTTTCGGTTCTGGGCTTAGCCCAAAACAGACCATTTAAGCCGAAACCATAGTGAGGGAAAAGGATTTCAGACTCTAGGGCTTCACCGGACTTCCCACACTATCAGCCTGGCGGGCTCTGGGGCTCACGGGCTCTCTGGGTCTTGGCGCTGGGCGATCCACCCTTTTTCGGTTATTGATATAACACGATATCCACTCCACCCCGTCGTGGATTTTGTTTACGGTATCTGCGGCTTGTACTCGTATCTTCATCAATAACGACGCGCATCTTTCGTCCACTGGGATCGCCTTGCCGCAGATACAGATACTCCGCAGATACAGATACTCGGATACTTGGATACTTGGATACTCGGCTCGAAGCTGCAGCTCTAGATAGAGTTGCGATAGGCGCATATGGGCAGTTGCCTCTGTTGCAAGTTCTTTTATTTACCTCGGCTCGTTCAGGCCAAGCTGTCCGTCTGTCCGCCTGTCTGTCCGTCGATCGCCTGTCCCTCTCCCACAACTGAGTCTCTGTGGCAGATACCAGGGGAGATGAGCAGCGGCGGGCGGTACGGGGGCAAAGGCAACGGTACGTTTTGGCAGAAATCGTGACTTGGTACAATATCGTTATTCGTAGATCATATGGTGTAAAAGCGTTCAGTGTGTGAGTGGTTATTCGTATCTGTGTGCAGGCATTTCCTAGATGTTTGGGTTGGTCTTCGAGCCAGCCAGGCTGAATGTGAAGAATACCAAATGCCCTATGGTCTATGAGGAAGTTAATAAGGTTCAGTCTAACTAACTAGAGGTATAATTATATTTTTCATAGAATATGCTAGCCGAAATAATAATTATGTTCTTAAATATGATTACAAAACTATTTATCTAAACTTTCATTTATGATAGACATCTTAAGTGCATTTAGCCATCGACCTTAACATTCAATCAGTTTCAATTTGCTGGCCACGTTTTGTTTCCATTTCGGTGGGAGGCTAAAGCCACACGATCGCAATGGCAAAAAGCATTGAAAGATCTTTTATAGCCTGTGATCGCATGCTATATAGAGGGATTGGGTCTGCATAAACGCTCAGTGCTTACATATTTTGTTTGATGATGATTTTACAGCTTAAAACGAATTTTATGAGCATATGCCATTGTTTTGAGTTATTGTGAGAAATTTTTCTCTCTCTAGCCCAGACCAGACAATGCCTGCTGATGCTGGCTAAGAGCCCCATCCTCTGGCAGCTCTTTATGCAGAAAAAGCCAAAGTGATACACATGTTTAGATACGCGTCGGCGACATTAACTTGCTGGCTTGTCCTACCACCACAACACCCAACTGTGGCCCAAAGCACTTAGCCAAAGTTGAGCCAAAGGCTACAGGCTGCTGGCTACAGGCTTACCAAACAACGATCCACGGCTAATCCGGCCGTCTGGCTTAACAGTAAATTCGTGGCATTCGGGCCGAACTTGAACTTGCTGCCAGTTTTCCCTTAGCTTAGTCAGTCTTCTTAGCTCAGTATCTTCGTGGCCAAGATACACTTTGTTAATTGAAAGCCATTAAAGGTAATTTTATGGGAGGCGTTAAGCCATGAAACGTGTAACATGACCATTGACATGGGCATCAGGAACTCGATGTCATGGGTGCAGCTGGAACCCTTCAATGTTCGTACAAGTGGCAACAATTTTTTTTGTTCTCGGAGCCTTCGGGGTGCCAAGGAATTTGTAGAGCTATCCGGCTGGCCGGCTGGCAGACTTGCAGGCATGTTTTTTTTTTTGGGGCTTACTCTTGAATCTTCCCACTGTGAATATCTAAAAACTGAAACTCTCTTTCTTCTACTTTCAGGCTGCAAATCGTTCTTCAAGCGCTCCGTGCGACGCAATCTCACTTATTCGTGCCGCGGCAGCCGAAACTGCCCCATTGACCAGCACCATCGGAATCAATGTCAATATTGCCGCTTGAAGAAGTGCCTCAAAATGGGCATGCGACGCGAAGGTAAGTTTCCACTTTACTCCCCAACTGAAACGAAAACAACATTTGTTATTTAGAATTTAGAAATTCAAAAGCTGACGACGCATTGGGTTGTGTGTTGTTGGGCTGTGTTGTGGGTCAATTAAAAGTCAAACCCAAAGGCAGAAAAAATAAATAAATTAAATCAACGGCAGAAGAACGGAAGTAGAGCAGCTTGCGATGACTAAATGTCACATGCTATATAGCATATAGGAATGTGATCAGCGGCGAGCGCAATTGGGTTCGGTTCAGTGCGGATCAGTTGAGATATTTGGGTGGCAGGAACTGTGCCAAGGAATGTGGCCACCGACCAGAGCAGATCAGCTCGGATCACCTCGGATCAGTTCGGTTCAGCTCGGATCATCTCGGATCGGGTCAAGTATCTGGCGATATTTCTTACTTCCACGCACAAATACGCTTAGCTGGTAAGCAATTATGCGGCTTTTTGACCCCAACGGATCAAATGCAAACTTGTTCGCTCGTTTGTGCACTGAGAGAAACTACCGATTGGTAATTGGACAGGGGGGAGCATGGGGAGGCAGTGGCAATTTATCAGTTAATCAAATGCAACCCAATGTGTAACTAATTTGTAAGCAAGCCAAGCCAAATATTTGGCATACTTGGGTGAGACTCGTTTTCCTGCATCGACTCACTGGCCAACTGACTGATTGACTGCCGGGCTGGCTGAGTGACTGACTGACCACCTGACGTATTGACGGACTGACAATGGCCAATGGCCAGTTACACTTGTCAGCATTAACAATTAGCGTCTGTCAGGGAGTCGCAGATACAAAGATAGAGACTGACTGCAGTTAGCGGACGCTAAGCTGTTATTATTTGCACTAATATTGACAGGTTTTTCGCAAAATGCTAATAGCCAGCAGCAACAAAGGCAACAGCTATAGTATAGCTGCAGCAACTGTCAAAGCCAAAGTTAGAGGTATAGCCTAAGCCCATAGCTTAGCCCACAGCCCGGCGACAGACTACAAATGTCTGAACACATATCGATTTGGGTTAAGAACGAAAACGTTAATTTATGGCGACTACGGGCAATTAAAATGCAGCTACGGCTACGGCAGCCTCCTCTCAATGCACTTGTAATTAAATGAATATAAACATTTATTTAGTCGCCGACGGATTGTGAAAAAAGCATTTCAAATTTACCTAAGCCAGACAAGTTTTTGGCTAATGACACAGTCCGAGCCCATGTCTAGCGATCTACCTGTTGGGCCCATTAAAACCCGGCTCTCTTCCCCACCCAACCCAGCACTGGCCGTAGAATATGAAGCCGTAGAAGCCTGCCCCATGGCTCGGCATGGCATTCATAAAACGCAAAAGAGTTCAACACCTTTTGCCACATTCTGGACTTGAGTCACATTTCTTTAATGACAAGTTCTGCGTAAAACTAGTCCCTCGCTATCAAAACTGAAAAATCGTGAGAAAATCTCAGTTCTGCATAGGAGGTTTCCTTTGCTTTTACCCTCTTTTTGTGCGCCGGAGTGGGCAGGGAGTTCTTAATTGTAAAGCGGGACAAAGGTTGTGCCTGGAACGACCCTGGGTCAAGAAATTGTACGGGTTTGGCGCACAAAAAGCCTCACAAAACCTGAAAAAACAACATCAAATCGGTGTTCCGGGTCGCTCTAATTAAATTGCAGTGTCAATTGGTCAAGGGAAGTTGGTGGAGGAACTGGTCAGCATTTTGTCAGAAGATTTCCCGCAGAAAAACTTGTTTTTTACAAACTCTATTTTAAGGGTAGTGAAATTTAGTTAAATTATTTTGAATTTATTATAATTTATAAAGGGTTTTGTTATAAAGGGGCACTGCAACTGGCTGAACTCTTGCTCGTGAACCCTGACCCGGCTGAAATTCCATAACAACAGCACCTGCATTCGCCCATTTTTTGTGGGGGGCTTGGTCGAACGCATTTCTGGGCAGACAATAGACGGAGATACTCGGAGCTGGTTAGGAAAAAGTGGGTCAGCTAAGGTTTTACACCTCGACTCCACACCTTTTTTCACACATCCTAGGCACACCTAGAGCTTGGAGCCGCAATCTGGCAAACGCAATCACAGCCTTGGGCCAGGCCAATTGGAGGCCCAAAATGAAACAAAGCGTTGGCCAAACTGCACAGCCATTGCCATTATTATTACTGATCGAAGCTCATTGTGCTGCAGCTGGAAGTGGAAATAAAACCGAAACTGGATTCACAGATCTCTACCTGAATCTCCAGAACCGGGCAGGGCCCAGAAACGTAACGTCTTTTGTAGTGGAAGCGAAAGCGTTTTTGGTCAGTTTCGGACAATGGTCACATATCCCGAAATCCAAAATCCGAATTCCAAATCAGAAATCCCTTTCAGTGCCGGGTCCGAAGGTGTTTGTTTATTGCCTCAGCGGAGCAATTAAGCCGGGGGTTGCACCGTTCTGGGCATTCCAACCAGTTGACCACTGTCCGTCCAAGGAGGAGAAAGCGGGACAGCGACACTTATTTACACAATACATTTGCGTAATTGTGCCATGGGGTGGCAGCAGGACCCTATAAGCCCATTTCCCACTTCTCCTTCTCCTCCTAGAGGTGCGTCCTGCACTTGGTGTTCTATGAGCGGCAAACCGGTTGAGCGGTCAGTCTGTCCAGTGCGCCTTATTTATGCGCCTGGGAAAATATTGTCTGACCGCAAGAAAGCCAAAAGCAGAAGATGCCTAGTCTGCGGTTTTTTTTTTTTTATTTTCTGGTGAGATAAAGCGCAGATTACAGCAGCAGAAAAGTGGTACTGCCTCGAGTTTCGACTTGGCCCGACTTGCCCTTTTAGCTGATTGCTTAATGAATGAATCTGCCGCTAGCACGTGCTCAAGCTCCCGCTCACATGTCAGCTCTCGAGAGCGTGTCCAAGTGGCCTTAGTTGCATTAAGCTGCGACTTAACTTTCGGCAGATATTAACCAGGCATCCACATCCACATCTGCAGCCATGTCAATGTCGAGGGGGAAAATTTCCGGTCGTTTCCGGCCTTTCACTTTCCATTTAACTTGAGCATTTACATTGTTAATTATAATGTTTATATTCAGCTGGGCTGTGTGCAAAAACCTGTCCATTGCTGGATCAAAATCTGCACAAATCTCGCCCTTCAGTTTCCCCCAGTGTACTGTACTGTATGTATCCGAAAGATGCGTTGAAAGTATTTAGTTCAATTTGCATATCTAAGCAGTTGAGACGACAACACACTCTTACAGACACAGTTCTACAGTCCTGCGGTCCTAAGGGGTTGAAAGCGCCTCGGCACCGGGCTCAAGGGGTAAAAGTATCTTATGACGTTGTCTCCGACTTGACAAAGGCTGGAAAAAACAACGCAGTTCTGGGCCGAAGATGCGTCAGAGATCGAGTGCCGATAGCCGGATAGCGGCATTGTGTGCTGTGGCAGCTTTGCCAACAGAGCTGAATGCCCTGCATTGTGCCTCGTGTGATGTGGCGGTCAAAATAATCCCAACAATAGAGAGAGTCCTCAGAGCGGAGTGATGCCTGTACCTGAGCAAGGATGTCTGGCAGGCACAGGGATTCATAGATTAAGTTTTACTTTATATATTTCTAAAATAACTAATACTTTAATAATAATACTAATCAAATATTTGTATTCTTTCTCATTGCAGCTGTACAACGTGGCCGCGTTCCGCCCACCCAGCCCGGACTGGCCGGCATGCACGGACAGTACCAGATCGCCAACGGAGACCCCATGGGAATCGCTGGCTTCAATGGGCACTCGTACCTCAGTTCCTACATCTCGCTGCTTCTGCGGGCGGAGCCGTATCCCACCTCCCGATATGGCCAGTGCATGCAGCCAAACAACATCATGGGCATCGACAATATCTGCGAACTGGCCGCCCGACTCCTCTTCTCGGCTGTGGAGTGGGCCAAGAACATACCCTTCTTCCCGGAACTGCAGGTGACCGACCAGGTGGCGCTCCTCCGACTGGTCTGGTCGGAACTGTTCGTCCTCAACGCCAGCCAGTGCTCCATGCCGCTGCATGTGGCGCCTCTGCTGGCCGCCGCCGGACTGCACGCCTCCCCAATGGCCGCCGACCGAGTGGTCGCCTTCATGGACCACATCCGCATCTTCCAGGAGCAGGTCGAGAAGCTGAAGGCGCTGCACGTGGACTCGGCGGAGTACTCCTGCCTCAAGGCCATCGTGCTGTTTACCACCGGTAAGTTGCTGGACATCCTTTACAAGGATGTGCCGGCGCTGCTCGCCAAGGTTTCAGGGCTGCTGGTTAAGGGACTTGCGGCGTCGAACGATGATATTTTGAATGTGGTGCGCGAACACCTGGACGAGTTGAACCGCCTGGAGATGGAGTCCAAGGCGCCCCAACAGGCTCCCATACACCTGGCTACTTTCATGAAGAGCGTGGCCGGCGTCGAGGCTGCAGTGCAGCAGGCCGAGAATCAGCAGCAGCACCAGCAGCAGGAGCGGACTACAACCTCCTCCGCCTCCTCCTCCGCTGTCGTGACTTCTTCTGCCTCCTCTGCTGCTGCCGCTCCTGCTGCTCCCCTGCTGCCCTCTGCCGGCAGTGCCTTCAGCACCTGCCAGGCCAAGGGTGCCGGCTCCGAAATGGATCTTCTGGCCAGCCTGTACGCCCAGGCCCAAGCCACACCCCCCAGTTCGGGAGGTGACGCCTCCGGGCACAATAATAGCAGCGGTCTGGGCGCCTCGCTTCCTACTCAATCGCAAAGCGGTTCGTCCTCCCTCAACCTAACCGCCTCGCCTCTGAGTACTTCGCTGGCCCCTCCCGCCTCGACGGCAGCCCCTGCGGTGACCACCACCACTGCGTCCTCCACTGTATCCTCGTCCTCGGCGCTGGGCGGTGGAGCCTATCAGACGCTGTTCCACTACCAAACGCCTCCGCGTGCCCCTTTCGGATCGGCCTTCGATATGTTCCACCACAGTACGCCCTTCGGGGTGGGCGTGGGCCAGGGGTCCTTCGGGAGCCCCAGCTACAGGTACTCGCCCTATAGCCTCGCCGGCAGTAGATGGCAGTTGTAGGATCTCACCCTGTACTTGTCTGTAAATCAGTAATCTGTATCTATATAGCTGCTAGGTCCATCCTCTGTACATGTACTTACGTTAGTGCCTATTGCTAGTTTTGTCTATTTATTGCCTTATGCTAAGTTAATTTATTTTAGTGGTAATCCTTAGCTTAGACTCGTCTAGTGAATTTTGCCAAAATACCAAAAATCGATGAGGGAGGAGAGAAAAGAATTTATGAATATACAAAAAGCTGTTGCTGTTAAACAAAAAATCTAATCCTGGCTTGTGTTTTTACTCGTTATTGTTACTAATGCTTACACCGCTTGTTGACTAATTTTAAATGTATTATTTTGTTTTATTTACTCATTCTGACCTTACTAACAAATCATCATTAGAAATCATCTAATTATATCGAGTGGGATCCTACTTTGTATTTAATGTATTTGTTGCCGTAAACAAACAATGTTTCAGTTGTTTATTTTTGATTTTTTTAAAACTTATTTTTACAGTATTTAATTTTCAGGCTTTTATAATTATTTTATACTTTCAATCAATAATTGAACAATAGGAGATTGAAGTATATAATAATTGGTAAATTATAATTCAAGCAATGATTAAATTATTTTAATGATTTAAACTTAATCAAAAAAATGTAATCATTGTTTGTATTCAAAGATAAATAGATTGATTTTCTGAGTAAACAATTTTATTGCAACTGCAATGGTTTTGTTTTTTTTAGAAAATATAAAAATAAACCCATTTTATTTTTCTTGTTAAAAAAGTACAATTCAAAATAAATAGCCTCTTTGAAAAGAATACATTATTCCATAAAAATAATTGCAAATATAAAAGTACAATATATAATATATTAAAGCCATAGATTCTTAAAATGATGAGCGCTGTCTGATTAAGAGTCAAGGCATTATAATCACCCCAGGTAAAGGAACACCCATTTAATTTAATATTTTTTTCAGCCCATTGGAAAACTTTAATTTTTGTTGAATTTCTTTATATTTTAAATCCTATAATTTCACCAAAACTTATGGTTTTCCTTCTCTCAAAATGCATATTTATTTAACACTAATCTTTTCACATTTTTATTTCATTTCTTAACAAAAGCTTTGCACAAAAACACAAAATTTAATCTCATCCGCACGTGGCAACGAAACTCTGGACTTTGGGATTACTCACACACACACTCACACCCACCTAACATATGCACAATGCACACAAACACACAAATAAATCACGGCAGCTTATATGCGAATAATTTAAATATTTTTAAAACGCCTTATATATACTTATTTTTAGACAATTAGGTTCCACGCGAAATAAATCACAGAACTTTTGTAAGCAAATAGAGTGAACAGCGATTTTCATTATTTCGAGTATAGGCTTAAGTTAAGTTTGAAATTAAGTTTAGCTCAGCTTAAGTTCGGTGATTGGGAAAAGAGTCAAGCCTTGATTTAGTACTAGCTCTGGTATGGCCCCCTCCTTCCTGGTCGCTCCACGTCGCGATTGTTTTTCCAACTCGGCTTAAAGATATACCCACCCCGGGTACCTACCTTGGTGGATTTTGTGGCGACGTTTATTGACGTCGCGATACCACATTATGAACATTAATACAACACTCGTTTATGTCGCTTGCCTACAAGCAGTGGACCACGTCCAGGCCTCGGTCGGAATAGCTTTACAATTTCCAAAACGCTGTGTGCGAGATGGCCTGAGCCGAGGCCGAAACCAGCGAGGGGGCGTGTGTGTTGCGCGGAGTTCGTGGTCCGATCTTGGCTTGCTGGCAATTGCATTTGAATTGGCTGCATGAGTCCATAAACTGCAGCCGATCAATCGCGTTTTCCCCTGGTCCCTGGTCTCTGGTTACCCGCTTCCCGGTTCTCTCTCTTGGCCACCTTTTAGATTGTGGGAGACAGACACGATCGCGGCAGTAAAGTACCGGGTTCGGGCTCGCCAGATCTTCTGCGGCGCACTGACGACATGTCTGCTCCTCTGGCTGAGTTGCATCCTCCGCCTACCGCCGCCCCAGCCTCCCGCCTCTCCAGCCTCCCCTGATTGCTGTCGTTGGCTGCAGTTGTTAAGAGTTGTAGCTTTCATGTCTTGGCCACACTTTTTGACCAACATTTTGTGTGTGTGTTTTTCGATAGCTCGCCAGAGCTCTGCCGAGCTGGGAGCAGCTCCTCCGAAACCTCTCAAATCGTTTTGTGGCGCTCATTGATCGTCGGTGCCTGTGCTGCTTTTCTGATTTTCTTGCTTTCTGCTTTTCCCCGGAAAATTGCCAGCGACGTGCCTGGGAGTTGAGCAATTAACAGTAACTCTGGATCGTTGATTAGAATCATTAAGGGCGCGTTTCGATATTAGGTTTCAGATGCAGACAGTCGTCTCTGTTTGCCCAAGATTTGCGACTCCTTAGCCCAACAGTCTCCTCACAGTTGACCCCACACGACCCTTTTCGATCCCATCCGATCCGATCCGATCCGATGGCAGTCCTTATTAAAACTAAATAAAGTTATAACTGTTTCTGGCGATCGTGAAGAAGAACTGGAGCCATAAAGAACACCGATCTAATAAAATATAATGCAGCAATTCATAATTTTGTTAAACAGGGGTTAGCCCCAGCCTCCCCACCCGACGCTGAAGCTCCTTTTCCGATATGTCTGAATCTGGTGGTTATCCAAGCAACTACTTTACGGTCATTATGCATTTAAAACACGCGGTCACGATCTCTCCGCTGAGTTAGTAACTGCTACGACCCAAAACCGAAATCTGAAAACTGAAAACCGAAAAACCAAATACAAATACAAATCGAAGCCAGGCTCGTAGGGTACATAACTTCAAGCCGAAAACGGTTAACAAAAAAATCGCCAAAGAAGACAAAACAAAAACAATTTCAAACTCCACAAAAATCAAAGGCAAACCCCTCGAGAAAGCACTGCATTTCTCCAGTGCCCGACCTGGAAGTGGAATGTCTTTCACTTGGAGCATGCAACTCCTCCGCTGAGAAGAAATCCCAGCTCCTCGTCATCTTGGCTGCATTTCAATGAAACCAAAATCTTGTGCCTGACACAATTTCCACTCGCTCAGCCTCTGCCCTCGCCTTCGCCTCCGCGGATATGATTTTCCATTCGAGGTCCCAGGATCGTCCGAGCTAATGGAAAGTCAATTGACAATTATGGCCATGGCCAATGAAGTGATTCGACGAGCCAGCCGAACTGACCATGTCTAATTCGTTAAGCCAGGGCTTCACGATTATTATTATGGTTGTTGTTGGCGGCCGTTGTTGGTTGTTCGTTGTTGGCCGTTGTTGTTTATGAAGTCGAATGGTTAATAATGGCTAATTGAATTTCTGTTGCCGCCGGCGACAAATCAGTTAACTTGATTTACGCGCTTTGTGTGGGGTTTTCGGTTTAGCCAAGGAAATTTATACGATATCTGCAGTCAAATGTTTAGCCATTTGGCAGCTTGATTATCTCTGAGCCCAGACAAATCTCAGCAGAAAACAAGCAACGCTTTTCCGCCCAGTATTGGCTTTCAATTGACACTCGTCTTTTATGGTCCAAGTTGCGTGCAAAAAAGTTTTGAAAAAAAATATCGCCACCAGAGAGCCATTACCGACATGCAGCCAAAGACAGCTGGTGTGGGGCAATCGCAAGCGGATATATGAGACCGAATCATGATGATATCGGCTGGCAAATGGCCCAATCATTAACTCGTCGGTAAATGATATATCAGCTGCAGACTTGAGCGGAGTATTTTTGCATTTTCGTTTCGCCTTGCGTAATGGAGTCCTCGTGTGTGCAGTGACTAATTAAGCAAACAAAATTTCATATGCAATTTCGAAACGCCATTCTTAACGGCAATAGCCGTTTAAAATGCTTTAAAGCTATGCAAATTTACAAGTGCTGATGTCTAATTTGAATTTCAAACAGTCAAACACAAAAATACATATATATGCCAGTGTAAAAATTAAAAGAACCCCTTATTGCTGGTGTTGTTGATGTTTTTTCTAGCAATTGATAAGCAAACTTTTGGTGCCTGGCAATTAACACTCGTCGGCACACGCTGCGTATGCGCAATATACCATTGCTGTAATTAAATGCCATGGCTAACATGATGGAAAACCTATTCGAGTTATTCGGACTATTCGGGCGTTGTCTTGCGGCTTAATTTTCCCGAATTTAATTAACCCATGTTGTTGTAGTCACTGTTGTGTGTAGTACAGCCACTTCAATTGGACATAAATCAAGAAAAAATGACGTAATTCCCGCAGTTTCGTCATCGATACGCCGCCGTTGTGCTGTGTTTTGTAGTGTGCTCAACTGAATTGAACCACAATGAACTGAGCTGGGTGTGGGCGTGGCCGCGGCTCATGTTCGGTTATTTGTTTGACGTGACAGGCACTCAAAGAGTCGGAAAATTTCTGTCGGCGCCAGGTGAACTGCCTCGAAAGAGTATCGACCATGTATTTGCATTGAATCTTTTGGCAATCGGCAGAGTACTCATTGTTGTTTCGTCTCTCCACTTGTATTGCAGATGCCTGCGGCCTGTCTGATGTGACGCACATTGAATCCCTGCAAGAGAAGTCGCAGTGCGCCCTGGAGGAGTACTGCCGGACCCAGTATCCCAATCAGCCCACCAGATTCGGCAAGCTGCTCCTTAGATTGCCATCGCTGCGAACTGTTTCCTCACAAGTAAGTACAAGTATTTATTATAATTTTACGCGTATTATACGCATATTAAAGTTTATTTGATTTAAAGACATACTGCCTCCCAAAAGCAGTTTTCCTTGTCTTGTGATCTTTTGCCAAAATTTTCCAATTACTGAAAATACTAAAGGTCATAAAAACATGTTTATAGTACAAGCTTAAAAAACCATATATGACTTGTTTATTTAATGATCTATAAAATAGTTAAAACCCCATATCTTGTAGCCCTATTAAACTTTTGTTTTTTTTTTTTTCTTTTTTTTCCTGCCAGGTCATCGAGCAACTGTTTTTTGTGCGTCTAGTCGGAAAAACACCCATCGAAACGCTGATACGCGACATGCTGCTCAGCGGCAACAGTTTCTCCTGGCCCTATCTGCCTTCGATGTGACACACGATGTGGCGCCAATTGACAACGACTTGATCATCGGCCGCAGCTGTGGCGGCTGCAACGCTCAACATCAATCCCGGCGTAGTTGCGGGTGCAGGGGTAGGGGGAGGCGGTACAGAAGCCAGTGGCGGAATCGGAGGCGGCGGCGGCATCGGTGGCAGTGGCAGCGCCAGTGTCGCTGGCTGTGGCAGTCACAACATTGTCGCCGGCAGTCATGACCAGCTCGCCAATGTCGCTGTCATGCAGCCAACATACGGCAGTTGCCACAACAACAATAGCAACAACAACAACAGCAGTAACAGCAGCAGCCACAACAGCAATTGCAATCAGCAAATCAGCAACTACAGCAATAACAATAACAGCAACAACATCAGCAATAGCAGCAACAGCAGTGGCAGTGGCAATCATATGAGTGCAGGCAGTTTCTTTGGCGGCGGTAGCGGCAGCAGCAGCTCCACCAGCAACAGCAACAGCAACAGCAATACGGACTATATGGCCACATATGCAACACCGGCGACAGCAGCAACATCCACGGTGAACACTACCACGATGCTGTCTAATTACTGCGATGCCGCGACCATGATGATGGCCGCTGCAGTCAATGCAAATCAGTGCCTGCAGCAACACCACCAGCGCATGTTGCTGGCGAGCAGCAACAGTGGCAGCCACAGCAACAACGATCATCATCATCTGAGCTCGGCTGCAATACCTTCCTCGTCTTCGGCTGGATCGCTGTCATCTGCCTCATCGACGCCAACAGCAACTGCAACAGCCACGGCAAATGCAACAGCAACTGCAACAGCCTCCCAGCAACATCAGCAGCAGCAACAGTCGCCGCCAAATTTAATCGATATCAGCGAAGTTCCTCTCATTGTGGATGTCAAGTAGTGTAATTATTTATGCATCTAGAAATGGGGCTAAAAAATCAACCTTGTAGATACCCCGCCACCCCTTAAAGCCCACAAAAAAAACCCAAAAAAAAATCTATATAAAAAAAATCTAAAAGAAGAGAAAAAAAATCGAAACTCGAAGAGCCCCGTAGCTTAATTTCCTAATATTTTCACTATATTGTTCTTGATGTAATTTTGTACATAACTTTCCCCCGAAAATTTCAACTTTCTCTAGGCCGCTGCAGCTTTTGAATCTCAGCTGACATATCCCAGAGAACTTTTAAAGTTTTATCCCAAAACGGCGGTCGTTCATGTCTATATATATATATAAATGTGTATAATAATTATATGGCACTGAGTTCTACTTAATTTTAAAAAACAGGCAGAAGTTTAAGGAAAATTAAATACGAAACAAAACAATCTCTCCCTCTAAAAAAGACAAAAACATAAAGTTAGTTGAAATATTTATATATGTAATGTAGCATATGCACATACTTCGCATATATGGAATATATACATATATAGATGAAACTCTACTCCCAGTGGTTTGCAGAAATATACCAAAAATTTTAAGCTATGTTTACTTGATGTGTGGCAATGTTTTGTGTGCTTTAGCAATTTTATTTTTACTTTAAGTAAAATTTAAAATCAAATTTTATTCTCGACATTGGTTTCCACTTGGAGTGCATCTCAAAGATGCCACCCAGGAGGGGAACGTTTTTCGTTTACAAATGAATCCCAAATTTAGCGAATTTTTTATTTAGTAATCAAAACGAGTAAAATACAACATGTTCAGTGCAAGTTTCAGTTTTTAAACAATTTTTTCGTAAGTTTAAGCATTATCTTATTTATGTGTATAGAGTATGAAAAGTTTTCTATATTTTGTAATAATAAAATTTGCGTTTATAATGAATTTTTTATTGTGTTTGATTTTCGGTTTTTTGTTTTCCCCAGTACCTTAGGAGGGTCTACCCATTTCAGAGCAACTGCAGCCAAACCTTGTATATAGGAAAGTTACTTGAATGCATTTGACTTAGCTTGAACCAAATTTGCGTATTAATAAAATCATTGACAGCAGGCGTCATTTCAAAAGAATCAATTGAAAAACTCGTGTAAATAATATGAAATACAAATTAAGTCTAAATAAATATTAAAATGAACACAATCGCTCATTGAAGGCATCACGTAAACGCGTGTAAATACAATTTTAAGTGTGATTCTGAGGTATTTAATAATGTAAATCTACTGATAATAATAAATAATGGACGCAGATGTAATTAAATGCAAGTGTCAGCCCTTGTGTGATTGCGCGGGAGTGCTTGAACGTGAATATATATATTTATATATACATGTGTATCCGTATCACCGATTATAGACCCATTGCAGTAGAAAACGGCAACGATAACAGAGCAGCACATGAAATGTTTATTGCGTTCATTGAAATGTGTACTTAGGTATTTAATTAGTATAAAAATGTTTGTTTTACGTTTTTGGATAAGTTCGATATTTCAATGATGTGTCCGTTAAATAAAAATCTCATTTATTACAACCACAGAGCTTACATTTACTGACATGGATGGGCTAGTATTTTTTTCCGAAAGTAGAGCACTTTCTATTGAAACCCCATCCCACTCTGATCCTTAACCCCGAAACACTCATCTGATGACCGCTGAACTAGCGAATCTTTTATAACTTCCTCAAAACCGAACATGCATATACTGAATCCGAACATTAAGAGGGACGTGATGCAACAAAATATCATGTGTAGCCGGAATAAATGCCCAAGTCATGCCCAAGCACCCACCGATCGTGGTGGGGGCAATTACCCGGGCTGCTCCGAAATTGCCAATAATGAGACATGCAACTTGTGCGCTTAGCCTCTGTAATGGATTGCCGTGGATTGGTATCAATTGCAGGTCAATTCCGCCAGTGCTCTTTGGTCGGGGAATTTCACGCGCCGACAAGATAATCGCCGGGATTCCCTAGTTTGCCCAGAGCTCAATGTTTTGCTTCAGGATCGTGCACCGCAGACAGCGTGTAGCCAGCTCCAGCTCCAGCTCCATCCGAGCTCCAGTTAAAGCCACAAAGACCCAGGGCAACGACTAAATTGCCGCTGCCAAATGACAAATTAGATATCGAAAATAACAATTTGATCGACAGCCGATCGCCACCGCTCAGTCCAATCCCCGGCAATTCGGATCGGATCGCATCGGACCTGGAATCCCAAGTGCCGAATTGAGAAACGATCCGAGACTCCTCGAGAGAAAGAGAGAAAAATTACCAGACCCAAATTGATCCAGCCGGGGTTCCGAAATAAGGAAGGCATTTTGCGGTTGGAGCATGGCCAAAGGAGTTGATGAAGGTGTTGATTTGATTACTTTTATGTAAGGCCCAGTCAGTACCCGGGCCAGACCAACTCGGAGATTGCAATTGACGGTGAATATATTTTTGATGCTCCCCCCGCAACGAATCGTGATCGGGGCAATTTCAGTCGGATGGATCCGATTCGGACTGGGACTTGGACTCGGATTTGGGCATCAATTGAAGCCGCACTGTACCTTCTCGTTGGCATCTAAATGTGAAAAATGATTTGACTTTAATGGCCGCCACTGAGTGATCAGCGGACAGCGATCATCATCATTCGATCATCCCGCAACCTTGGCGAAGGTGTTAAGATTTTGTGACCAATTGGCCAGAAGGTAACGGTTGCTTCCACTATTTCTCGAGTGGATTATCGTACGCCTCTAGGCAAGTGATCGATCCACCGCATTTGCATTCGAATTCGCACTCTGTGCGCTTGTTTGCCGTGTCTTGCGGTGGTGGAACGTGGGAATTTGGCTTGAAGAATTGCAATTTACCGCGGAAGGAGGAGTGTCCGTGAACTATATTTCGTACAGCAAATTGTTGTCTTTACCATGCCGTAAATGAACTATGCAAAATTGTTCAGAAATTGTATAAAACATGTAAGCTTTTAAATTATTTAGACAAGCCATTGCACAGCTGAGACTAATTTAATCAATTTTAAAGACACCAAATTGAGCTTGCAAAATAGTAAGGCTTATGGGTTAAAATCACCCCAAAATCTCAGTCAGGAAAAGAAATAAACAAAAGCAACATAAAACGTTCCTGGAAACCATACGTTTACCTGTTACAATCAGAGTTTCCTTCACAATAAGTCGCTTGAAAAGAAAGAATAATTATTTAAGCAGCCCAGAGAAGGCTTATATGTGGCATCGTCCACGGTCCATGGTTCATGGCCCATTCTCCACCATCTTCTCAGCACACAAAGCCGTCACAAAGAGCCTAAGATATTAGGGGGCATTTTTCAATCCTTTGACGATGGTCAAAATAAAATATTATTTCGCGCGTTAATACGCAAATATAAGCGACCAGTTGGGTGGCACAAAATGCCAAGGCCTGGCCAAGCGGGTGGCAGCCAGCCCGGCACTGCCCCTTCCCCAGAAACCAAGGCAGATTGCAGCCAAACCGGACTTGGCCAGGAAGGTGTTGTTGGCTGAGAAATTATGATGGGAGACTGCGCCGAGTCTGGTCAATTGCAATGCGAATTTGTGACTCCTTACGAACGCGTGGCGGCTTGGGTCTGGGGATCAAGGGAGTGGTACGAGTGCTGGAGGGGGTGGTGCACCTTGGGTGGTCTCTTGGTCCTCAAGATGCAAAATCTCTCAAGATGCAAAATACTTTTGACAATTTGTACTTGTTGCCCTGGCTGCTGTGCGTTATAAATTATCAAATAGAAATAGCATTCGATTCTCCCTCGGCTATTTTTCCGCGAGTGTCTGACAGTGAGGCTAAATTATTTGGCATGCGGTGTGAAATATGTGTAATTGGAAAACAAATTCCGATTGCCTAATTTATGACTTTTGCGAAATGGCCTCAAATTTATTATGTCCCTCAAGGAGCGGGGGTCAAACAATGTCCTTTGGCCAGGTTCAGCTCCATGGCACGCAAGACGGGGGTCACAATTCATTTGTTACCTTTGCTAATTAAATTATGACAAAGGCATACAAGAGAAAGGGTGGATGTCCTGGCCACATGTCCAAAAATGTTCAGCGTATTCAATTTCATTTTATGTAAATGCTCGTAATGTGACAAAGAGGCAAAGGACATCTACACACGCACGTTTCGTTGACAGATATGTATGCTGAAAGTTCCATTTCAAAACAAGGACCTGAACGTTTGAAAGGTTTGTTGGGGATAGGACGTTACTAATGAAATTGGACACCAACATCGCAGGGCCACAGATACAGATAGAGATACAGCTACCCGAAATTATGCAAATCACAGACAAAGAGCCACAGACTCTGACTGCATATGCAAAATGTTGAACCCTTAATTGGCCCATAAGGCGGGCGACATTTAGTGGTTGCAGGCCGAGTCCCTCACTCACCTTTCCAGCCCGACATCGATAGTCATCGTCATCGCCATAGCCAGATCCCAGAGCCCAGATACACCAGACAGGCCGAGGTAACTTTTTCAATTACCCGAAAAACCCGAGACACACTCAGTCTGCGGTCTCCCCGATCTAAATCTGAATCAGAATTTGGCTTCGAGCTCGAATCGCCCCTCGGAACTGCTCTGTTTTGGCGTTGGCGTGAATTATCTGCACAAACAGCCAGTGACAGGCGTTGAATTGCCACAGTTCCCTCCTATCTGTGTGGGTGTGTGTGGTTAGGTGTGGTGTGGTGTGTCCAGTGGCATTTTGTCGCATAATATGTTAATCAGCCACATGTCAGGCTTGTTGCTGCTGCGGGTGGGTTTTTGGTCTGGTCAGCGATATGGGTGGGATTTCGATAAAATGGCGTGGGTACTCCCTCACCTCAGGCTTAATTATAAGCTTAGCAGGAAGGGGTGGCCAACTGGTCACTTAGGGATTATTTAAAGGATTTAATTTAAATACATATACCCCAAATATAACTCACATACTCCCCTTTATCCAACACTAATTTATCAAGAAAACCATTTAAAATTTTCGCAAAATATAAAATATTTTTTATGGCCAATCCGTCGCTACGAAATACAGTTATTCTTGCCGGAATCTTGGCTGCTCCATTTAACAATACGCACTCGGAGAGGGAAAGGGAATGTTTTGGCAATAAATTGGCATTTAAATTAATACACTTTGAATTATGTGCTTTGTCCGATAAAAGGAACCCCCCACAGCGCAATTTTCAATCAAAATCGCACATCCGCGAAATTATCATGAACTCACCAGAGCATAGCCCGAGTCCCGTGTTCCGTATCCCGGTACCTGGGTGAGGAGATTATCAAATTGATTCCAATTAACACTTGCCACCGCTGCAAGGACTGCCCAGTCGCTGGACACGGGCCGGCGGCGGTTGCATTCCTTTCTTCTCGACTGTGTGTTCGAATATCTGCAAACGTTATAAATATTTCACTCTTTGTGCGCGTTTTACGGTTAGCAGCCACAACAACAGGCCGCGATCCCCGGTCTGGGTAACCCAAGGGAAACCCACTTTATGGCCAACTCGGACTCCGATCCAATCCGTTCCGTTTCGTTTCGATCCCTTTCTCCATCCTGGCGGAACATGCACATAACTTAAGCGCACTTTGTCGTAATTCGTAATTCGAATTGACAAACGTTCCATGGCCCCAGTCGCCTTGGAGTTCCCTGCGAATATACATATATATTTTTTGCATATGGCACAGCCATAGCCTTTAGCTTACCTGGTCGGCTAAAGTTGGAGCCGTGTGAAATGATAAATATTCCATAATTTCGTTTGGCATTCAATTTCGATTTGTGTGACACATAAATTACGAATTAACGCTTTAAGCTCCAAAAGTTGAAGCTGAAGGGACGAGACTTTTCTCCTTGATCGGTTTCCGGGGCTGAATCTACTTCCTAGAGCTTAATTAACCGTTTTAGCTGGTTAATTAAGCTGGTTTCGAGCGGAGCCGAACTTCATATAACCTTGCGGTTAGGATAGGATAATTATCGCAAAAATCGCATATAGTAGTAGGCCCATTCTTTGAAAAATGTTTGTTATAAAACTAATTTAAAAAATTTGTCCATTTATCGTGACGACATCCCTTGGAAATGGGGTTTTCCCTATAGGGTCTACAGTGACGGCTATATCTTCCCCAATTCTTATCAGATTTTCAAGCGGAGTACCTTAAACGATTTGTGGGGCGATTCTGCAACATTCTGCATCAAAATCCTGATACAAAATATTTTTTAGATTTTTTGTCCATTTTTCGTGATGGGAACCCTTGAAAATGAGGTTTTTCCCTATATGGTCCACAGTGATGGCTATATCTTGCCCAATTCTCATCCTATTCTCAAGCGGAGTACCTTAAACGATTTGTGGGGCGATTTGCCACCATTCTGCATCAAAATCCTGAGAAAAAATATTTTTAAGATTTTTTGTCCATTTTTCGTAAGGGATCCCTTGAAAATGGGGTTTTCCCCTATATGTCCCACAGTGATGGCTTTATCTTCCCCAATTCTTATCAGATTTTCAAGCGGAGTACCATAAACGATTTGTGGGGCGATTCTGCACCATTCTGCATCAAAATCCTGATACAAAATATTTTTTATATTTTTTGTCCATTTTTCGTGATGGGATCCCTTGAAAATGGGGTTTTTCCCTATATGGTCCACAGTGATGGCTATATCTTGCCCAATTCTCATCCTATTCTCAGGGGGAGCACCTTAAACGATTTGTGGGGCGATTTGCCACCATTTTGCATCAAAATCCTGAGAAAAAATATTTTTTAGATTTTTTGTCCATTTTTCGTGATGGGATCCCTTGAAAATGGGGTTTTACCCTATATGGTCCACAGTGATGGCTATATCTTCCCCAATTCTGATCCGATTCTCAAGCGGAGTACCTTAAACAATTTGTGGGTCGATTTTCCACCATTCTGCATCAAAATCCTGAGACAAAATATTTTTTAGATTTTTTGTCCATTTTTCGTGATGGGATCCCTTGAAAATGGGGTTTTACCCTATATGGTCCACAGTGATGGCTATATCTTGCCCAATTCTCATCCGATTCTCAAGCGGAGTACCTTAAACGATTTGTGGGGCGATTTGCCACCATTCTGCATCAAAATCCTGAGAAAAAATATTTTTAAGATTTTTTGTCCATTTTTCGTAAGGGATCCCTTGAAAATGGGATTTTCCCCTATATGTCCCACAGTGATGGCTTTATCTTCCCCAATTCTTATCAGATTTTCAAGCGGAGTACCATAAACGATTTGTGGGGCGATTCTGCACCATTCTGCATCAAAATCCTGATACAAAATATTTTTTATATTTTTTGTCCATTTTTCGTGATGGGATCCCTTGAAAATGGGGTTTTTCCCTATATGGTCCACAGTGATGGCTATATCTTGCCCAATTCTCATCCTATTCTCAGGGGGAGCACCTTAAACGATTTGTGGGGCGATTTGCCACCATTTTGCATCAAAATCCTGAGAAAAAATATTTTTTAGATTTTTTGTCCATTTTTCGTGAGGGATCCCTTGAAAATGGGGTTTTCCCCTATATGTCCCATAGTGATGGCTATATCTTGCCCAATTCTCATCCGATTCTCAAGCGGAGTACCTTAAACGATTTGTGGGGCGATTTCCCACCATTCTGCATCAAAATCCTGAGACAAAATATATTTTAGATTTTTTGTCCATTTTTCGTGATGGGATCCTTTGAAAATGAGGTTTTTCCCTTAGAGGGTTCACAGTGATCGGTATATCTTCCCCGATTCCCATCCGATTCCCAAGAAAGGTAAAAAAAAAAGTGTCAGATTCTCATATTTTCAAATCAGAAAACAAAACTTTTCTCATAAAATTGCTTATCTAATTGTGAGTATATCTAATACTAAACAAGTCCAAAGCTTCTGATAACTGACATTTTAACGGTCTTAATTACCTGCAACACCCATATATCAATCTCTCTGAAATTATCATCTTCGCCAGTACTTTCCGACTTACAAGCCACACTTGTTTGCGAGTATTTCTCACGTTCTAAGCTGCCAACTGACTGAATCGGGGCAACTTAATTAAGTTGAAAATTTATGAAGTTCTTTATCAACAGAAATTCATTAGGTGGAATCTAAAACAAGTACACAAAGTGTCGCTTGAAAAAAGCAGAGCCAAAATAATTTCCTAAGAAAAGGATTTCCTTTGGCATAAAAAGACACCGAGCTCAGCCAGAAAGTTCAAAGGAGGAAAAGTCAGGGAGTGCCTGCAATGAGGCATACGAAAAACTGAAAGATGCGCACAAAAGATGATTAATAATCTCCAGGACAGGCTGAGACTTCCAAAAGCCGCCCTGCCCCCCAGACAGGACGAAATTCCGCGGCCTAGGAGTGGGAAAAGACAAATGTCTTGGCTGCGTGGTCTCTTTCACAGTTAATTTAAGTTTCCAGGCGAAACGGATGCAGAAAAAAAATCTGCTGATTTTGTGAACTGTTTGTCGCTGATAAAATTATTAGCCCTCTTTTGTTTCAGGACCCCCCTGTGAAAATCAGTGACTGACAAGGAGAGGGAGGATATTCTCTTCTTTTTTTTTTTGCTTGGTTCGTGCTCGAAAATTTTTGAATTAAAATGCAAATTTTTTTGTTAATTTTGTTGTTTTTATTTTAATCAGCGGACCACAAGCCCAATTTCCCATTTCCTGGTTGCACTTGGATGATGATGGATGGTGAACCCCGGCGTATGTCCTGTGACCAGGAGTCAGGGGTTCCTGGCCCCAGGCTAGAAATTGTTTTTAGAAAGAATTTTGTTTTTTTTCTTGGCCGGCCTCTAATTTTTAATTTCCTTGTTAATGGATCGACTTATGAACTTGTAATTAGAAAGCTACCTATCATTAGGGAAGTACCACCAGAAATACCGAAATGCCATGCATCCATAAATAAATTAAATAAATATTAATTCGCTGTATAGTTTGTTTTAAGCCGCAGCCATTAGTTAAACTCTTAGTTAAGTGCTTGTGAGCCAAATTTCTATGTGTCTGCTGATTCTGTTTTCCTATCTGAAAGGCATCTAAAGACACCGCGTTTGGTTCACAGGCGCGAGCGAGAGACATAAACAATTAAACTCATTTGACGATTAATTACGCGCCGCTTTCAAATCGCGTGTGCTGCCACAGTACCCAGCAAAATTGTTCTATCAAAACACAGCAGCAACAGTAAGAGCGACAACATCGGTAGCGGCAGCAGCACCATCAACAGCTACAGCAGCAACACCAAGAACCACCAAAGTACAAATTCATTTGCTGCTAAAGACACAAGAGGAACTCGCATGTCGTGTCATAATCTTGATGAATGCATAATTGCATGCCATGCAAGGCTCCTCCATCCACCCACCCAACACCAAGCTCCCACCACTCAACTGATCTTCATTGAAACGGGTTTAAATGTCAACCAGCATAAAAGGGCCCTTGGAAGAAAGCCAATTTTCAAAATATTTTCCTGTATTTCAATAGAATAATAGATTATGCAATGAAAGTTTTTCATCTATGTACACTGAAAACTTTAATTTCAATAGATAAACATTAAAGACATTTTTTTATTTCCATAACAAAGACAGAGGATGAATCTTATACGATTTCCTCCATATCACATTTTATTCAAATATATTTTAGTATCTGATTTAACATATTTGTATTATAATTCTTAACTTACATTTTTTCTAAAAATATTAAATGCATTTTACGAACATTATGTATCTGGTTTCCATCATACTCTTAATGAATTATGCGGCAATTAATTAAAGATGAATACCCTAACCCACCCGAAACTAACCCAATCCCCGTTCAACCACTGGGAGTAGCCACCATCATCTTGAATCGACTCATTCATGGGTTCCGTGCACTTCAGGGACCGAACGAGACATTGGTGACCTAAATTATTCAATTCATTTTTATTTATTTTTAATTTTTTGATTTGTTGCAATATTTCCCCCATACTACGGGAGAGAAAGAGCAAAGGGGTCTGCTTGTTTGTGTAACTATTTATTCTAATTTGACCCGCTTATTGAGCCAGAGCCCGCCCCCTGGCCACGCCCTCGCCCCCACCCCACCGGCCATTAATTGATGCAGCCCCTTAAATGATGAATCACTTTTTCATTAAAATTTGACTTTGAGTGTGACCCTCATGTTGGCTGGCGTTGACTTTTGTGTGGTTAATATGTAGTTTGCTTCTGGTGATAGATTTCTGTCGATTGTGGCGCGGGGGAATCTAGCCATGTGTTGCTCCCTAGCACTCTTTTCTTTGTCACCCAACACTTCCCAGTACAATGAACCAGAATCGGGGGCGTCTTCAAACATCAAACTCGTGCTGAACACGGTAACCCACTAGCACAACATGCTGTCGATAAAATGCAGAGCTTGAGAAAAAGTTCTCTGAATCAGAAGTGGCTAAACAAAAAATTGGAAGATAGCACACCTGCACCTCGGACCGGAACGTGTATGTGGGCAGCTACTTAAATCGTATTTAAGCCAGGGGTAAGGGCCACCAGAAGTCAGTTTAACATTCAAGTTTTCACCAAGAGTTAGCACAAAATGCATTTTCCTGTGGTGTTTGTTCTAGGGGCCTGCATAATGGCTGTATTTGCCCAAGATATACCCACAAGTCAAACAGATGGATCTGGGTCTGGAAGCGTCTTTCCCGACTTTGATGATATCGAAGGGATCGTTCCGACTACTAACGCTATAACTACAGGCACTACCACTGAAAGTGGTTCTGTGAGTGATTCAACAGCAACGATTATAGTTACAGGCCCAACCGAACTGCCGTCACCTACTAGTAGTACTTTGGAACCATCTAGTAGTAGTACTACTGAGGCAGCAACAACTACCGTTTCCCCCACTTCAACATCGACAACATCTGCTGCCACAAATCCTACTTTCGTCCCTTCATCAACTTCAGAAAATCCGGATTCTACATCATCTGAGTCTACATCATCTGCAAGTACAGCTACGGAATCTACAGCTACTGATTCAACCAGTCCCGATTCTACTACCCCTGCTAAAACCTCAAATGCTTCTACAACTCCTTCTACCTCTGGGTCATCAACCGCCTCTACTTCAACTACCTCAACTTCGAGTGCCGATACTACTTCTGCACCTACTACTTCTGCCGATACTACTTCTGCATCTACCACTCCTGGCAGTACTACTGCAGCACCTAGTCAAACTTCTGACAATACTACTCCTGCTGATACCACTCCCGCCTCCAGCACTCCTGCTTCTACTACTCTGACTCCAAGCACAACAATTGCCACCACTACCGCCCAACCACTATCAGTAGAAGAACAAATTTTGGCTTTAATTTTGTCAAATGCCGAACTATTCCTTCAAAGTACTTCCCTAGTGGACTCGATATTCGCTTCAAACCTTAACATTGATGCGAATCTGGATCTTCAGGCACTTTCCCTTAGCCTTATAGAGCCTGTGGAAAATGTGCTGCTAAACTTGACCCGGGACGCCTATCTTACCCAAGCAAATGTGCTTCATGGTTTTCTGAATACCCTTCAAAACATTGACTTTATTCAAAACCGTACAAGTGACAACCTATCGAATATTCTTCGAATCCAACAACAAACTAAAAATATTGTAACTGACTTTGAGGTTAAGGTTTCGGAGGTGCAGGAAACAATCTTAGGAAGCACTAAGGGATTGGATGAAAAGCTCCAGCTGGTGACCCGAATTCTTCAGGATTATATCAAGCCAAAGGTGTCCGGGTTAAAGGAGTCGTTTGAACATCTAAATGTATCCCAAGTCAATTCCTTGGATGAATTGAAAAATATTCCATCGATACAAAATCTCACAGCAGAATTCATTGTTAAGCTTACTTTCCTGAATAACGAAGTCTCTATTCTCAATGAAACCCAGGAGAATCGTCTGAGCACCCTATCAGAAGCTGTGAAGAAATGGATACCCACTGACCTGGATTTAGTTGAGGACCTTCTTCAGAGTTTCAGTATTTCCCAAAAGCAGACGGACTTGGCCATTGCTGTCTGCGATAATGGCTCTCACAAATGTGGCAGTTCGGCAAAAATTTATGAGGAAAATTATAATCTCGATGACATTTTATCAAAGAACTATGAGCAGAACTATAAATCCCATGGTGGAGAAGCAGATGCATCTTACTATGATGAAATAGAAGATTACGATGCATCGTCCTGGCGCGTAGCTTCTAACTAAAAAAATAAATCAAATGTACCCCTCCTCACACGACACTATCGATTAGCAATAAAGAACTCTTTAAAATCCTATATCTGGGCAATGTATTTTCAGTTTCGGTTTCCCAGTTGTCAAGCACAAATTTAGCATGGCAAATATGCGGACTATTTTGGCTGACTATCAATTTTCAGACAAGGGAACACCGTGAAGCCGCTGAGCGAAACTGATATCCTCGGATTCCGGACTCTGAACTGAATCCCGAGGTCCCAGAGAACGAGAACTACAAATGGCGCGAAACAAAAGTCAAAACAAGCGCAACATGAATGAACCTTTTAACATACTTGTAGTTACTAATTCCAGGTGACAGGCGACACAATGAGCCGAAGTGGATTTTTCATTTTGCCATTGTTTTGGGGGATCGGGGTGGGCAGGGGCAGAGCTAGAGGTAAAGGCAAAGGCAGAGGACCATCCCATAAACAGAGGACACAACAAAGTTGTTGGAACAACAGGAACGTCTGCAAAAGTGACCAAAATCAGGGGCTACCAAAGTAGTAACAGATGCTCGGTGCGAAGGTGTTGCCATTGGCCTCTGAACGACCCGCTATCATCGGGAGTCCCGCATATCTTCTTGGCCTGAAAAGTATCTTCCCGGGCACACGACAGACAGAACCTTTTCCCTTTAGGCCGAATCTTTCCTTCTTTTTTTTTTTGGCACAAGCCGGGCAATAAATTATCAGATACAAAATCGAGCCGGGGACCAAGTCAAAACAAAGGCATAAACACTCGATGGACATGAGGCGGCCGACTGAGATGGCAACAAAGCACGCACTCGACCAATTGACGACACAAAAGACCAAAACAAAACCAGAATCGGAATCAGAATCGAAATCGGTATCAGAAGCCAGCCCAAAACAAAACCAAACAAAATACATCGAAAGGCAGCCAGAATGCGGAATGAACAGGAGTATATGGCCAAAACCATGGACAAGAGCAGCACATAAACACTGACAACATGCTGCGACATGGAATGACTTGGGTGCACACTCCGAAAAGTCCATGTTCCATTGAGTTTACACCCGAAAAAATTCGGGGAGCTGCATACCAGTATAACAATTATTTTACAACAATATTCTGAATAGATTTCTTCAAGTGTCCTGTCTGGAGCCTGGATATCGGAAGCAACGGCAGACGCACCAAATGACAACTTCGAGGGCAAAGTCAATGAGCGCCTTCCTGCTCCCTGTTATCGCCTGCTGCTCCGGCTTCTGCTCCTGCTCCTGCTGCCGCGCCAGAGTGTTCCTCTCATCGTCCTTTGGCACTCCTGCTGGACAGAGGACAAAGGGATCCCGGTGTGTTGCAAATCAAAACATGAAAACAAGGACAGCAAACAAAACTCTGAACATGCGTCGCAATGCTAAGAAATATTTTCACTCAAAAACATGCAAACAGCTAAAAGTTGTTCAACTTACTTTATGGAGCTGCTGGTGGTTGATGTTAAAAATTCTATAAGGGTTTCAAGGAATATTAGAAGAAGAATATTAAGGAATTTTGAAGTCTTTTCCTTCTAAATCCGTTGCCTGATTTTTCATTAAACTATTTTCCATCTTGGCTTTAACTTTCCTCCATTATCCCAAAATCCAAAGGCATTAATTCAACATCCAAAGCCCTGAAACTTCATAGTTACCACTTAATTAAACCCAATTAATCTACAATATAAATTATTAAATTTCATAAAGCAACAAAAGTTAAATAACTGGCACACCGACTGACGAAAGATTTCGACACCCAAAACCAAGTAACCAGAAACAGCATCTTCGAGGCAGAAGACCCAGGCCGAGACCAAAACCTAAACCAAGACCAAGATGAAGATGATGATTATGAAGGGAAGGGAACGGGAACGGCACCGGGAACCAGATCGGGAATGGGTTAAGGTGGAGGAATATCGGGGGGATTGCAGGATTGGTATCAGAATCGGGCCTCGGCAGCTTCATGCTGTGCGCGATTCATGTTCGGTGATTAAAGTAAAGTTCGTAAATTTACAGTTTTCATCAAAGGGGCGACTGTTAGTGGACTGGACTCACCTTTTCACAGTGCTCTGTGCTCTGCGAGCAGCCGGCGAGTTCGCCCAGAGTTCAGCCCAGGTGACTGTGACGGTGACTCTGTCTATGACTTCGAAGCCCCAGCTCCAGCTCAGGCAAAAGCTCCCACTCCATCCTCTGATAGTGGCATGATTTTCCACAGCAAGAATAAATATAGAATTGATTATATTCTTCAGTGAAAAGTAGTCGCTGGGTAGGTTAATACCCAAGCTTCAATAATGGTAAATAATCTGTTTAAAATTTAATTCAAATAAATTATTAAAGTAGATTTTTTGGAATTACTTAATATTTTCTTCAAGTGCACACACATATTCGGCGAGACAGACTCCTTTGGCTTTTCCTAAACTGATTTCCAGCAATAAGCATTAGTTGAAAATTGCAATTGTTTTTGTAAAGGGCGATGAGGGGGCACTGGGAGGCGGGCGGAAGGAGGGCACACCGCGGGGGAGTGCCAGTGCCAATGCCAGTCCCAAGTCGCAGTACCCAAGCCAGTGCCCGAGACCCAGCGATTGCACGATTCCCTGGCACACAGGGATCCCAAGAAGGTGGTGCAAGAGGCACATTATCAACGTCCCCGGCCACGTCGTCAGTGCAGCAGAAAAAGCTGAAAAATCCAATTGTATTTAACGAATTTTTCGTCGTAGCTGCGGCTCTGCTGCGATGGGTGCACTGGGCCCAGTCCCGGAGTGGAGTGCCGTGAATCATATGGACACCATTAAATGGAAAGGTACGAGCAATGGCAATCACCAACACGCGTCAATTGTGCGCGCTGTGTGAGACCGCTGGAATCGGTGGGGGAAATCCGAAAGCTTAAAAGTTGAAAAACTAAAAAACCAAGAACCCACAAAACAGAAAACCGATACCCCAATACAACCAATAATCCAGGGATCGAAAATGATCCTGTGACGTGACACGAGTTAAGTTTAACTTTGCCTAAAAGATAAAAATTACTATTAAATATCATTACAATACTATGCATATGTGTCAAGATTTGTGTTTTAATGGAACTTTCAATTCAATAAACTTTCAATCAATACTTATTTTCTATTATATTTATAATATTTATTTTTCTTATAACCAAATCTTTAAGAAAGCACGGCAGCATCACTAACTCCTATTTAAGCCAGAAACCAAGTCCCGCTTAGGGTCTGCTCTGTTAGCTGGAAATGGGATTCTGGGATTGCGCGACGTGAAAATGACCCTGGCCAGTGCCTGGATGTGCGGTGTCAATGCTTATCAAAAAGCCAGACTGCTCCGCCGCAACCGCAACCATTAATAAAACCTAATAACAACATAAATGCCAATATCTTTTTAACAAATTTGCCTGACTGCTCACAGCAGATTTCGATAAGTGAACTAAATAACCAGATTAAAGCCGATCGTAATAAATGTAATTTGAATTTCCCCCACTTGGCCGATGTGGGCCGAGGTGTTGCATGTTGCACGGCCGGGCACTGTTGTGGTGCATTACTTAATTGCACGGGCGAGGATATCACCAGGCAATCGATCGTCACGGATTATCAACGTGCAATAGAGCCCAGTTTAAATTATGCGTTCGAAAGGGTTCGCAGCACCGCCGACAGGTGTTGATTGCCCCACCTGAGAGTGCCTCCTTTGCATGTTGCCGCTGGAAAATGCCATCAGGTTGATATCCGAGAAGATGATGATGCTGGGCCGCGCCGTGATGATGGTCAGGCGAACGTGTTGCAAATTATGGCATTTGCTACGTGATGAAATTGGGAGGCTTAAGAATCGAACGGGAAGGGTAAAGGGTTCTGGGAGAGACCAGACTGCAGGTTGCACCGGTGCACTGAACTACAGAGTAGTTTTGAGACTCCACTTAAAGCTAGGCATTTATTACTTCATTTAGTTGTGGGCCACCAGATTCCGGGTTCAATTAATGTCTACTTTGTTTGGCTAACAAATTGAACAAACTTTGCAATTGCGGCCGCAACATGACTTTATTTTATTTGCTCTTGTTGCTGTTGCGGCGTTGCAGCTTGTCGTTGATTATTGCCTCTTGCTGCCGCCGAAGACAATCAGTCGGGCTGGAGTGCAATTTGCCGGGAGAAAAAAATAAATTTGAGTTCAGTTGCCGGGTCAAGCAACTGCCGGCTACTGAATTTAACCGAAAAAAAGCCCGAGCCCCCAAAACAAAATCTTTTTTTTTGTTTTATTTTTTGGATCAGTATCTGCATCTGAAGTTAGAGCAACAAACAGAAATTGTTTTGATAACAATCTCGGTCCCAGAAAATGCTCTAAAGCCAAACAATAACGTGCCAAAAGTTTGCTACTGAATTTTAAATATTAATATCGCGGTATCGAGCTTAGCGACAGGGCCCCGCCCCGCCCTTGCCAGCATTACTTTGGGATTTACTTTAGATTTTTGGTTTTGGGGGCGCGCACGTTTTGGTTGTAGCGGAAAAGTTGTACTTTGAACATGAAAAATATGTTGTTTAGATTTTATTTCGCAGATAGACGACAAGTAGACTTAATTATCATTTTTCGCGAATACATAAATACATTAGCTCGGGATCGAGCTTATTGAGGGCGGCCCGATGTCGCCGCTGTTGTTTCTTCTGCTCATTTTGGCCAACTTTCGCCAGTGGGAAATGCTGCCAGCTATGCAGCTATGTTGGGCCTTAACCGAAACAGAAACTCTGGCCGAAAAAGAAGCACAATCATTTCCCAGCAAATCTATGCGCATCTCTATGCAAATGTGCGCTGTATCCGAGCCGAATTAAGAATAGGGGAATACTTAGTACGTAGTACGTAGCCAGGCCAATGCCGAGGCAAACATATTTTCCATGTCGATGCCATCGATTGCGTTATGCAAAATATATGCAAATGCCATAAATACGGCAGCGTCACTGCGGCAGTGGCAGTGGCAGCATCTTCTCCTCTTTTCCAGTTTTCCTCTTAAATTTCTGCTTTCAGCTTTCTGCTTTTCCAGTGAAACATCTTTGAAGAGTCGCGACTTGCGGCTCGCGATTTGAGAGATTTGTGAAATTTATCGGGCCAGTTGGGTGGATGAGTGGGTGCGATGAATGGTGGATGGTGGATGCCATGGATTGGCATGGAGGGGTATTGGGCTCAAGGTGTCGAGGTGCTTAGGTGGGTGTCTGTTTGTGCGGCTTCATTCCCGGAACGGTAGTTAGACTCTGCCTGGAATATTCGACGACTTTGACAACATTTGAATATCGTTTGGTATCGGGCTGCCTAAATTGAGTTTCGAAATTCTGCAAAATCACGAAGTTGAACCCATCTGTCAGTGAGTTGGTAATTGAGCGCGAGTCAAACGGTGAAAATTTTCGCATAATGAGCCTGGGGCTTGATACCAAAAATATGTGAAGGCTCAGTGCCCAAAATCAAACCATAAATCTTACGCAAATAGCACTCAAAAAGCAATAAGGCTATTTCAACGCCATTGTGTGCTAAGTAGATTTCGAAAAGGCGATACAAATTCAGAGACAAACACAAGGTACAGGACAATGCGTTTGTTTTCTACCCAGCTCCAGGCCTGCTTCCGAAAAATGCCTCCTATGTCGGTTGCAGTTGCAGTGGCAGTTGCTAGCCAGCAATACGCAATTTCCATGACAATAACCTACCGGACTCTGGCTAATCTATGAGCCAAGATCACAGCCTGTAAGATGCTGCAAGATGTTCCGTTTTGTCCAGTTTTTGCTGAATCAATTTGTTAAAGAAACAATGGCCGTCGCAGGACAAAGGACTTTGAGGGGCGTGCGACATTAGTAGACACTTTTGCAGACCATGAGGGTGGCTTCAGATTTCTCTGCCGCCAACTGAGCGGATAATGCGATTTTCCGGACTGGTCAAGACGTAATTTGTGGGTTTTTTAGCCTAAATTCTAGAGGTCCAACACAGCTGCCCATGAAGGGCCAGAAAATCGTTTTCAAATAAATATTTAAATCGTTAAACATTTCCATTTTTCGGTGTAGTTTCAAAATTCTTGCGCCGAACAGATCCTCCTGCCACCACACTGTCAACTGCCAGCGGGTGGCTTATCGCCTTTCGTTTATCGCTTATCGCCATAATTCCTACTCAACACTTTGGAAAGTTCAAGGAATTTAAAGGATGAGGAAGCACTTTTTGTGTCACACATGCAACATGCAACGTCATCGTTGTTGTCGCTGTCGATGTGGTTGCCGTTGTCGCGAGCCATTCCAGATGCATCTGAGCATCTCGGCATCGGCAGCTGACCCAACATGCAAAAGGTATATGCGATAATCACGTCTCGGCCAGCCGGCAACTGTGCCACAAACTTATCTCGACGGCAGCATCAATAAGTGGTACCTACCGATGACCAATATGCTAAGGTAGACCGCAAGACGACAGCTCCCGAAAAGCGGGAAGGTTGCCCTTGCCTCACATTCTGGGATTTGGTTAGGAAAGCATCTTGTATCTATCCCACAGCAATTCAACTTTGAACATTTGCAAGTGCCACCATCAATTAAAACTAATAGAACAATTAATGAACACAAACCGCAAAATGCAACCACAAAGCGAGAACTTAGAAGGAGACAACAAAAAGATGTCGAAGTTTATTGTAACACGATCTCCAGAAAACGAATATTAAATGTTCTTCTTTACGTTGAGAACTTAAATAATACTTCGAATATTTTCTACCTACTACTAACCACTTTTGAAAATGTTTCTCTTTACCTTAAATAAAGTTTTATTTCTTTATAAATTATAATCGCTGATTAATGAAGCCCCTTCCGGAAAGGGTATTAGAGGCGCATGCGGAACTGGCTTTTAAAGAAACTAAATAAAAGAGTTTTGTTCGACCGTCTTCATTATCAGCATAATCTTCATGATCATGATTGTCTTTGGCAATTAAGCCAGATGAATAAATAAATGAATGAATGGGCCAGCGGGCGGGTGAATAATATGAGTGAATGGGTGAGTGCATAAGTTGCCAGCTTATAATTTCTCGACTCTAATTCCCAAGAAATTAGAAAAGGGTGCGGGTGGTGCAAATGCAGCACCGCTCGCTGCAGATCGCACAAGTAAGATTGAACTGGGGGGCGTGGCCGGTGGAGGACACGCCCACTGCCGTGGCAGCCAAAGTGCACAAACAGTTAAATGCGATCTTCTGCTCCGCGTAATTGCAGTCAAAGAAACATGCAATTTATCTCAGCTGAAAACAATTGAATCTATGAATTATGAAATATTTTAACTGAAGCAAAATGCCACAGACTTGGAGGGCTTCCCGGCTGCTGCCAGAGTCCACATCCCTCTAATTAACTAAGTGCCACGCACCTTGAAGCCTCAGCTGAAGGGCTGGGAGCAAAAACCCATTTTTAGCATCATGCATTTTTAATTCCCCTAATAGCTTTTGTCTCTAGCTATACCCAGCCAGACATTGATGGACCAGCAGCCAGCCAGCGAGTAAAATTAAAACACCAAAACGCAGAAACACCAAAAATCCTGTCCTCTGCCTCAGCTGCTGGCCAGATGCAGATTAATTCCCAGCCCAGCCCGGCCCGGCACAAAGTGGCCCAAAAAAGTTGTCCTTACCTGGTCGCATCTGTGGGTGAACTGCGTCAACTAAGCGCAATGTGTCCTCCATCAAAATTAATTACCAAAGGAGCGAGGCAGTCGAGCAGTAAGGCCAATTGTCAGTTGCGGCGAGCTCAAAAGTTAAAAGGGGGCGCCGGCGACTTAGCCACCCCCTTTGTCACCCGCCGCCTCCCTCTGGGGCTCATCAGTCAACACTTGCTTAGTAGTCTAAAATGATAAATTGCCATCTCTTCCCCCGACACGGCACAAATTTTAAAGAAAAAGTTCAATTTTGGATGACTCAACAGAAAATGTTGCAGCATACTTTGGGGCGCCAATTTCATAACGATTTACTTCGATTCTCGAAACATAATTGGATAGCCTGTAAGATTTTTTAAAGGTTACGCTCAAGCCACCTAACATTATGAATATTCTAAGCTTTTATTTAATAACAATATATAATTTTTGAGGCCAAATTAATTAACCAGACATTCTGAACTCCTCTGTTGATTTTTAATTAAGAACTTGAATGAAAACCAAAATTAAAGTGATTTATGCCAACGACAAATGCGTGAAGAAAATATTTCGTGCTTTAATTATAAACAAATAAGAAAGCAATGGAGTCGCAGCTAGCATAAACAAATAATTAAGGGGAGGGTAAGGTCAAATCATGCGAAAAAAGCCATGTTTTTGTGATTTTTTTCCTGACGACACAGTTAAAATTTATTTATTCAATCAACGGTATATTAAAGTATGACATTAGAAGAATGTTTAATAAAATTTTTACAAAAAAATATTTAAAAATATGGCAATGGTAGCAGTTGTCCGGACGTGTCGCCAAAAAAAGTTGAATTGCGGTGCCCCTCATAACTCGGTGCTGGATCATTTGTAATCAAAAAATGAAAATTCATTCGTTAGATAATAGTTCGCCCCAGGTAACGCTGTAAAAGTTTTTTGAAAATTGCAATTTTTTAATTTTTTCGAAGACTTTGAAGTGAAAAACTCAATTTTTTGGGAAAAAATCGGTTAATTTGTCATTGCAAAATCAAAACTATGAACAAAAAAAAAAAACTCGACAGCGTTACCTCGTAAAATATGTACAGAAATAGTGTTTAAAATTTCAAAAGGATCGGTGCAGTAGTTTTGAAGTTATGAGGGGCACCGACTTTGAAAACGTGAGTTGTGGGAATAACGCTTTAAAGTTTTAAACAAAACAAAATCCAGTGTAAAACGTTTGCAAGCAACTTCGTCAATAACTAATAACTTCGTCAATTTTGCTTTAATTGACTTGAAATTTTGACACAATATTCTTCAGATATTATGCATTCAATTTAAAAAATAAAAAAAAAATGGAAAAAAAAAAAATTTAATACCTTACCCTCCCCTTAAAAGCAACCAGCAATGTGAGGGTCGAGTTTTTATTCAAAAACATTTGTGTAAATATTTACCATGACTCAACGATGTCAACTAATAGTCTAAGCTGGCGTATCCTTCACAGAGTCCTTGCACGCATCGCACCACTCTTGTTAACAATGTTTGCTTGAACCACGAAGAGCTTTTTGTTGGTGGTGCCAAGGAGTCAGCCCTGCTGATGTCCTGTCAAAGATAATGTCACACATGATTGCTCCTGAGTGGCTTTACGTCGCTGCTGTGTGAGTTTCTAATTAAAAATGTAAAACATTTGGCTTTGTCAACGGGTCGGTACAAAATTGAACAAACATTCCTGGGTGACATTTTCTTTTTAGCTTTGTGGCTTTCAGAGCCACCCAGGTCATGTGAAAAGGCAGACTGATTTGATTTGAAAAAGGCAACTAGATATTTTAATATGTGGAAAATCAAAATAGTCAATAAAAAGAAACATTTTGCCTCCTGTGAGGATTGAACTCACGACCCCTGGTTTACAAGACCAGTGCTCTACCACTGAGCTAAAGAGGCCTTTATGAACGTCAGCATTTTTTTACAAAACTTTAACTAGAAGAATAACTATTGCAAGTATGTCTTTTCATACTGTTGGCACTTATCAGTTCACCTATGATGATAAAAATGATTTTTTATCTAGTGTTTCTTTTATAGTTGAAGCAGTTATGTAATTGCACTTTAATATTGCTAGGAATATTTACATTTTTTCTACCCTACCCTATCTAGGAGAGGTAAAGTGTCTAGGAAAACCAAAACTGGATTTTGGCGGACTTAATCCTTCCAGACGAATGCGTTGAAATTATTTATTATGACGCAAAACTTTTTTCCAGCCGCAGCCCATCGCGTTATCTCCTGTCCTAAAGAGCCAAAGGGTCTCGACTGCCGCCAAAAACAACATACCCCAAAAATTCAAAGCCACCCATGCACCGGAAAATGGAAAAACAAAAGCAAAAATTAAGCCCTAGGTAAAGCGCTTTAAAAGGTGTGTTGTGGCACCAGCAGGAGCAGGCAGGCTATTTCAAAGGACCCAAATTTGTTCATGTGGCACAATCGAATAAAATGATTACCCAGGGCTTAATCGAAAAAGGTCAACTGAGACAGCTTACTTCAAATTTAAATGAAATGGAAAAAATTTACATTTTTGAATTTCTGTAGCTCTGTAGCATTGTATAATTTTTTTCACAAGAATGTCTTGAATCAATATATTTAAATATAAAAATATCAACATATTTTGTCACTGTCGATATTGAGCCAACATTTTTATACTATTTATCGATATACAAAAGTTATAATCGATGAAGTGAGTGAACTTCATCGATATCATGATATTTAACATCCCTAAAGTTGTTCTTAGCTTTTCCTGTCAAAGAAAAATCTTGTCAACTGCAAGTAGTCTTGTGAATTTGTGAAAACTTCTCAGCTTTTATAAACTAGTTATATTTTTAATCATGCCGCTGGATCAAGTCTTTATTGGACTTTCGCGCAACCGCAGTTGGATCAATGTGGCTCTAATGCGCTCGGTAAATCTTTACCAGCCGAACACTTTGCCACCTGAACACCAGCCGAACAACGCCAATCTTACTGAGATGATTGAGGTATGCTCCAACGGATTTAGCTGGAAGGAAAAAAATCTGGAGTACCGCGTTGAACTCGAAAGGTTCTTCGAAATTTCCACCAAGGGTGACGAGGGAGAACACATTTTTGGAATGGCCGAAATGCAGGACAACAATGTGATCTTCGGCGTGGGACTGCATCGTCTCAACCCCCGAATGATGGCCACCGACATCGAAATGGCGGATATTCGTATTTTTATTAAAGCCTCCAAAAGGTATTCGCTCCACTGCAGCAACTGTGCCAACGAGGTAATTACGGCGAGGGAGTTCGCCCAAGTCAAGCCCGTGCCGGTGACCACGATGAAGCCCCAGAACTACTTCTGCGGACGAGGCAAGATTCCTATATATCCCATGGAAGATCATTTGTTCTTTGGACTAAATTACCTGGTAGTGCATCCTAAGGTGGTCGGACCTGGCGTCACCTATACGCGCGGTCAACGACGTCTGCAGTGCTCTCGTTGCCTCCAGGGCTTGGGCGAAGCTCTGGGCCTCAACGTGGCCGTGCATCTTTATGCGGATGCGCTTCGTGTGCTGCCACGGGTTGAGGAAAATCCGGCTGTCCAGTTTCTGGATATATTTGGCCACGTGACCGTCACCCAGATGATGCTTCGGCTGATGCACGATGCTGAACCAATTAGTCCTGAAAAAGCACGGATCTTTTTAACGGCTGTACGTCCTGATGGACAGTTGCATTACTTGCAGCTCTTGGTGTACACACGAAAAATTCAACTACTGCGTTCCTCGCTGGCCCCCAAACATCAGAGTCACCCTAGACGCGGGGCTGCCGCCGAAGCAGAATCCAGCAGCGAGAGTGACTTTGAGGCAGTAAGTTCGGACAGCAGCAATACCACTTTTACTCCCGAGGAGGAGATTGTCCGTCCGGCTGTATTTAGGAAGCCAATAAGGGAGCGTCCCCTTAAGGTGGTAAAATATGTGGAGGTTAGTGGATACCGCGCCTACCGTATTAAGTATGTGTTCTCCGGCAGCGACCACGAGCTCTCCAACAACCATGAGGTCATCGAACAGTGGCGCGAAGAAGGATGCCGCTTGCTGCGCGTGTCTTATTACATGATGGCCGATATTATGACAGAACTGAATGCAAATGAGCATGTGGTGGCTGCCCTGGAGAAATCACCGACACCAGTCCAGACCGACCAGCCCCGTGTCAGCTATATAATATATGAGACTGACGAGGAATTCTACGATAGGCGAAATAAGAGGTAACGTATTAATTTCTTTTAAAATTGAATCAAATCTGTAAACTTTTCCAACTTTAACGGTTTTAATTGCTTTTTGTCTTACTTAACTTCATAAAACCTTTCCCAAATCTACATTAACCCTTTTCCACCGAGGGCATGTAATGTCCGTATTCCTTTTCCAAGACTGCAAGGGCTCCTACAGTTAAATTGAAGGCATATTTTTCTAATTGTCTTATTGTTGGTAATTAGTGCAGGTTTAATTGCGGAAACCCTTATAATTTGTGAAGCCAACCGATGCGGTTTATGGCTTATCCCTCTGGAGAAAGGAAGGGAACTGACCACATAATTAATCGTTGGCTGGTTAACGAAAAACAATTTGTCCAAATAACAATTAAGGGCAACCCAAGAGCAAACAAGTAAAGCACCCTCAGGACAGGACACTTGAACGCCCCCAAACAGCGGGAGGACGATTCGAATCAGGATTCAGTCGGTGGAATCAGTAAAATCGTTAACAGCATTTGACAGTTGACAGTTGGCTAATGAAAGTCCAGGGGAGTGAAAGTGTCCGTGGCTATGAAGCAAGTTGATTAATGACAGTTCTGATTTAAAGTTTTTCACCGCACTTTAAATTTCTCTTTAATTCCGTTGAGATTGGACCTTTGTGGCAGTACCCGAAATCCATTCATTATATATGCATTGCCTCTCCATTATCCTTCCTGCATGCACTTTGTTTGCATTGTCCAGCGCGGATTTCAGCTGTTTTTCTTTTCGGCTGGAACAACAATGAGTTTCAATTTGAGATATGAAAGATGAGTCCCCCAGCAGGTGGATAGGACAATGGCTAATGGTCCGGCCGCTATTGTTGGCCGGACTTGGTTGGGAAATGGGGGAAAAGTCGCGGTAATAGAAACTTTCCAGAATTAAAAAGTGCATTGGGGTTATCGCTGCATTCGTTTAAGGGCGAAATTCCTGACAATTGCCAATAATTAACATAATGAAACGATAAATTGTGAAAGTCCAATGACACTAGACAGTGTGTAGTAGCTATGGGGGAGAAAGCATGCGAAATTAATATTAACGCCATGGCTCATAGTGAAAGTGAGTATCCCCTTGGAAAGCCATTCCATATGGCCCGCTATGGGCGCTCTTTCACTTGCTCCTCTGGTTAATTACCAAGATGTATGCGTGTCGTGCACCACAGACCAATTAACCCCCATTATGGTCAGCTGAGGGACAGCTTTCCACACTCGTCCTGGGTCAAGTTCTGGTCCAAACAGCGAGGGCAAGCAATTAAGATTTCCAAGAGCCACCAGCACACACACATCCGTGCACGAGGCGCAAAACAAACTCATTCCGGTGAAGCCAAATTGCTTTATGATGTTGCAGATTATGATAATGAATGATGCCATCTGGACTTGCACTTGGTACATTGACCAGGGCTATGTTGACACTTTAAGTGATTTAATGTTATTGTTTTCGCACCCCCTCGGCTTTCGTTTTGCCTCTCCCTTAAGCTAAAGTCCTCTCTACGATTGGAAGGCTCCAGTGTAAATAAATTAAATGGAACTTGGACCATGAAAATTATTTTTATTCTGTATCCAAACCATGACCTTTCGGTTTTTCTAATATTTCCTTTATGGCAATTCAATCACAATTAAAACTGTTTCAATTAGTAGAATGTAAAAGTCCTGTAAAGCTTAAAGGCACTTGTAGTATTATTACCTGATAAGATATTATATTTTATCTTTTAACTTAAAAGATGCCTCATTCGACGATATCGACTTCTGATAGAATATCTTGGGAAAAATAGTTCCACTTTCAAGATAGCCTCTTTAGCTCAGTGGCAGAGCATTGGTCTTGTAAACCAGGGGTCGTGAGTTCAATCCTCACAGGAGGCAGGTCAAAAGGCTTATATTTTTAAATATTTTAGAAAGCTATTAAATTTTCTATTAAAATCTTTATACCCTTGCAGAGGGTATTATAATTTTGGTCAAAAGTGTGCAACGCAGTGAAGGAGACATCTCCGACCCTATAAAGTATATATATTCTTGATCAGGATCACCTCCTGAGTTGATATGAGCATGTCCGTCTGTCCGTCTGTCTGTCCGTCTGTCTGTTTCTACGCGAACTAGTCTCTCAGTTTTAAAGCTATCGTCTTGAAACTTTGCACACACCCTTCTTTCCTTTGCACGCAGTATATAAGTCGGAACGGCCCGGATCGGCCGACTATATCCTATAGGTGCCATATAACTGATTGATCGGAAATGGTATAACTTTGGTGTTTTTGGAGTTAGAAGTTTGGGACTTTTTTTTAGATTTTATATTATAATAAATTGGGTTATATATTCCTATTCCCATAAGGATCGGCCAACTATATCCGATGTTTGCGATATATATCCGGTTTTAACTGCAAGGGTATATCAACTTCGGCTCCGCCCGAAGTTAGCTTTCCTTTCTTGTTTTCTCTAAATTCTCTTCCACACCAAAATACATGAAAATGTATATATCTTGATATATATTTTTGTCTGTCTATTGACACAATTGCTAACAAATAAATTTCCAACACCAGGCTACCATGAATCCTGATTGCATATCTCTGTTTCCCATCCCAATACCCTTCGCTTTTCACCGATTCTCCCATCTCCCAAAAATTGGGAGTGTGAACTGCCATTGAAATGTTTTTGATTGGAAAAAATTTAATTTCCTATACGTTTCACACTGCTTATCGCGGTTGCATTGTGCTCCAAATACGGCGAAAAAATCGGTTTTATTTTTTGCACAGCTCCCTGTCACAAGTATTTTAAATTTAAATCAAGTTTTGGCCCAGCGGATATCTCAATTTTTTTTATTTTTTTTTTTTGCTATTCTACTCCAACCTCGTGTGTTGTGCTCAAAAACCTCAAACCACAATTAATTAAACCAAACGCTCTTGAGAGCCGCAACAATTGCGAAAAATCATTGACAGTTTATTTTTTTTTCTAGTCGTTTCAACAAAAAGTTTCACATTGCCAGTGTAAAAGCTTCAATTACAACTTTTCGATTTGTTGTGCGAAATTGAGGATTCCCACTGCCAATAGACGGCAGTCTAACAAAACGAAGAGCAAAACACGTTCATTAAACGCTCTTCTTATGGCCAAACCAACCCATATTTTTGTCACTTTTTTTCTGGCTCGCATCCAAACACACATTCGTCCGCCGGAGTTGCTTTGTTCCGGGAACAATGGCGGAACCGCAGAGAGCCGGCGCAGTAGAGTGAAATTCATTTTTTCCATTAAATCGAGCCGTTGATTGTGCATGAAGTGAGGAGGCGCAAATGTCAGGGCTTCGGTTAGATGGGGCGCTTCGATACCCCGATAGGTTGCCAAAGTCCTGCAGTTGCGGGTCTCAGAGGGCCTCGAAGGGGAAGTAGCGCCACCAACCAGAGTCAGAGTGAGCTGGGTGCCTTTGGGACCATTGATCTGCCACTGGAACTGGTTAAAGTAAAGTGGAATTTTAAATTCCCTAAAAAATGAGTGAATAGTAGCAGTTCAAATTATATAACTTTTTAAATAATGGATTTAGACTATTCATATCTTTCGTATCTCTTAATTTATAGAAATATATAAAAGATATTCTGATAGTATTATCTCATTAGGGTATTATCCATTCGATTTTGTTTTAAGTTCTTATTCATTCGAGGAAACTTTTTTCTCATGAAATTCGATACACTCGCAAATGGCTTTTTGACAAACAATGACATGGACCAACTCACCTACGATTGCAGAGACATTTTCTTTGGGTTTTCTTTTTTTAACTTTGTCTCAACTCGCTTTTGTACTGACTCGCATTTGCAAATGAATTGCTTATTGACAGTTTGATGGAATGATTCCCTGGCTGCCGATTTGCAGGACTTTTGTTATTCTTTAATTAAACGCAACAGAGAAAATGCACAACAGCAAAGGATTAATTCTGTGATGAATAAAGCTATTCGCATTTTTTGTTAATAAATTTCTGTAGCAATCTTTTGGGTGCTACGTATATTCAGGTTTTTCAATAATCATTAAAAGAAACTGGATCTTACAAGAACAACTAGAAAATCTATCCAGCTTGTTCCTTTAAAATTGGTCTCTAATTTACATATGTCGAGTTTTTGCCAGAAAGTCACATCCGTATGATTGCTTTTTGCAGGACACTCCAAAACGAAATCGACAATCGTCCGGATCATGGCGTTCACATTAATTGAAGTCGCCTGCAGCAATTAACAACTTACCAGAGCGACTCATGTATGCAAAATCCATTAAATCACTTAAAAAAAGAGGAGAAGAGCACATTTGAAACCACTTCAGAGCAAATGACACATAATACGACTACAAAACAGTTGCGCCAGATCTCCGCAGGAGTAGGGGAATTCGCAGGACACACACACACCCACTTGGCAGCTGGGACCGCCCTTTCCGATGTCGATGATAATGTAACAACACTCAACCTCTTGGCAAGCCCAGAGAAAAAAGAAACCAAAGGACATATAAAGGTAGGTGGGGGCGCTTTCCAAACACCAAAAGGGTTGGTCGTGACTTTAGGACAAGCCGAGGGGCAGATGAAATTGTCACTGCGGCAAATTTAATTACATCATCTGCATCTCTACCCCAGCATCCTGGTTCGGTGCTTTAAAGCTGCCCATAAATTCAGGTGACTCCCCAGGCCTTCCTCTATATCCCCTTCTATAAAATCTCCCCCATATGTGGATGTGCCACCTCATCAACTGTCAGAATTCAAATTCCAAAAAATGTCACAAAATTTGACATGTACGGAAAAGAACTCCCGATAATTTATATATGGATGCATGTTGAAATATGTCAAGCATGAACGACTGATAAGGTAAAAATATTTGGGGAAAGGACATCAGTTGTTAGCAAATCTAAAAAATAAGTCGGAAATTCGTGTGGCATACTTTTGGGATGATGAAAAGCACTCAACTATGCGTCCAACAAAACCCTTTCCGTTAAAATAAGAACCCATCATATTCAAATTGGGCACCTGCGTCCCTGCACCTGTGCCGGCTATTTTCAATTAGCCTAAAACCCGGTGTCTAAAAGCTGAAAAAAAGAATGAACTGTTTAATGCCTTTTATCCCACTCATAATTCGCATAATGACAGAACATCCAGCTTCCAAGCCGGCCCGGTAATTTGGCCGGCAAGCAAACAAGGGCCGCAGCTGACCACTCCCGGATGCACTTCAACTTTCCACCCTGTTGCGTACAATCAATGGCAGGACACGGGCACAAAAGTCCGGACGGATGGCTCTGACCGGCCCGTCCCCCAGCCCCACCAACCCGTGTCCGTGCCACGCGGACGACGTCGTCGCGTCCGGATTGTTGCAAAAGTGCGAAACCGCAAATGTTAAACGCAACACACAAGTCAATTCCGTTTGAAAACCCACCCAGAAGCCGAAAAACCACGGCGACAACCACAACCAGGCCACAAAGCTCTTCAATTTGCTTGCCATCTATTATGGCAGCTCATTGTGGGATTACCGCAAAGACCAACCTCACCATCCCATCGTGCCACCACCCGGCCCGGGCCCGACCCACCCACCATCCGAACGTGAGGCCGAACCACCAACGAGGAATTGCTAATAAAAAGGGTGGAAAATCCACTTTGCTATGGCATTTGATTTTGATTTTTTCCCCTCGTGGGACAGACGATTCCTGGTGGAATGAGCTCTGGCAGATAAAGTTGAATGGTATAGGGCCTGATGACTTTTGATGTCAACGGATAAGTACCAAAATCTATATACACTGAAAAGAACCCTATAAATCTTTACATATGGTCTATAAATTGATATTTCATTACGGCTTAGTTAGTTTTATATACATATGTATTTATGAATATTCTAAGCTAAAATGTAATACATTTTTAATAACAATTTAAATCTTTCTTTTCAGGAAATAACTAAATACCCATAACTGCATGATGAAACACCATGATTAAAAAAGCTCTTATAATCCGGAAACATACTGAAAAACCAACTTTCTCAAATTTACAAAAAATCAAAGCTTATAGAATTCTATTATAACTTTTAACAAATAAAACGCCATTAAAAAAACTATAATTACTCCAATTATTTTCTCAGACAAAGAAAAATCAATAAACGAGGTATGTATTTTCAATTGACCAATAAAACCAAAAAAGCTAATCCATCTGCTCAACATAAACCGATGACGAGGAAGCATTTGAGGGATAGTTAGGCAGCAAGGATACGAGAACAAAGGGCACGGCCTCCAGCTGAGTAACTTTTGTGCAGGTCTTACAGGATTACACTCGATTACAGGATACATTACAAGTTCGACGGGTGGCCCACCCGCCGGGAATGATCAATCAAGCCGGAGAACGACGACGAAAATTTCATGCCATTCCGGCTGACTGAGCTCGGTCAGTTTCTGTCGTTCCATTATAATCGTTGATACCCCATGTTAATTATGAAATTGCGCTTCGCCTTGGACTCCGGGTAGCTGGGCAAACAAATCATTCAGCAGCCAGGAATATCAAAAGAATGTTTTGCATTCGGACTCGACCGGAGCTTAATGAAAACCGGAAATCCACTTGCTTCCCATCACCGTCTGGGTCCTTCTCCTTGGCCCGAAAAGTTATTGCGTGCTATTACAACTGTACGGACCGGTCTGTCTGGAGATCTGTTTGCTTTAGTACTTGTCTGCCGTTCATTTTTTGTGCTCCTTTTTAGGCGATTAATTAATGCAATTAATCTGCTGGCTGAATTTCCCGACTCGGATCAGAGCGCTGTTGATTCCTTTGGCTGCGTTGATGGAGTTGTTGGGGGCGCACTTGTATTCCCAGTTCGGGGAATGAGTGTAAATAAATGGTTAAGATTAAGTTGAGATTATTACTAATAAAGGAATTCATTAAGCCTATAAGCGTAGCCAGACACATGAGAAGAGCAGGGACTAAGAAAGGGACTTTATAAACCATTTTTATATTAATTTAGATAATTTTTAAATATGGTATATTTATAATTCCTTTTTTTTCTTCCATTAGTTGAATTTATAACTCAACAAGCTTTTATTTAATATTTAATGAAACTCATTAACAACGTGAATTAATAGTTTCAATGCCCTCTGACTAGGTTTTTTCATAAGCCCCAACCGAAAATTGAAATGATATAACTGAATTCATGACACTTGGCGATTGGAACTCAAACAAATTACCATATTAATTGCCACTAATTAAAAATTCATTAAAACACTGCACTGCGACCGTGGGCCAGGACCGGAGTACCGAACACTGAAAAAGAGCAAAAGCCAGGCCAGACCGGAGCAGAATCCAGCAATTTATTATGCTTTGTCATCTCGGTCGACAGGAGAGCCTGTGTGCGCCGAACGATAATAATAAACATTTCATTTTCATAATTTCTACTCTTTTATCGCTGGCGGAATCAATGAGTTCGAGTTCATAATGGCCAATCCCCCCCAATCCACTCACTCTCGGCCACTATCTCTGTGTACTTTCAATTAGAAGCCAACTCCAGGCCATAACGCCATAACTTACCAACTAAAATATGCAAAAACAATGTTCCCGTACTGAAAGTTTCAATCGCATCGATTTGTGTTCGGGCGGATGTGCACTGTTCTGGCCATGTTGGGGGTGTAATTATGAGCTCAACGCGTCCAACCCCTACAGTTTCCAGCTCCCTTCCATGACCCACCGTCACCTGTAACATCTGTGCACCCTGCGCCGGTGGATCGGTGTCTATTCAGGCCATAAATTCCGGCTGTGTGGCACATTAATTAATTTGGTTTTGTGCTCCATTTCAAAAAGGATTATTTACCGGTTTCCTGGGCATATGTGAATTTATCTATATGGTGCATTGATGTGAGCTTTTTAAAGTTAGACTCCTTAGAAATTCGGAAAAATGTGGTTAAAAATCATACCTCTTTAGTTTGTTTTAAAATTATAGGCTATTCACATCTGAAGTCTTACTCACCCCAACCTCACCCCGATGGAGCCAAGAAAACACTTCGCCTCAGCTGTGCGACGAAAAGTTTGTGACATTATAAAATCTAATGAACAGAAATTAATTTACAATAACAATAACTAACACGAAGCAGCAGGAAAGAGTTGCCGATGCCACGGACTGACACCCAGGGGAACAGCTTTGGTTTACGATTGCAATACTCGCTACCACTTTACCCCACTTTCCACTCGCCAGCGCCCTTTGAAGGAGTTTCCGCTTACAATTTGCATAAAATTTGTTGCCAAAGTCCACGCAGCTGATGGCGTTAATAAGCGGGAGTCCGAATTTATGGGGGAAGGTGGGCCTTACCTGTTGCAGGGCCTTTCCAGCGGCTTCTGTGTAAATGGATCGCCCTGTGAAATCCGGTAATTGTGTGTAATTAAATCCAGTTCGGTAAAGCAAATGACAACACTTTGTGGTAAGACAGCTGGAGACGAAGTGGTGGGCGTTGGGGTTGTGGTTACTTTGAGGTTGCCAGGACTCGGGACACAACCCTTTACCCCCGTTTCGGTCGTGGCAGCGTCTTGTCTTAATTATGTAGCGTGAATAATTTCTGGTCTCTGTGAGGATACAATTCACAAATCATTGATATTATGTAAAGTTCTGCCCAAGGCTTTGAGGGTCTTATGGCATTAATTAGTGAATATTTGTTTGTGTATCTGCAGTTAAAATGTTTCAAATTTAATTACTAAAGCAACCCCAAGAAATATTTATGTGCAGTGGCTTAAAGGTCTTCCTAATCATACTTCTAGGTTAGCAATTTTCTCTTCCATTTTTATGAACCACAAAATAAATAGTATTGCCAAAAACTGAGATTCTCTTCAGTTAGTTTGGCGCCAGTTGGCTGATTCCATTACCAGTGGCAACAATAGTGACTGCAACCACATAACTGCAAAAAGTTTCTACCTATGTCGTGTAACCATTTTAGATTTCTTGTTTTTGGCTTCTGGGCTCGAACTCTTTTATTTGCATTTGTGGCCTGTCTTTATGTTGTTTGTTTGTGTGTCGGATTGTTGGTTTCGTTCACTGGATGTGTCTGACAACAATTTGCGGTGCCAGCAGAAACGATTTTGGAGTGCTAGCAGAAAATGGTCGAAAATGTGCACTACAATAGCGCCCAGACTACCAGAGTCTGTAAACTGACTCTGTTTTGTTATTGGCCTGGTGGAAATGTTGTTGCTGATTGTTGGCTGATTGAAACCACCAAAGCAATGCAGCAGTTGCAACCAACTCTTTAGTTTGCGTGGGTGATCCCGGTAAGCTAGTAGAGCTGATTGCGTACAAGTCGAGTGCCGCAAAATTTGCATTTAATTTGATTGAGCTTGCTCCAAAATGTTTACATCTAGAAAAGTGCTAATGAGTTAACAAAAAATAGGTGAGAACGCCTCAAGCTACTTTAATTTGGTTTAAAAAGTATTCTTTGTTGGCTTTTCGATTGGTCTTCCCGTTGGTACTACGCTTTAAGTCCGCCACAATAATAACTCCCGCGTTCAGATGCTTGTACTCGGAATCCGTCCGGCTTTTCACATAATCCACTACATCCTGAGCACAGAGCCGGCTTCCTTTCGTCTTAACCACTGTGGCGGCTGCCTCGTCTCCATTGATCTCGTCGTTTATGCCAAAAACACACACCTCCGCCACCTGCGGCATCTCGGCGATGATGCTCTCGATTTCATTGGGATAGTACATACAGGTCTGGTACTTTAACATGTCGTCCATGCGATCCAGAATGTATAGGAAACCGTCCTTGTCCACATACCCTAAATCTGAGCTATGATACCATCCCTCGGAATCCCGGATTTTATGGGTTAATTCAGGGCTGCCGTAATATCCCGACCAGTGTTCGTTATTCCTGATCAAAACCTCTCCCGCCTGATCGGGACCTAGATTTTCCTTCTGCTTGTTGATTATCCTGAGTTCGTTGCCATCCGCCAGGCGGCCCACTGAATTGGGCTTTTTGTCAAAGTGAAAGTTTACTGCGCCTATCCTGCCAAGCTCCATTAATCCATAGTTCAAATGAAGGCAGTCCATGCTTAGACGATTTCGCATGCGTTTTTGGATCTCCAGGGACAGTCGAGTACCTCCGTACAGAAGAACCTTCAAACTGGACAGGTCAGCGGTGCCAAAAGTAGCACAGTTAGTCAACTGGGCTAAGGTGGAAGTGACACAGATGAACCACGTTATCTTGTAATTTTCTATGAGTTTCAGCACAAAGTTGGGATCAAAGGCGTTATCATCTATAATGCGTGTGGTGCTGAAAACGGCAGAAGTGATTATGGTCATAATACCACTTATCCATTCCAAATTGCTGCTGGTATATTGCACATCAGCTGATGTCAGACGACTGTAATAGATTAGGAAATGTTAGTTAAAAATTAAAAACTGCAACTATTTTCCACTCACGACTGATTGATGGACGACATTTGTTTCCTGTGAGATACAGTCACCGGCTTTGGAGTTCCGGTTGTCCCCGACGAGCAAACAATGGCCAGGGTCTGATCGTTGCCCTGCTCCAGGTTAACCGGAAGGAAATTGTCCTCGACTGCTGTTTTCAAAACCTCCTCGATCGGAATGGAATCGGGATGGTGTTTGCGCATGGTTACTATCTTTACATCCAACTGTGACGTGGCAGTTCGGATCTTTTCGAATTCATCCCCATCACAGAAGATTACTTTTGGCTTGGTGATACTGTATAGTTTTTCGATTGTACTTCGATCGGTTGTGAGGCTTAAAGCATGATAAGCTGTTCCATTGAAGAAGCAAGCATAAGCCACTGCGGAAATATGAGTGGTATTCCTGGCAATAATGCCAACCACATCGGATTGTCCAAGGCCCAGAGATCGCAAGTAACAAGCTACGCGAATCGAGTTCTTGAGGACCTCCTCGAAAGTCAAAACAGTATTTTCCGTGGCTGAAATCTAAAATATTGAATAAACTATAGCCATTCCAATCCAGCAACAGTTACCTGGGCAATGAGTTGTGGATGCCGTCGCATCTCATGGAAGATAATTTGGCCAATAGACAGCCGAGGATCAAAATAGCTTTTCATTTGGTCACCCCTCCATATTTTAGTATTCGGATCATAATAGTTGGCTGGTGTAAAATCCATTATGAGCCAAAATTTCGTCTTTCTTCAACCGTCTTCGAAGTAAAAGTGGTACCATGTGGGAGCTAAACACTCTCTTATAACCAAATGCATAAGATTAGATTATTATAATGATGTAAATTTTAAGATCCCTTTTTAGTGAAGGCCTATCTCAGGCAGTAAAAAGTGTACACATATTTGATAGAAGAATTATTTTTATAAGCGTTTTACTCCCCAATGACAAAGAATACTTGGCTCTTGCAACAACGATTACCTTATCTTTTGGCCACGCGCGTCCACAGCGACCTGACCAAATGTCGTAATTAACCTTGGACGCAAATGCCAGAAGAGATCGGTGGGGTATTGGGGGTGTTGAACGGGCTGAGACTAATCCTGAAATATTATTTTTGGCAGTAGTAAAGATGCCTAATGGTTTATTTTCAATTTGCGGCCAACAACTCGCCACACGAACAATTAAAAGGGCTTCAGAGGGTTTCCACCCAGGCTTCCGCATCATTTGCATATGAATTTTCAACCTTTACGCCTCTAGTTGAGCATTCAAATTACTGTTATTATTATTTTCACTCATATGCCGCAGATGCCCCAAGGGGTGAAGAGGTTGGCGGAAGGGCTTGAGGGCGGAGGTTGAGGTTTGAGCCGTTACCATTAAAAAGCCAGCACGACCTTTGCCTGGGAGCACTTCCGTTCCCGGATTTTAATTCTATTAGACCCTCGGAGGACGTGCTACTAGACAGCTTATCGCGGCAGTTGCACACACACCACATGTGTGGGTGTTAGACCCTCCCCTGATGCCGAAAAAGGTTAAAATTATAATTTGCGGCTTCTGCTCGCTACTTTATTACCATCCTTACAAGTTTGGCATTTTTGGCAGCCAACAAGCCGCGACCACAATGTTGACACGCTTAATTTCTTGGCCGCATTCATGGCATTTGTTAACATCGTGTTGCCAGTGTAGTATGTATCACAATCCGGCCAAAGACAAAAGGGATTTTTAATGGCTTTTTCGGCACTTTGGCTTATCAGCGGCGGATATCCTTGGGAGCTTGCTTGCCCCAAAACAAATAAAGGTTACTTTGCCACTAAACAACTCGCATTCTGCGCTCCCGGTCGCTGTTTATTTTGTTCGTGTTTGCCCCATGAAAGCATAAACTTTCCCACTTGTTCGAGGATAAAGCGTGAGATAAGCGCGTCTCGGTTTGAATTATTTCGTTGGTCTTCCTGTTCGCCAGGGATTAAATATACATATATACACACGTGTATTAGCTGGGGTCAGCTAAAGGAGGGGTTAGGTTACCTGTCTTGACTTCTTTAAACTTATGCAGACACCGAAAAATGAAAGGCTCTAGTATAGTTAAGGGAGGAAATAAAAAGAACCAGATATCAGGATTATATTTGTTTTATTTTAATGCTAAAGATCCATTTCCTAAGCAACTCACCTAAGAATAACAAATTGTCAACACATGAGATGGCTTTTAATCTTCAACAAATTGCCGAGACACTTGTACAGACAGCTTAAATAAATAGTACGCGCCTTCGTCAGCCGACTCCGCCTCCTCTGGGCCCTTTTCCAGATACTTCTGTGAGCAATCTGTCAAAGGAGAAGAAGCTGAAATACGCATCGTGTTATGTTGGAAATTTTTGTAAAATCGTTTTTTATATCCCTGGCTCACACTCCCCCGATTACTGCCACTACCTCGTGGACCGATGCTTGCCAGAAATTTGCATTTTAACTCAATAAATTCACTTTGCATGCGGCAGAGTCGAGTGGAGCACGTCGGCTGGCTGAGGAGGCGGCGGAGCTCTGCTCTATAAATCTGTTAGAGTCTAACGACTACAAGCTTCTGAAGGGAGCGGGGGCCTTAGAAATACAGCCCGCGGCAGCTCAGTCATTTCCCAGCTACTGATTTGCTGGCTTCGAGTGAATCCATCGCCGACTTATAGGATTACAGCAAGTGTGAGTGGATAAATAACTCACACTGTTCCACGGCAGCCCGGTTCCCCAACCACAAAAAGTCTTGCCTTGGCTTACCTTTTGTCGCGGCTCTGGCCGAAATGGTCTGGGGCGATATTTGCGTTATTTACGATTATTTACAATTTTACAATTTACATGTGCCAACTCGCACGTCCCCTTCGCGCTCCTGATTCTTGCAACCAGGAACATCCTTCGCCTGGTATCTTGATATGTTGATTTTCCTTTTTATTTATCTCGCAATTACTTGGCTTTTACTTGGGGATTTGCTGCTGTTGTTTAGTGGCAAGTCGACTGTTTATCTAACCACAAAGATATGAGGGTAAATTTATTTACCAATTTAATGTGCCTGATTATAGGTCAAATTGGAAAAAAGCTCTTGATGTTTAGTGTAAGTATTTATTACATGAAGAAATATATATGTTTGTTTATAAAAAATTTATCCTAATTAATTTTTTATTTATTTAAAGTTATATAAAGTTTAGTTTCTGCGATGAAACTCTAGGAGCGGAGTTTTTCTAAGCTTCATTCCTATATTATCCACAAAGACGAGGTCTTCAAAGAGAAAACTGGTGCTGACTTTATAATTCCTGAGAGCCTTGGCCAAAGCAATCTTGGCTGACATTAAAGCATATCTCCAGCCTAGGAAAAATTAAAAATTTAATTAATAATGCTCAGAAAAGAAAAAATAAACTAACCTATGCAGTTTCTCTTTCCCTTTGAAAATGGTACAAAGGCATAGGGATGCCTTTCGCGAACATTATCTGGCAGGAAGTGATCAGGATTAAAATTGTCGGCATCTGGGCCCCAGTGATCCTTGTTTCGATGAACATTAAAAATATCGATGGCCACTACGAGTCCTTTAGGAACGAGAACGCCATTGGACAATTGAAAGTCGTCCTTTACCTGTCTAGGAATTAAGGGGATAGGTGGAATCAAACGCAACGTTTCGTTTAAAACTCGATCCAAATAAACTAATTTCTGGAGATCCTCGTAACTAACTTCAAAGTTCCCAGCAGTTGGAAACACCTCCTGCAGTTCCTGGAATACAGTATCCTGGTACTCGGGAAACATGGCCAATAAAATAAGGGCATGATTGACGGTAAGAGCTGTTGTTTCGAACGCGGCCAGAATCATATTGAAACACTCGCTTTTCATGTCTTTTAAATCAATCTGGCCTTTCCGTTGAAGTTCTATAACTTGATCAACGACTAAGTTCATAGAAGAATCTACTTCACCTTCTGCCTTCATTTTCCGGTCAATTATCTGAAAAGAAAAGATTTTATTAATTTTTCCTTTAACACAATTTGTTCTTTATACCTTATCCAAGAGACCGTGTACTTTGGAAAGAACCTCTGTTTTCTCCTTCTCTAAACCCCAAATTTTGGAAATTATTTTATTTTGTCGCAGAGGTATCAATACATTGAGAACGGTCAATAATAAGAGTCTGAAATTACATTATATAAAACAAAATGTATTCTTTCAATAATGTATCGGAGTTGATGATCTTACGATTGCAAAGGCTTCACAATTGCGTCGTTTTTAAAACTTTCTTCTTGTTGGACCTCCGTGCCCATCGTGGTTTCTACGGTCAAAGGATGCTGGGACCAAGAGTTATATGGTTGGCTTTGAAACACTTACGAAGCGCTATTCTGAAGGACCATCTGAACAAGTGGTACATCACATTCTTCCCGCCTTGACCCACAAAGGTGTCCAACACAGTAACAAGATTTGAAGTCTCGGCATTGAATATAGGAAAAAAACTGAGGAGGACATTGTGTTTAAAAGAAAAATTCATCTGCTTCCGACGCTCGTTCCATAAGGGTCCTAAAATTAATTAATGAAAATTAAATCCACTTTTTTTGTATATGTACCTTCGAGTGTTAGCAATCCGATTCCAACAACGTTAACCAAAGGCTTTGTGGTTCGGGGATTTTTATCAACGCATTGGGCTGATGTGAACACATCTTCGGCGATGTTTGGATCCCGAGATAGGATAGCTGGCATTAAGCCAAGCCAGACCATAATAGTCGAGCCATAAGTGTCCAAGTACCTGGTTCGTAGGTTCATATTCACTGCCGAAAACCAAGAAGTTTTGATTATTTTAAACAAAAACACAATATTATTTTCTCGTTTACATTTGTTGATAACGTATTCTGGCACTATTCCGAGGAGAGGTACTCCCTTTGGTCCTGGAACCTTCAGCATTAGCTTGTAAATCCTTCGCCGACTCCACATAAAGTATATCCAAAGCAAAATTGCACCAATAATCAAAATATAAAACGTAAACATGATTATTTCGCGATCCGAACGGCTTGAAGCAAATTGATTAACTAACTTGCCTTAATGTTAGAGGCTGGGCTTTTATTAAATATTTTAAATCCAGTTTAAGCCAAAAAACGCATATTTCTTTTATTTATTTGCATTACATTATACAAAACACAGGAACGTGATACTAATTATGGGAAGCCTAACAAGGGAGCACCTGTATCAAAGCTGTTATTATTTTCTCAATTGTTTTAACAAATATTATTTTTTCTTTTATATATTGATTTGTTTTGTGTTGAATATTTTTTAAAATTGTATAATATTTAATGTGCCTAAAATAATTGTACTAATAATTGTATTTTCAGGAATTTCTTAATATTAAACCTCCCTTAATTTAATTAATTTACAAAATTGGGAGTTTTTTCGTGTCATTGTCCTAAGGAAAAAATCACCTAAATATATCTGCAAAGAAAGTCTTATCATTCTGGGCTAATATAAATATCTGATAATCAGAAGTGATCTTCAATTGAAATAACCAGATATTCAGGTCGTTTGAGCGATTTAATTACTTTAAAAGTTATAAATGTCGTTTAAACTGGTAAGCTTTTTAATTCAGACTGTCTGGCGCTTATCGGTAATCGAAATAAAATGTTCTTTTCCAAATTAATACTTTATTATAAAATAGAAAATTACAGTCCCCACTAATTATTCATCAATCTCAATACAATTTTCGTAGTTTTATGTCCTTATCCAACTTTTTTATTTGACCTAAAGCATATAACTGATTTACACTCAATCTTTATAGCATAAATAGTTTTTAAAAATTATATAATAATTTATTAGACCAAAGATTATATATCGTTCGTAATTTTTTTAAAAGCAGAGGCTTCTATCCTCCCTCATCGTTGCTTCAACACCGCCAGGCCCTAATTCTTAATCCCACCAGTTGCAACACATTTCTGCAATCTTCCAAATTTATGCACCAGTGAGATATTTTGCCGACGGCATTATGATTATTGAATCGAATCCAAACTTAAACCAAAACCCAAGTCCGCATGCGAGTACAAAAAAGAATCGCAGACCAGATTCTGCAACAAGCTGCAGGGAAACTTCTCTGAAACCACCACAGTCTGCATCCTTCTGCGGCAACTAATTGAATTATTAGCGGTTCGGGTTATTGGGCTGTGGCCGGACCTGGAACTCTGGCCGTTCTCTGAAATTATTGTTGGTCGGTGGTTGACAAGGATCAGTGCAGACGCCTTATTTGTGTTCGGGCTCATTGCTCTGGTCCCAGATTCCTGATACCCTGCCCCCGTTTTACCAGCCCCTTGACCTGTCTTTGTCCAAAAAGGTGGCGCACAGTGGAAAAAGTCACTAACTATAAATTAAAAATTATATAAATATTCGAATTATTAATTTTACCATTTTAAATAATATTCAGAAATTATAAAAAATATGTAAGCTTTAAGATCCCTTGTTTAATATTTTTCGACCACTGTCGTTTGCCTTGGGCAGTGGGTGGGCCGGCTTTGGCAACTTCTAACAAGCGGGTGTTAGCCACATTCAAATTGGTCTTGGGTTGGGCCAGGACTGGGCCTGACTCCGTAACGCCCTGCCCTGCGGTGCGCTCCGTCGCCTCTGCGACATGTGCACACGTATTGTTCTTGTAGACCATTGATTAATTCTTACTTTTGCATAATATTAGAGAAAGTTGTCTGGGGGCAAAGATTTTTCAATTTGCATGTTGACTTTTGGTGGTTGCAGAAGAAGCGATAGTTCGCCAGAAAATTAGTTTTATGTCGGAGGGATAAGGGTTAATCAGAGGGAAACTCATGGGTTAATAAGCAGAGATTTTTCTAGCTGCTGCCAATGTGTTATAGACATGTATCAACCCCTCTTGCTTCAACACTTCAGTGAAATGGTTCACTTTCCCTTGCCACCCACAACCCATCAGGCAAATGTCACGCATGTCAGAATGCCAACAATGACCAGATATGTGACTACGTACTTGAACACACATATTTGTGACCATGTTCAATATCCATCTGAGCTCTCACATGAGTGGCGTGAGCCAGGACAAAACTTTGCAATGGAAACTTGGTATCTGAGTTGGCAAAGTTTGCTCACTTTGTGCAAACTTCGGCCACGACAACAATGCAGAATGCACGGAGTTTCCATAAACTTTGACACTTTGCCATCGCCAGCCTCAAACTTGGATGATTCAGAGCCATCGAACAATGTGTAGAAGATGCATATATACTGTATAAAGTACAGAAAGGACTGAAACTGGAGCAGACTAGAAGGAAAATGTCCTACGCTTCCGCACAATTAGTTGGTATCCCGTCCTCGCTCCACTCTTGAGTTGGCAATTTGCAAGGTGCTAAGCGCAGCTTGAGAACAACAACAAATCACTTAGCCCTAATGGCTTATGGTGGGCGGCAAGAAGGTGGGGCTGTGCGGCATCCAGTGCATTTAACCGAAAAACCTCAAGCAGTTAAGCCCCATGGAAGGAGCTGTCAAATGGTTGTCTTTTCTTGTCAACCCACACTCTAGAAAAAGTCAGAAGCGATGCTGGACCTTAGAATACCCTTAAACCTAATAGAATTTTAACAAGCTATAGGCATAAATTATAAAATCCAGTATATAAAAAAGCCTTTTAAAGAGCTTACCGATATATCTTATAGATATGTTATTTGTGTATTTATTTATTAAAAGTTAAGTAGAAAGCCTTGAAGCACAAAAACTGGAACGTTGCACGTTGGGGATAACCACTGAACTCGACTGTCAGTTCCTTGCCTCCTTTCTTTATAATGAGCGACCCAATTAGGCAAAGTGAGTGGCGGTAAGAGAGATGCATATGAACCATAAAACAATTGAACAATGTACTGCGAGCAATTAACCAAGAAACCAGCCACGCCAGCAAGCCTTTTATGTTGGCTCTGAGCCACACGAACATGAGCCCAAGGCGAGGCTAGGGAAATGGGTTTCCTTATGCGACGTGTGAAAAACAAGCACTTGCCGGCATAATTGATACTATAAACGGGTTTTTCCCAGAAAGCTATGGTTCACCATATGGAATGATTCATCTTCAATATATTTTAACGTTAATTTACTAGAATTATTTTACCAAACACCCCACCAACCATCCAAAATAGAAATCAAGGAAAGTGAACTCCCCTGCAACTTAGTCTTCGCCGATCAATTGCACATAAATGGTCCGTTTGTCTGGCTGTCATTTGTTTATTAGATTTGTCAATGCAACAGTTTTTGTTGCTTTTTTCAGTATCCAAGGGGAGAGGACACCATCACATGGCCATAAAAATCATTGGAATTGCAAATGGATGGACATGGAGCGCAAAAAATGGTCAAACTTTTTGGGAACGACAAATGCGCCCTCAAACTTGTTGGCGGTGTCACATGCAGGCGATGCGTATAAATTAGAGCCACCATTGAGGGGCTGCCAAGTGGCCATTGTGTGGCATCTTAAATGTCAAAAGTGACACCCTCACCCTGGCTCTAACCACCGCTTTTTGGCCTTTGTCCAGTGCACCTGAAGCACTCCGAACATTTGACTCAAACTGCTGGCGAAAACAATAAATTTCCCTTTTCCAGCCAGGGGCGCCATCAAAAAAGGAGGACCCGAACATGAAACTACTCATGGTAAGGACATAAAAGGGGGTTCCACCCGGGGGGAGGGACAAGAAAAATGATGACCACTCTGGACGCACGGGTGAGCATGACCAGGGCCGTTCTATTGCATAAAAAACAGCGTTTGCTGCTAAGGAACAACTTGCCGACTAATAAAAAGTGGAAGGAGCAGCCAAACCAGAAGCGAACCTGATTCCAATGCATAGAAACATGCGGTGGAGAGAGGACGTGGAGGAGGAGGCTACCATTATGCCACCAAGTTGAGGGTGTTTAAGCGGAAAAGGTAAGTGCCATTGATGCGGCGACTGTGGCTAGGGCTTTTAGTCAATATCTCAGGCATTTCGCAATTTTTCTTCATTTTTTTAGCACACACCCATATGTGTGTGAGTTACCCGGAAGTTAAGCTGTTGTTTATGTGTCATAATAAATCATGTTCAGTGCACACGAAACAATTTCACCTAAGTGGGTAATGGAAGAGTCTCCTGTAGTCACTTCATTCCTGAAATGGCAGATACGAGTAGTTTTTATGTAACCACTGATTAAATGCCCAAGGGACTACAATGAATGGAGGCAGATGCTTTGGTTTCTTTATACTCCTAGTTGGAATTAAATCTTTAAATTTATTAAATAAAAATAAAACAAACTATTTTGAAGCCAATCAACCAGTTCCAGCATCCATATTTCTTTTAGTATCCGCTGCTGAAACCATTTCCTTGTGTCTTTTACGTTTAATGTATTCATATAAACGCACCCGCAACTCCCAATAGACTTTTTTTAAACGCTTCTAAATGCAAATAAAAGAAGTCACTTAAAAAATTATTCAACCCACACTTGACGCGAAGGCGACAAGGGACAAACCTGCGGAATGGAGAAATAAATGTGTTAATGTTCGCCCCGAAACGCTTTTCGAATTCGTGTCAGTTACAGTTTCATGAGGTAACGAAAATTCACAAATTCGCGGTGGAGCGGTGGTTCGGTGGTGCGTGGGTGGGTCCCAAGTGGATGGGAATAGAGAGGGGCACGCGTGTCACTTACAGTGATTCAGTGGGCATGGGACCCCCGGGGGAAAGGTTGTGGGGCAGTCAGCCTCTTTGCCACAAATGGCAGCTACGTGGTCTGGGCCCAACTGATGAATAAAAAAATGTCCAGAAAACCATGAAGAAATATGTATTTCATCATATACATATTTACACTTTTAAATATTTTATTTAAGGTAAATACCACCAGAAATATTTCAGCTATCTTCAGGGCAGCTGTTAAATTCTTATTTACATAACCCTTTACGAGTTCAAGGCTTTAAAAACAGATATAAATAATACAATAGCTGCTAGCCAGTGGCTCAGTGCGATAAAAACTGTGAATATGTCAACGCGTTTTAATTTTTCAATATTTTTGCTGATTTTAGGTTTAAGTGTGGGCCTCACCTTTCGACTTATAGACGGTCCTGTTTACCTAAAAACCTGCCCAGCTCCCAATAGAGATTCTCAAATTGTGGAACTGCCTCCAAATGAGCAGCAAAAGCATTTCTACAATGTCCACAACTTACCCAGTGATCAACAACCCAACACTGTACCAAAAGAGAAATGGACGGATAATTGGTTAATGCGAATTGTTAAGATAAGAACCATTCCTGAGAAACCTAAAACCGAGAGTTCCTCAGGAGTCCAGGATAATCACATGAATGGATTTATGCAGAGAATATTCCGTGTCTTACATTTAAGACCTAGAAGTGACAATTTATTGGAGAATGACAATAATGAGCGGAAAATGGTTGTATTTGTAAGAAAGGATCCTCCAGCAATAGATCATCATATCGTAAAAAGAGATCCTTTACCCTACACTTATATGGGATAAATATTTTGTTTATTTTGCACATAACCACCCTCATTAGAACTCTCATAGTTTTAAGAAATATTAGCCCTAATTAAGAAAACTTTGTAAAAACAGATGTTCCCAGTAAAAAGGCAATAAATTAAATCATATTTCCGCTGTCGCAGCAAAGGATTTAAAAACATCAAGACACATAACATACAAGGGATTTTTCAGTCATAAATATTCCTCATACGAGAAAGCTTCTTCATGCCACTTGATTGCGGTTTGAAGAGAAAACCCCCTTTCCGCCCACTCTCCTACCATAAAAAATTATATTTTATGCATGACCCCAAATTAATCTAGCGAAACCTTTTCCATTATGCGACAAGCTTCAACCCCTGTTCCAAGGAAACATCAAAGCCACTGGAGTATGACAAGCGGAGTTATTTGAATACGACCGTAAATGTCATATATGAACAAATTAAATTTGGCTTATGGACCAGGCTGGTCAAAAGCTTCCCGAAAGGAAACATTCTTCTTTTATTTTATGGCTTTGGGTTTTTATACGGATATCTTTTAAAAATAATCTTTAATAATAATAAGCATAAAAGGGAAAATTCTAGGTATTATGGCTAAGATGAACCAAATAAGATTATCCTTTTATGGAGATATAAAGAGATTGTGATAAAAGATGATCGGATATTAAAAAAAAAAAGCAAAATTAATTAGCGCAACAATAAAATTTACTATGAAGTATAGTCCATTAACTTTTATTTTATGATGTATTATATTTAATTTTCTTACTCAAAATATTTCCTATTAAATATTCAGTCGAGAAAGTTTTGCATCCTTGCCAACTTGAAAGCGTGAAAATCTGCATCTTGCCAACTTCTTTGCAATATGTTGTCGCCAGCAGCGAGTCGAAATTATGCAAAAAATATGAAAGAAAAAAGCAAAAAAACAAAAGTAAGAAATAGAAACAGAATTTCATTTGCAATGCGAAATGTTGGCTCAGGCGGTGTCCAATTCAGATCTACCAAAAAATAAACTCATTCGCATGCAGTTGGCGTCTCCTAAAGTGGATATTGATATTTTGTCCTTAAATTTTGTTATTTATGTGGTGACGAGGGTGAGGACTTGAAGGCGTAACCCCCCTCACCAAACTTAAATAAACGAAACAGAAGTTTACAATTTGCAATAGACAGAGTAGCAAAATTTCCGCCAAGTTGTGCAAATTTAACGCGACATTGTCTGGGCCGAAGGACTCTGTGTTTGGTCCCTCCCCCAATTTTTGGCTCATTGGGGGTGTGTGTCCTCTGCCCATTGACATTCAAGTCATGTGTCAGAGCAGAGGCCGATGCTTAACTGTGACAGACCAAAACCCCGAAAAGTTTGCCCATAAATTCTTGCAAAAAAACGTCGAAATGTTTCAACACATTGAAAGGAAAGTCTTGTTTGACACAGGCACTTGAAATTTTTCAATTGGCAGCAAATTTATTTTAAGAGAGCGTGAAATTTATGATTGACAAATTGAATTTGAAAATTGAGAAACATTATTGGAAGCCAGGAGGGTTATCAAAATAATCCATGTATATATTCAGGCCTTGACTCTTTAATAACTTTTTTTTAGGCCAACATAAATTGTAGGAGTAGCTATAAAAATGATTAATGGTCCCAAAATCGTTCTGCCGCATCATATCACAGCGGATTTCTCAATTTGTCATGGACTCCAAATGCTTGACCAGTATACTTGCCTGCAGGATATTCGGCTATTAAAGAAACTTCAAGTGAGGCAGTACAGCTTCAGGATCAGAAAACACTAAACACTCCATAAAGAAAACCATTAAACGTCGCCCCATTAATAAAGCCAAATCAGAACAGACGAAAAAACCGAGAAACTGGTAAGTATATACTTATATACACTTTTTTTTATCAATTTTATGACCGCCCTGAGTATGTGGGCGTGTGGCCGACAGAGTAATCGTATAAATCTTTATAAATCAAAGCCAGAATTCGTGCCCAGGGAGTTGATATTGGGGGCAAACAAAAATTATGTGGAAAAACAATATAAAAACGGCTGATATATGAGCTCATGAAAATTCTTGGAAATAATTTGAATATGAAATATAGTATAAATTTAAACACTCCAAAATTATAAAGCTTTAGTTTAATATTCTCTAAGGAGAAAAATTCAAAGAAACCCAAACATTTTAGGCAGAAAAATATTTACAAAATATGTGTTTAAGATTCTGTGATGACCTTGAACCTCAAACCATATTTGTTCATTTCCAGCAAAAAAATACACAATAAGGAAAATCAAGTGTTCATTGTTAGCATTTTTTTGTTGTAATATGCAAATAATTTGCTGGCCAAATGGCAACCAACTGTGACCCACCAGATGACAATGCCAACGCCCTCGAACCGAGCTGAACCCAGAAAGAATATGAATCTCCGGGACTCGCAAAAAGTCAAGTAGAGAACAATGCGTCTGAAGGCCTCCTTGCACTTGCAAGGATGTTCCGGATCGTCCTGTTTCTTGGCCGGTCGCATTTGTGTGTGACACACAGTTGACAGCTGTGGTCCTTTGCCGGATGCCACGGGGTGGTGGCTCTTGCTCCGGATCCGGCTCAAACTTTGACTCCGGTGATGCGTGGCTATTGTGCCCATTTGACGTTTGCTTTATTAATCAGTTTGGCCTGCGGCCATGGACACAATTTTCCACAAATGAATAATTTTTGTGCCACAAAAAATATGAGACCAAAGCCAAAAAGGCAAAGCACCAGACCCTCAACAAATGTGTCACACTGAGGCTCGCCACGGTGCACATATATACTTTGAATGTGAACCCAACTGGGTATTATGGTTTCCACAAGAGGCATTCAACCCTGATATTAAAACAATTTTTAGGGCAATCTAATTTACCAATGCACATGATGAAACCGTACTACCTCAAATACTACCCCCCCAAGTAAAAATAATAACAGCAGTGTCAGGATTTTAAAATACGCAAAATCGAAGAGGGTTAAAGCTCAAATTAAATACAAAATTGGACTCTTTTTATGAACATTTTAGTGTGTAGGGTGCTTGGTAGTGCGGCCTGCCAAATTATTTAAAATTTTTTGCGCACAGCGAGTTTCGCATTTTAATTTAAACAGAGAAAAGAAAAAGTCAAACAAATGTCAGTCGCGTGTTAATCAAGTGTAAATAAATGGCGCAAAGATTAGAGACCACCGCCAAGGCATCCGCAACTGGAACCACAACAACAATGAGCCTTTGTAAAAAATCCAAATAAAAAAGGACGAATTCATGAAATGTGGGGTGTGATACGGCAACAACAACACCACAAAAATAAAAAGAGAAAAGGTAAGAAAAAAACATTTAATGGTTTTTTAAATGTTTTTTAAATATGCGTGAAAAATCTGTCACTTGGTGGCAAAATAAAAAACCAAAAACGCTTTAAGTTTTCTTGCCGAAGCTCTCCACCCACCGATTCCATGCAAATTAGCCCCCAAAATTGTTATCATCGAAGCCCGAAACCAAATCCTGAAGCCATTGGGCAGGACCCAAACAACGCCTACTCCCAAGTAAGTCCTGAGACCCTGGAACCCAGACAAATCCGGCACACCCATCCCTCCTTTTGAAGGGCTCAGTGTGAGGGTGTCCTGAAGTGGCGTTGATGATACTATTATCTTAAATCGCGACGGGTGGGGAAACTGAGACCTATGCGAAGCTGTCAACGGACGCGGCCACTTCAATTGTCCTTTTTGGGCCAAGCATTTACAATTCATAGATAGAGACGAAAAAATCGTTTTATTGGCTTTAAGGTCCTTTTTGTCGCCTCAGCGACATGAATAAAGGAGCAGCAACAAGGACATAAACCGCAAATAAGTTGAACATTCAGTGGCCAGAGGGTTCCCTTTGTTATTGCATTTCCCGTGATTTGTGCTTTCTCGGGGCGGCGGAAGAGTTTGAAATTTAAAATTTTTTGCTGCCTCCTTTGCACAGTGGAACAATTTTTATTTAATGCCCAAAAATAAAGTAAATTTTTATTAAATTAAGGATCTATTCTATTACCATATAATGTAGTTTAATATAAAAGCATCTACTATAGTATTGTATAAGCCTAGTCTTCGCATTTTAATTATAAATAATGGAGGAATAAAGTCATAAAAAAGAGATTTTAAATAAATTATATATTTTTTTTAAGCTTATTACAAAACTAAAGAAGGCAGCACTACCCCACAGTGCCTGTTTATAGGGCTTGAGCTAAAAGGGGTGCAAATGCTGCAATTTGTAACATTATTTGTTTTTCTTTTTGAGCTTCCTCCACCCCTCTATCATTGTCGAAAGGACATAGCTCCAAGACACAATGCTATCTAATCTTATTTCGTATTATTTCTGCGTTAAACCTGCATTCAACACTTTCCCCTTTTTGCACAGGACCCAGACAATTGTTGTCTTTAACCACAATACGAAACTTTAAACCATAGAGCAAGTGGGAATCCTTGAGAGGCAATTTTAATGATATTTACAGGAAGTGGCAGAATCGCATCAATCATTTGTCAGCCATAAAAATTGGTCACACACGAGAATTAAATTATACAACAAAAACGCCGGAATATCTCTGCTGGAAAAAAGGAAAAATTCTTAATGGTTGCGTGCAATGAAATGACCTTGTAAGTTATGAGTTCTACAGGGGTCTGGATCCCACACAGTTTGGGCGTCCTTTGGCCGCCGAAATAAAAAATTTTCAATGGGAGAAAGTCAAACTGGCAAGGTTCAACGATGAACGGTCATTTCAGCAAGGCATCGAACGGGGATCGGGTCCTGGACCCGGTCTTGGTCCTGCTCCTGCACTCGACCGCAACGTATGCGTCTGTGCGTATGGCCCGGAGTCCTGAGTCCTTCGCCCACTCTTTCATTCACTCCCCCTCGATGCCCACTCATATGTGAACATTTATTGGAAAACATTATTATTTATGACTTTTTGAATGACATCGCTTGAACTTTTCAAGCAATAAAGTAACGCACAATAATATTTCCTTACACCGGAAATTGCAGGCGCACAATTTTTTCTCTAAAAAAATCACAAAAATGATATTTTGAGTTTTGATTTATGAAGATATTCATTAAATTAGTTGGCTGGAATTGAGTTACAAGTTTAGACTTGGAGTGGAAATGAATAGCACTGCACTAAACCTATCTAAGCCTAGTATAGTTGTAGAAACTATAACTTTCTAAGGATATAATGAAAAAAAAAAACAAATTGTCAAATAAATTTCTTTACAATCTGAAATGAAAATCTTAAGCAGCATTATCCCAAGCAATCAATACACTTTTGCTGAAAACCCAAGAGTTAAAGGGTTTGAGATGTGGGATTGTGCTAGTCCTTGGAAATCCCCGAAAGCATCTAAGGGATGCGTGGCGTTTAAGATTTGATCAAATAACCATAAGAAAAAGGATTATTGTAAGTAATTGCTAGACATTGTTTTGTGGGATGTGGGATGTTAAGGACACGGGGACCACTGCAGTGTAAATTGGGTTCGACTTTAAAGTGAAATATCACAAAAGGCGAGGCATTTGTTTTTATTTACTCAACCAATGCGATTACATGGGAAACTTCAGCTTATTTACTGCCTTCCGTATGTATTATCAGCGTATATATATCCGAGTTTTATATATGTTAGACTCGGGCTCCAGGCGCATGACCCATTCCTGAACTCGTGCACAGCTTTTAGCTGGCGAAGGCGACCGAGCTCTCTGCTTTCTCCCTCTAAGCAGCATGATGCCATCCTTGTCGCCTGTTAGTGTGTGTGTGAGTGTGAGTGTGAATCCTGAATCCTGAGTCGCCATCTGTGCGGGCGTAGGGCGCAAGGAGTCAAAGTGTAGATAGCAAGCTGCCATAGGACGACGACAACGATGTTGAATACATATAAAAATGTCTAAGGTGGAGCAGAAGCCATGACTGCGGCCATGACAGCGATAATGTATACGGATGGGGCTGTGCCAGGAGGGCGGGTATCCGGATATGGAGGTTGGGGCTGCCGTAGTTGTAGGGTTGCCAGGACCTGGCCACCTCGCACCCTCCCATTCTCCGCCCCTTGTTGGCTGTTTGAGTTTGAGTCTCGGTTCACTTTGTGGGTATTAAGTTCGTTTTAAGGCTAAAGACAAACGTTTCTCTCCTCTATGCACTGGTTGCACTTTTTGTGCCTTTGCCAAAAGAAATCCCTCTGACTAAAGGTGAGGGAAAGTCTTTAAAGTTTCACAATGGGATTATGATTGTTGTCTCTCATAATTAATGAGTTGGTAGTCTTCCATTCCTCCAAAGGAACTATAAAACCATAAACGTTCCATTGATGTTTTTCTGTGAGTTTGAGTAAGGATCCATTACAAGCCTATGTTTAATTTTGGTTATAATATAGTTAATCTTTCAATAAGTTTCCAAAATTAAATGTCGCAAACATATCAGACAGTATCCTAAGAGACCTCACAGTGATTGTTTCCAACATAAACAGAACTCTATTCACATTTCTATGTTTACTTAACTTATGGAAAATAACGAAAAAGACCACTCATTTTTTATGACGCACTTAGTTAAACGATATGGACCATGGCCAGAAAAAACCAGACAGGGAAACTAGCCCGAGCAAAGGGCTCATCAGGGGCAACCCCAAGGAATTTGATGCAGCTGCCGGAGATGACAGCCCTTGCTTATCCGACCGTCGCGGTTGGGGAATTTCGTCTTGGTTTCGGACGTTGGTTGATTTTTTACCACTGCCGATGGGCCAAGTGGGAGACTTTTGTTTTATCGAGGGCAATACATCAGCCATCAATATGATTAACTCGAACGAAATGTGCCAAAGTGCCGAAAATCAAATTAAATGGTCTTGATGTAAGTGTTTGTGACACATCCGGACAGTGTCCGTTCGCTTGATTTATGCATTGCAAATCGATAGTTTGTGTTTGTCCTTGGGGAGACGGGATCAGTGTCAAATGTGGGTATGCGGTAAAAATATAATTTATATTCACATTTTTAGGATATACTAGGGGTTTACAAAATTTCTTCAACACATTGACATTGGGCTGTCACTTTTTGTTTGCCCTTTTTTCGTACTTCTTCTCCATGTACTTAAATATGGAATCGATGGCGGTATACGAGGTCCACTCGTGCTTGGTGTGCCCTGCTGAAACCTTTCGGATGCTGCCCTTGGTGGTCAATACGGGTGTGCCCAGTGGAGTCTTGCTGGTAACCCAGTCGCACGCCACTTCAGATATGTACTCTTTGTTGTTCTCAATAGTGCCCATTACTGCATCGGTTAAGGCAATCGCAAATACTTTCTCCTTAAAAAATTCCGCGAACTTCTCTACCTTTAAAAATTTATGGAAAATTGTTAAATGATATGTTGTACACAATATTATTCTTAAATTCATACCAAATCCATTGAAAGACAGCCCCCATAGCTGTGAGCTACAATCGCCACACTCTCTGGATTAGAGGGAATCACGATATTCTTCCAAACATACTTGGTGTGTTGCGTTGGCGATTCCACACCCTTTATGGGATTATCTTTGCCGTCGTAAAACCTATTTACATCGTTTGCATTGGTGATGAGAACATCATACCCTAGTTTTCGGGCCTGTCGCACATACGGCAGTTGAGTTCCGTGGTCTATGGAGTTGTTGATGATTAGGCTACGAAAATTATTGTAAAATATATTATTGTATTTCATTTCCAAAGGGTCGTTAAAATGAATAAGCAGCATCTCGAGAGAGCTATTTTTCTTATCAACAACTATAAAACCCCCAGGGCCAGCTGGGCCTTTTCCAAGAAAAAATTAAAATTAAAACCCTATGGAAAACTGATAATCTAAGCTCGAATACTAATTACCTTCTAGCCCATTGTCCCGCCTTGACTTGTCCACTCCCATGGATAAGAACTAGGAGCTTCTTGGACTGAGACAGCTTTGCAGGCAGAGAGTATACAAAGGAAGATTGTTCAGGCGGCTTTCCAAAAGGAATGTACGTCCGCCTTAGGCCCTCCTTTTCCAGCAGAGCGTACACGATTTCTGGAATTTGCTTTGGAAATAGATATTAATATTATTTACGTTCTTTCATTCATAAAGTTTTTCATACATCGGCTAATTTCTGGTAATGCTTCTCGTTCTCAGAGGCGTCATCGCTAATGTTGTAGGAGAACTGGTCGTTTCCAGGTTCGCCGGTGGCGGGATCAATTTTACGGAGTACCCCAGCTGCAGAAAGGTATTGGTCTCTGGTTATGACTGCGACGACAACTAGTGTCTTTTCTACTTACTGTCATCGAAGGCGTATCCAAACTTTCTTAGCTGGATAATGGCCTCTTCACAGCTCGCGGTTGGTAGGTTGGTGTCTGGCATGTCGCAGTACCTAGGGGCGCCAAAAAGCCTAAAAATCTTTGACCACATTTTAGTTACAGGGGCTGGCACTTACTGAATAGCAACTCGTGGCCAATGAGCTTATTTATACGAAATTGTTGATAAAAATGCCGCTTTGTTTTGGTCCTCAGCTTATTTTTTTTTTGTAATCTGCGATAAGAGCCGGAGCGACGGTGTTGCCAGATCGCCGAAGAAGAGTTCCATCTCAAGGCCATCTCTAAAAAGCTTAATACTAAAACGGTTGAAAACTTAAAAAAAATACCATTGAAGATATTTTTTTAAAAATAAATGCATTTTTAATTTGTAAGTGTATTCTAATAGAAATATATATGTTTTCATAGTAACTCTTTTAAATACCCTTTTCTTTTGTTAACTATTCTTTTTTGGGAAATAACTTAAATAATTTTAAAACTTTTTGAAAACCAAAGCAGTATTTTCAGAAAAAATGGTTTTGGTTATTTTATTTTTCAATATAATTATAGCTATTGGAATAAACAAGTGATTGATTATTGTCTATCTTTCCAAATGGTATAGTTTCCAGGATTAATATTTATTTTACGCATTTTTGGCATTGTCTCCTCAATCCAACTTGAATGAGTGCTTATCCTCGTAAAGGCATAAGCCTTCCTTGGCACACAGGCTTTTCTAGTGTAGGAAAGTAATCCGTAAATAAATTCCGTTTTTAAATCTAATAAAGGACCTCCAGAGTCACCCTGCAAAAAAAACCATGAAAAGAGGTAAAAGTTTATTTGAAAAACTTACATCACAGGCCCCGATGGGTCCATTGTAGTGCGTGGCACATATTTCAGAGCCGGTGAGGAAACGGAATCGGTGCTTTCGAAGGCAAACATCGTTCTCTATGGTCTTGTAGTACAGTTTCTTTAACGACTTGACCATTTTTACCTTAACCCGACCCCAGCCGAGAAGAGTGGCCTTGTGACCGCCACCCTGCCTCTCCTTATTCTGAAACTTAATGGCCCGAAATCGGACATTGTCCAGGGTAAAATGGGGAAAGACTCGAACCAAGCCAATGTCGTGGCCTCCAAGGATCCTGAACTGGGGATGCGCCAATACACTGACCACGAAAAAGCGCGTTTGTGTAAGGCTGTTTAGTCGATCCGCGCCACCTGCCACAAATAGTTTTTTGTTTCTCTTCCCAGGTGGCCGCTTGAAGCAATGGGCAGCCGTCAGGACGAATTCCTTGGCAATTATCACTCCCACGCAGAGGTGCTTATAGTATCCCCTTGAATTTGACCCTATGGATACCACATAAGGGTATTTTGACTGGTCCTTAATCTTGATGCTTCGATTTGTGTTTAGTTCAGTTGTAGTCTCGATCGAGCTACTACCCGAATAGTGCCCAGAAGTGGAGCTCATATATGAGGTTGAGCTTATATATGAGGATGAGCTCACATCTGAGGTTGAGCTCACATCTGGGGTTGAGCTCACATATGAGGTGGAGCTCACATCTGGGGTTGAGCTCACAGGTTGAGTAGATTTGATTGCAGCCGTAGCTATAAGGAAGAGGCTTATCCCGCCTAGATAAGCCCACAACATATCCGCAGAAGGTTTTTCGCCTGTATGCCATTATGCGGTTGCGGTTGAATGGAAACAACTTTCGAATAAACCTTGAAATTATAATTTTTTGCATTAGAGAAGTTTATGTAATTATACATCCCATTCGCAAAGTAGTATTCTTACTCCAAGTGTAATCTGAGGCGACAAAGAAACTTTAAGCTATCAAGCCGTTTAATATTTTTAATACACTTTCAATGGTTGCCCTAAAATAATATATTAATGTGTTTTTTACATAAAAATAAACCAAAAAACATTCAACAGTTTAAAAAATATAACCGGGAATTAGAAATCTTCATTGAAGTTTTTATAAAACGAGTGGATGACATTCATTGTCTTCATCTTGAGACTTGCAACGGATCTGCTGGATCAAGTAGTAATTGGCTTCAGGCTGGAGGATTGGTTACGGGTTCCTTGAGGCTCTGCTTCAAATGGGCCACTTGGTTAAGGCGCGCTAGACGTTTTAAAGTTTCCAGATCTTTGATGAACGTAGCCATAGCTTCCTTGGTCGTTGAGACGTCGTCGCCGTCTTTCAGATCATCAAGGTTGTCTTCCTTTTCAAGCTCTGCGAAAAGTAAAATGCACTTATTTCAAGGAATTATGGTTTTGTCAGTAACTCACCATCCATTTCCGACTCGATGTCATTAAGTCGGTTCAAAATCAAAGCCTGTTGGACTTTCACGTGCTCTATCAGACGGTACTGACACTCCTCTGGATCGATGGCCGCCTCAGGTTGGGGAATATGCGGAAAGTCTAGTGTATTGTCAGACTTTGGCCTCTTAACTGGTGTCACGGCAGTGCCATCCACATGGTCCTCGTCCCACTTCTTGGCCCACAAATAAAGTTTCGGATGGCATCGGTTGCGAGCGATATTGATCTTGACCTGCAGCGAGTGCACAGAGCGTTTGGCTTCCAGTAGGTTGCCGGTAAGTGTGTGTGAGCGCTTCAGCATGTCAGCCTGTTTCAAGGCCTGCGGATTCGAAGTATGGTACGCAGCCGCAGGCAGCTTGCCCTCGAAGAGCCAGTCCTGGTCGTGCTTAAACCGCATGGAGTCGCGTCCGCGCTGCGGATTGCGGCAAATATAGCAGACGTACTTGTCTGGAACGTCGGACTCCTTGACTATTCCGTTGCAGGCGCCGTGCTGCCAGCAGAGACACAGCTCGCACTGAATCATCAGCCCATCCTCCTCGCCGTATTCGCAGATGCAGTTGATGATCTCCTCCTGTCGCATACGGACTATTCGTATGAGTTCTCCATTCTCCTTGATGTATTGAGGCGTTTTTCCAACCGTATCTGCTGGCGGTGGAGCCAAAGCGGCATTGATATCCACCTGGTCATTGGATGAAGGGATCGATCCAGAGTCCGCTGTAGCGGGGGAGTCAATGGAGCTAATTGGAGTGCCAGCAGGACCAATTCGTCTCTTTTTCGAGTCCGTGCGAGCATCTGAAGCGGACGTGTTGAAGGAGAGCCTAGTATCTTCGGTGTCATGTTCGCTTGGATTCTGGCCGAGACTATCTGTCACATTGCTGCGACGCTGGGAGCGCTGTCGGTTACTTTTCCGCGATCCTGATGGCCGCTTAGTGGGTGAATGTCGAGATCGTTTGCTGGACCTAGAGGCAGAGCTCAGCGGCACACTAGGTGCAGTCTCGAGGCGCACATTTTCTGTAACATTGGTGCTCTCCGTCGCGGGGTTTACGGAACTCAAGGCGTCTTGCTTGGGCGAAACTACTGCCTTGGCAGGCGACAGTACAGGCGGAGTACCAGATGGTCTGGGTGGCGTGACTGTAACTGGAAGAGATTGGCGTTTCAAAGAGCGCGACTGCTGTACGTCCTGTTGGTGCAACTTGGCGAAGAACTGCTGATTGGGTATTTGGTTTTTGGGCGTCGCTTCCCCCTGCTCAATTGAAGAGGCGTGGGTGCGTTTTACTGCCAACTCCTGCATCTTTGGACAGTGACTAACATACCTGAAATGTAATACATAAAAGATCTAGTTAGTGGACACTGAAAATCAGGTAAAGAACTTACTCAGCAAACTCCTTGTGGTAGTGGCGAATATGAATCAGCAGGAAATCCTCCTTGCGGTAGGTCTTTCCACAGCCCTCGCGGGGACATACATACAGATTCTCCTGTAATTGAACCTTCAGCCCACCAATAAATGCTACAATAATAGACAAAAATTAGAAAAAGAGCTTGCAGGAAAGGTTAGCTTCTCACCAAATCCATTTTCGACCAATGCTGGATCTCCTTCCAAGCCTAGACCGGCACTGCCCTCAACCGCCTCCAGCAGTTCTGGAGTCGTTTTAGTTTTGGTCTCTTCTCCAATCTGAGCCTGTGGGGACATAAGCTCTGCTGGCGGCACTAGCGAAGCCACCGGTGCCTCCATGTACTGACTGTCCTTCACGGGTAATGGGGTCGAGGGAAGGGAGGATAATGAGGTGTTGCTTCGATCCAGGGTCGAGTCAAGGGAAACATCCATCGACTTTGGTTTTGGCGGCGGCTGTGGATTGTAATCATGGGTGTAGACATAGGCGTTTATGTCCTTCGCTCTTCTACGGTGAATGCTGAAGTCGTAGACGTCTGGGTTGTAGATCTGACCCTGTGACTCGAGGAACACCTTGAGGTCCGACTTGGAGCGAAACCGTTTACCGCTAGGTGAAACCAGAATAACGTCCCACTTTCCGAGCACATTGGAGCGTTGGTACATGTGCTTGATCCAGCCAGGCGGCAGTCGCCAGTCCTCCACAATAACCGTTGGCTTTTGGTGCTCGCCTACGATTAGAAAACCTTCGGTGCCTATGGGTTGGTCATTTACCCAGTGACACGTCCACTCGCCGTCGTGTGGGATCTCAGGAAGGCCCAAAGCAGCTATTGGATAAAGGATTTTATCGGTTAAAGGGTATATGGAGTAAGTATACTGATTCAGACTTGCCTAAATCCAGAGTAGACATGTCCAAGAGAGGCCAGTCCTTGCGCTGGGGTGTGGCCTTGCTCTTCTTGCTGGTAGAGGCGCCGCTGGGAATGCTGCCAGTACTTGGCCTCTTCGTAGGCTGAGTCAGGACCGCTGTTGATGTTGCAGGAGCAGGTACAGGTGCAACTCCAGCAGGAGCAGGTACAGGTGCAACTCCAGCAGTAGCAGCCACTTCTGCTTTGGAGGCTGCACTTTCGGCTGCCACATCAGGTGGCAACTGCTGTCTGGGCAACTTGTTCATATGAACCGCTCGAACGTTCTTAATATAACCGTCGTCGAAGAGCACCTCGTAGGTATCGTTGCCAAGAAGCTTGCGCACGGTGCCGGGGAACTTGCGCGGCCCCGACCAGCGGGCCATGCACTTCTCTTCCAGAGCAAAAACGGGCAGTACCCGATTGCTGAGCCGTTGTCTAAGTTTTTCCGACTTGATGGCCATCCACTCCTGAGAACCACCGATCGATGATGGAGAGGGCTTTTGCTTGTGGTTGCGCTCGAAGCGAACTAGCAGTGTCTGTTCTGTTTCATTAACCTCCACGATTCTGGCCGGCATCCAGTTACCTTCCGCGTTGAGAGCCTCCAAACGAGCTCCGATCGTTAGGTTTGTGGGATTGCTATACTTGATTGGCGAAGGTGGAAGAGGTGAATTCGAGCTGGAGCCTCCAGTGCTGGGCAAAGCCGGTGCACTGCTGGCAGGGGCAGGTGGAGCAGCCGGGGCAGCCGACTCTTCGACTGATGGCGGTTTGGGATTGTTGCTGGGGACGGGTGCTGAGGTCTGAGCCGGGGCTTCCTTTTCTTTGTCCTTTTTAGAAGCTTCCGAGGCACTGCGCTCTGCTGATTCTGCCAAAATCTGGGACACGATCTGGTCTACAGAGGCTTTGATGACTTCCTCGTTGGCGGAGGTGTGGGCTGCGCCCTGATTAACGGCTCCCTCTACGTTGGCCTGCTGAAGCGCCCGGTGGTCGGCCTCGATCTCACTGGCCTCCATTTTGCCCCAGGGAAACACAGTGGGAAAGACACGCGGTTTCAGCAGGTACTTGCCATTACGGATGGTGTTGAAGTCGAGGCGACGAAAGTGCCGTGAACAGACAAGCACGCTTTTCGTGATCTGGCGGTCGAGGCTGATGCGGGAGTTCTTGATCCAAATGGCACGGATGACGGGGTCGAGGGGAAACGAGTGGTAAGTGACGCCGTGGTGCTCCAGAAGACGCGACGTCGAGGGACAGTTGGCCACGCAGCAACGGCGGCCCATCTTGCAAAGTTTTCTTGCCCAACAGCCAATACAACTTATTGGAAGCGATTACCGCTTCTTATTTTCCAGGAAAACTGTTTTTATGACGAAATAGAAGCGATGGGAAAATTTTCAGCACCAACATGAGCTTGGAGTGTGACCAGTCTTCAAAAACCCACAAATCCAGTTAATCGAACACTATCGATATGTCCAATCGGAAATTCGAACAAAGTGGCAACATTGATGTTGGAATTAAAAACGTATTTTTGAAAATAGAAAATTTTAATTAAATATTTTATTTACGAAAATCAATATGATAATATTTTCTGTAATTCTTTAATACTTAATTTTCTAGGCGTAGCTTAAAGGTTCCGAAATTTTTTTCTTTGCGTGCAATTGAAATAAGTTTGATAGCATAAGTTGTATAAATGAGTATTTATGAATAAAAAATGTTTTTGTATATATTGAAATAATTTACTTGCTGATACTTCCCTTTTAACTTCGGCAATTCGCAATTAATCGATGCAATAATGCACTTCAGGCAAGTGAGCGTCCCATAAATATGTCCAGAGCATAGGATATCACGTGCCCCAAGGCCAACCAAATCGAAAAGCTATTTGAAATGCAATTAATGTACAACTATGGGCTGAAAACACGTCGCCACGTCCGCCATAAGACGGACACCTTGCAAAAGTTTACCAAAAGAAGAAAAAATATGCGAAATCGCTTCTGGTACTCTGCATTACACCACGGATTTTTAAAAAATAGGAAGGTGTAGTCCCAGTTTGTTGCTGAAATATTCACTTGTAGCATTTTGTAATTAAAATTTGTCTCCTGGTCATTAGCATTCAAGAAACAACAAAAAATGTTGACTCAGTGGCGCCTGGTGTTGACGGCTACTGGTAAGGTGCCAAAATTAAATACAAAAATGTTTTGGAACGAGCTCGAGAGCCTTGGCCTTCAAATATAAATGTGAAAATATTTGTATGTGTTGTCAAAATTCTTAAGCTAAATGGCAATTATAATGATGTAGTTTTATATTATGGAAATGATTAAATCAAAACGCATCAGCATAAGGTCTTTAGGTCAACGTGTTTACCTAGATATTGAGAGTGCTTCCTCTGGAAATCCCATTAATTTGCATCAATTCAATATCAAACAGTAGTGGGCTTTGAAAATGCGTAATGAAAATATTTGAAACCAAAGCACGGTTGAAGCATAAAGCAAACTTTAATTATAAAATGTTTTAACAGTCATATGCAGCTGACATAAATAATAAATTACTTGAGCAATTGTTGTTGCTATGCCGGATAATTTTATTTTTAATTTCAGACAGCCCAAAATTGACATTGAGACCGAATTGTTCGAAGGGAAATCCAAATGGGCAAACAGAGCTGAATTGTCGTTTGCATAACTATTAGTGAACATATTTGCATAAATTATCGACACTTGTGGAAATTGGGACGACTGCACCTGAAGTCACTCTCTTTCTGTGCAAATAATTAAACAATATGTAACTTGTGCAAAAATATTTCCGAAAAGAAAAACAACGCCAGCACAAAAACTTTAAGCCCAACTGACAGCGGCACTTTCTCCGTTAATATTTACCCAACTCATCGACAAATTGGCCAGGCCCAGTCCACAGACTTGGATCTCATCTCGGTCCCATCCCCAGACCCATCTACTTTGGGTCTCCCGTATCCCCCAGCCCCGAACCCTGGCTTGGGAACCCATTGCGTAAATATGTGGGTATGCGATGCGGTAATTTTTTGAATAGGCCCCGAGACTCTTGATATATTGACAGTTGGACCCAGTTCCCGGTTCCTTATCACATAAATAGTGCCACAAAAATTATCATTAAATTTGACGATTTACAGAGAGGGCCCAAGGGGGAGTCATGTAATGCAAAGAGTTTACAAAGATTAAATAAATTATGCTTACCTAAAAAACCGCTGAAATAAATACGTGTTGACCATTTAAATGGGTTGCCTAATATATATTTTTTCAGCAATGGCACATAGAGTAATTTGAATATGAAACTTAATATCATAAATTTCTCAATCCAATTTAAAGTTTGGAAATTTCATGGCTAGTAGTGGGAAAATATGAAAACGTTTTTTGAAGTATTTGATAAAATTTTATTTCCAGTTCTCTGGATCCTCCAATTTTCACATCTTAAAAATCACATGTTTTAAACAGTGAAATGAAATTTCTCAAAAATCATGCACAAACATAGGCGTGTCTTGACTTAGCTCTCGGCATAATCCGCATCAAGTGTCCCACGAGATACTTATGTCAGGTAATGAGCGGCACCTGCCTTCGTGTAACTTTTGCCGTTTTACCGATCGTCATAAAGTACAATTTAACACCGGCAAGGGACTGAGGCACAAATCTTTGTTTTTTTCCGCCTGATTTTGTTTGTTTGTGTAGGGTCGACATGCTCAGCTGCACGTGAGGGGAAGATGTACAAACGAGGAGGAGGCTAACTTATCAGGGCGATCATGTTGAAATGCGTGAATTGGGTTTTTGGTTTTCGGGCTTACTCTTCACTTTAAACGGGTGAAATTTTCGTACTCATCGCGTCTGACCTTGATCTGGCTCCGAAGCTGGGTCCGGAGAAAATAATGCATATGGGCTCGCAGCATTTCTTATGCTTATGCAATGGCAAGTGAGTGTGAATATTTCTTCTGGCCTTTTATGAGACCGTTGCATAATATTTTGGGGAGCTCTTTTTAAAATCAAACTTATAATATAAACAGAACCCGTTTGTAGCTTGATGAATCTGCCATTGAATTTAAAACATTCAATAATCTTTAATCTTCAAAAACTGTATATGGATCACTTGCGGAATCAAATCGAAATCAATCTTTAATCAACGATTCAGCTTTGCTTATGCAATTCGCCAAACTATAAATACAATGGAAAATACATACACATTTCTGAAACAAAACAAATACAAATATGTGCCGAACAATAGTTCAAAATGCATTTATTTATGCAAAGTGTAGGGAGACGCACAACAGAAAATCGAAATTTCTGTGCCAAAAAAGATTTTTGGCCCAAGTTGTGGCCCGTGTTTGTGTAGCTAATTAGATGGGAGTTAGGCCAATCCATTTGACGACCATTCAAACCAAAGTGGTGCAAAAAAAAAAAGATGAGCAAGACCCACAAAGCCTCCCCACCCACCCGACCAGCTCCCTTTTCCGTGCATCGCTTTTGGCCACTTAACATTCAAGATTGCATGTTAACTTGGCCCAAACGCAGCGCCCAACAATTTTTCCACATGCACTGAAAAAATTAAATGAGTAATATTTACATATGTATATTATTCGTTATTTATTTATTTCTGAAAGAAAAAAGACTTAAATATTTTTTATGAAGAACAAAATGTAGATGTAAATTTGTAATTGTTTTCGAATTTAAGAACACAACTTTAAAAAATTGTTGAAGTCCAATAATTCACGTCTTAAAATTGTAAGTATGCCCTATACGCTAACGTAAACCTAAAAAAAATATTCACTTATCCAAAAGTCTCTCTTTCGGGTAAATCCCTCTTCTCAGGTCGAGCGTAGCTGCATGGCTCTCGGCTCATACATATAAAAGCCGGGGTGCCCGAATGTTTTTGACATTCCAGTTGATCAGTGCCAGCCGAACGGTCGGTAGAAAGAAGCGCGACGCGATCCCAGAGAAATTGAAGCCACTGCAAGTGCGAGTGTGTGTGCGTGCCCTGCATAGACTTAAAATATATAAAAATGAAAGCTTTCATCGTCGCCGGTGTGTGTGTTTTAAGCCTGCTTAGCCTCGGCTCGGCCCAGTTCCAGAATGGGCGATTGGAGCCACCAAACCCGCAGCTCTGCGCCCAGCGTATTATCCACGAGAAGACACCCGATGGCAAAGGGTGAGTTGGCGGGGCTCTGGTGATCCATAGGAGTAGTCTCAATAATTCGTAATTGCTTATATCCCCATAGATACTTTTTCTCGTGGCGCGACCCTCAACTGAAGGGCGTGGAGGAGGACTGGCTGACCGCTAGGAACTACTGCCGTAGGCGGTGCATGGACTCTGTCTCCCTGGAGACCAGCCTGGAGAACGAGTGGATCAAGCAGCGCGTTGTTGGCGAGAATGTAAGTGAACAATATTCAAAAATAACCTAGTGGTCTTTAGTTTAGCGAGATATAGAAGAAATTTTCTTGAAATCTTGTGCACCGATCCAACTTTCCTTAAAAATTCATAAAAATCAAAAGACTTAAGACACGAACTTTTTCAGTAACTGATGTCAATATATTAAAAAAATGAATTAAAAAGTTTTTTTTACTGAATTTTTTTTATCAAATCAAGATTACAGAAAAAATAAAATTAGCTAATTTTTTTGGCCCTAAATTATCAGTCAATAAACCGTTTATCAACAGACCAAAACCCTTATATAAGCCATTCAATTGATCTCACCTTACCCGCACCTGTTTGATCAGCGTTTTATGCTTTGATTGAGGAAACAAATGGTACCAATGATATACAAAAATATGCAACTCATTGGTTATTTATAAATTTTTCCAGCGAAAGGTATCATATACTTTTATTTTGACCGCACATACCTAATAAACATAAATAGATGCCATCAAAGTGAATTTTTTACACCTTTTAGACGACGGCGGACCGAGACTAAAGAAATTGCCAATAATTTATGATATCTGCGCTTAACAATTTTGTACCTCAGCTGTTTCCCTTCGGTTTTTGCATACTATTATGTCACATATCGATTTGTTTGACATGTTAAATAACGCCGGTTTAGCCGACTGTGAACTGCTTAACGCGTTTTGTGTGCCAGCTCTGGCAGCTTACAACTCGAAACTGACCTTAATTTTGAGGATGCAGAGAAACCAAAACGTAATTGCAAAATTCGACATTAACACCGCACTGCAAAGTTCAATGTGAAATTACGCATTAAAAACAGACAGCTAAAAAACTTCGAATCATAAAAATACAGAAACTTTCCCAGTTGTTGTCTCTACAATTTCGCACACGAATGAAGATGTCTGTTGTTACGTAACACTTTTGAGATGGACAAGTGTCAAGTTTACTGCTGTGGTCAGGCCGGCTCATCCCCAATCTCCAATCTCCCATCATTCAACTCATTGCTCACCTCAAGTCGGTCTCACATGCGAAAGCAGTTAGTGGCAAATTGAAAACGAAAGTTCATATATTAGGTATGCGGTGGGAAAGCCTCGCAGGAAAAGCTACCAAACAAAATTACTTAACAAATTAGCAAACTCTGAGCACGCAAACGGATCCATGGCCAACAAAATTGACGTCTAATCGAAAAGGAAATTTAAAGTAAAGCTATGAAGAAATTTCTTAGTATAGTTTGCACGAATAACCAGGAAATGTTAGATTCGATTCAATTATTTATATTTTATTATTTTAAATTTAATTTTTTATATTACTTATATACGTACTAAATATTCAAATAGGGACACAAAACTTTCCAAGACTTTTTTCCGTCATCAAAACCGCTTTACTAATGAGTTCCCCTTCCTTATCAACTAGTCAAGTTCCCTTTTACTTGGACAGGTGCACAAAACACAATTCATTTAACATAGGCTTCCGCCATGGGGGTAAATGCATTCATTGTCCGATTTTAACAATTACAAGACCCTCTTGGCCCGGAAAACGCGCTGAACTCGCAACCGACAAAACCAAAATCAATGTCCATAAATTTGTTTCAGCTCCACGCTCATTGGAGTTTTCCAAAAGGGCAGACAGCCCATCCAAGCCGGCTGGCTCTTTGTTAGACTACCTTGTTGTATGGCTTATGCCTTTTTAACAAAACAATTTTTATGGCCCATCAGGTGAAAGTGACTGATGGACGCAAAGCTGCGGCTGCGCGGTTGCGTCTGCTGGGTCTGCTGGTTGTTCGCCTCAAATTGTTGACAGTTTCGGGTGCGGCGGCAACAAAAGGGCGCGGACTTGGAACGGGAATGAAATGGGTTCGCTTTCGGCGATAATAATGGCTGTTTGGGCGTGACAGGCCCAAAACTGTTGGCAGCTTAAATTTCTACTATTTCTGTGCTGCATGAGTTCGATGGCCAAAAACATGCTGCATTTTCCTGCGTAGGCGCTACCGTCTGGAGAAATGTATCTCTGATTTAGCATCTCAAACAGAGCAATGAACCTTTTTGAGACGGAAAATTTTTAATTTTGGGGGTTCTTGAAATTTATTTGTATTCTTAAGCTTATTCTTAACCCTTTATTAATTTAAACAAACTATGAATTTTTTTTCAGGTGAAATATATCTGGACCAGTGGCCGCTTGTGTGACTTCAAGGGCTGCGATCGCCCAGACCTCCAGCCCACCAACGTCAACGGTTGGTTCTGGACCGCCACCCTCCAGAAACTGGCCCCAACCACGGAGCGCTCCCAGGGTGACTGGTCTCCCACCGGTGGAATCGGCCTGCCTCAGCCTGACAACCGTGAATTCAAGCAGAACGGTGCCCCCGAAAACTGCCTGGCCCTGCTGAACCAGTTCTACAACGACGGTGTCAACTGGCACGATGTAGCCTGCCACCACAAGAAGTCCTTCGTCTGCGAGGAGAACGACGCCCTCCTGAAGTACGTCCGCTACACAAATCCCAACCTGCGCATTTAAATAGCCTGGAAACCGGGCGAGTAGAGCAGCGGCTCTCCAACTAAAACCAAAAATGATATTCTCTAAATGGAAGCAGCGGACGATGCTCCTGATGTCCTTGCTAGTTACTTTATAACGCAAGACTTATGATCCCTGTCCTGGTAACACATTTTCCTTTCACTGTGCTCTATTCTGTCCCATCAAATAGTTTAATTTTTAATTTTGTATTAATTTATGATTTTCCCTAATTATAATAAAACATCCGAAACGACTTTTAAAATGTATGCATTTCTAGTGTTTGAAGAATATTTTTGTGCAATGTTTAATATACCATTGATGATTCAGAATCGATCCACAAATCGTTTAAGAATCAGTTGAATATTGACAAAGATATGGACATCGCAGGGGGCCAACTTGTTCTCCCCATACGTTTTTCAAAATATTAAAGGGGATCCTCCAGAAAATTTGACAAAAAATCTAAAATATATGATGTCCCTAGATTTTGATGCAGAATGATTCAGAATCGCTCCACAAATCGTTTAAGAATCGGTTGATTACTGACAAAGATATGGACATCGCAGGGGGCCAACTTGGCCTCCTCATACATTTTTCAAAACATTAAAGGGGATCCTACAGAAAATTTGACAAAAAATCTAAAAAATATGATGCTCCTAGATTTTGATGCAGAATGATTCAGAATCGCTCCACAAATCGTTTAAGAATCGGTTGATTACTGACAAAGATATGGACATCGCAGGGGGCCAACTTGTCCTCCCCATACATTTTTCAAAATGTTGAAGGGATTCTCCAAAAAATTGACAAAAATCGAAAAAATATGATGCTTCTAGATTTTGATGCAGAATGATTCAGAATCGCTCCACAAATCGGTTAAGGTATTCCGCTTAAGAATCGGTTGATTACTGACAAAAATATAGACATCCCAGGGGGCCAACTTGTCCTCCCCATACATTTTTCAAAATGTTGAAGGGGATCCTCCAGAAAATTTGACAAAAAATCGAAAAAATATGATGTCCCTAGATTTTGATGCAGAATGATTCAGAATCGCTCCACAAGTCGTTTAAGGTATTCTGCTTAAGAATCGGTTGAATATTGACAAGGATATGGGCATCGCAGGGGGCAAACTTGTCCTCCCCATACATTTTTCAAAATTTTGAAGGGGATCCTCCAGAAAATTTGACAAAAAATCGAAAAAATATATGATGTCCCTAGATTTTGATGCAGAATGATTCAGAATCGCTCCACAAATCGTTTAAGGTATTCCGCTTAAGAATCGGTTGATTACCGACAAAGATATGGACATCGAAGGGGGCAAACTTGTCCTCCCCATACATTTTTCAAAATGTTGAAGAGGATCCTCCAGAAAATTTGACAAAAAATCGAAAAAATATGATGCTCCTAGATTTTGATGCAGAATGATTCAGAATCGCTCCACAAATCGTTTAAGGTATTCCGCTTAAGAATTGGTTGATTACTGACAAAGATATAGTCATGGCAGGAGGCCAACCTGTCCCCTCATACATTTTTCAAAATGTTGAAAAAATATGATGCTTCTAGATTTTGATGCAGAATGATTCAGAATCGCTCCACAAATCGGTTAAGGTATTCCGCTTAAGAATCGGTTGATTACTGACAAAAATATAGACATCGCAGGGGGCCAACTTGTCCTCCCCATACATTTTTCAAAATGTTGAAGGGGATCCTCCAGAAAATTTGACAAAAAATCGAAAAAATATGATGTCCCTAGATTTTGATGCAGAATGATTCAGAATCGCTCCACAAGTCGTTTAAGGTATTCTGCTTAAGAATCGGTTGAATATTGACAAGGATATGGACATCGCAGGGGGCAAACTTGTCCTCCCCATACATTTTTCAAAATTTTGAAGGGGATCCTCCAGAAAATTTGACAAAAAATCGAAAAAATATATGATGTCCCTAGATTTTGATGCAGAATGATTCAGAATCGCTCCACAAATCGTTTAAGGTATTCCGCTTAAGAATCGGTTGATTACTGACAAAGATATAGTCATGGCAGGAGGCCAACCTGTCCCCTCATACATTTTTCAAAATGTTGAAGGGGATCCTCCAGAAAATTGGACAAAAAATCGAAAAAATATGATGTCCCTAGATTTTGATGCAGAATGATTCAGAATCGCTCCACAAGTCGTTTAAGGTATTCTGCTTAAGAATCGGTTGAATATTGACAATGATATGGACATCGCCGGGGGCAAACTTGTCCTCCCCATACATTTTTCAAAATGTTGAAGGGGATCCTCCAGAAAATTGGACAAAAAATCGAAAAAATATGATGTCCCTAGATTTTGATGCAGAATGATTCAGAATCGCTCCACAAGTCGTTTAAGGTATTCTGCTTAAGAATCGGTTGAATATTGACAAAGATATAGTCATCGCAGGGGCCAACTTGTCCTCCCAATACATTTTTCAAAATGTTGATGGGTATCCTCCAGAAAATTTGACAAAAAATCGAAAAAATATGATGCTCCTAGATTTTGATGCAGAATGATTCAGAATCGCTCCACAAATCGGTTAAGGTATTCCGCTTAAGAATCGGTTGATTACTGACAAAGATATAGTCATGGCAGGAGGCCAACCTGTCCCCTCATACATTTTTCAAAATGTTGAAGGGGATCCTCCAGAAAATTGGACAAAAAATCGAAAAAATATGATGTCCCTAGATTTTGATGCAGAATGATTCAGAATCGCTCCACAAGTCGTTTAAGGTATTCTGCTTAAGAATCGGTTGAATATTGACAAAGATATAGTCATCGCAGGGGGCCAACTTGTCCTCCCCATACATTTTTCAAAATGTTGAAGGGGATCCTCCAGAAAATTTGACAAAAAATCGAAAAAATATGATGTCCCTAGATTTTGATGCAGAATGATTCAGAATCGCTCCACAAATCGTTTAAGGTATTCCGCTTAAGAATTGGTTGATTACTGACAAAGATATAGTCATGGCAGGAGGCCAACCTGTCCCCTCATACATTTTTCAAAATGTTGAAAAAATATGATGCTTCTAGATTTTGATGCAGAATGATTCAGAATCGCTCCACAAATCGGTTAAGGTATTCCGCTTAAGAATCGGTTGATTACTGACAAAAATATAGACATCGCAGGGGGCCAACTTGTCCTCCCCATACATTTTTCAAAATTTTGAAGGGGATCCTCCAGAAAATTTGACAAAAAATCGAAAAAATATATGATGTCCCTAGATTTTGATGCAGAATGATTCAGAATCGCTCCACAAATCGTTTAAGGTATTCCGCTTAAGAATCGGTTGATTACTGACAAAGATATGGACATCGCAGGGGGCAAACTTGTCCTCCCCATACATTTTTCAAAATGTTGAAGAGGATCCTCCAGAAAATTTGACAAAAAATCGAAAAAATATGATGTCCCTAGATTTTGATGCAGAATGATTCAGAATCGCTCCACAAATCGTTTAAGGTATTCCGCTTAAGAATTGGTTGATTACTGACAAAGATATAGTCATGGCAGGAGGCCAACCTGTCCCCTCATACATTTTTCAAAATGTTGAAGGGGATCCTCCAGAAAATTGGACAAAAAATCGAAAAAATATGATGTCCCTAGATTTTGATGCAGAATGATTCAGAATCGCTCCACAAGTCGTTTAAGGTATTCTGCTTAAGAATCGGTTGAATATTGACAATGATATGGACATCGCCGGGGGCAAACTTGTCCTCCCCATACATTTTTCAAAATGTTGAAGGGGATCCTCCAGAAAATTGGACAAAAAATCGAAAAAATATGATGTCCCTAGATTTTGATGCAGAATGATTCAGAATCGCTCCACAAGTCGTTTAAGGTATTCTGCTTAAGAATCGGTTGAATATTGACAAAGATATAGTCATCGCAGGGGCCAACTTGTCCTCCCCATACATTTTTCAAAATGTTGCAGGGGATCCTCCAGAAAATTTTACAAAAAATCGAAAAAATATGATGCTCCTAGATTTTGATGCAGAATGATTCAGAATCGCTCCACAAATCGGTTAAGGTATTCCGCTTAAGAATCGGTTGATTACTGACAAAGATATAGTCATGGCAGGAGGCCAACCTGTCCCCTCATACATTTTTCAAAATGTTGAAGGGGATCCTCCAGAAAATTGGACAAAAAATCGAAAAAATATGATGTCCCTAGATTTTGATGCAGAATGATTCAGAATCGCTCCACAAGTCGTTTAAGGTATTCTGCTTAAGAATCGGTTGAATATTGACAAAGATATAGTCATCGCAGGGGCCAACTTGTCCTCCCAATACATTTTTCAAAATGTTGATGGGTATCCTCCAGAAAATTTGACAAAAAATCGAAAAAATATGATGCTCCTAGATTTTGATGCAGAATGATTCAGAATCGCTCCACAAATCGGTTAAGGTATTCCGCTTAAGAATCGGTTGATTACTGACAAAGATATAGTCATGGCAGGAGGCCAACCTGTCCCCTCATACATTTTTCAAAATGTTGAAGGGGATCCTCCAGAAAATTGGACAAAAAATCGAAAAAACATGATGTCCCTAGATTTTGATTCAGAATCGCTCCACAAATCGTTTAAGGTATTCCGCTTAAGAATCGGTTGATTACCGACAAAGATATGGACATCGCAGGGGGCAAACTTGTCCTCCCCATACATTTTTCAAAATGTTGAAGGGGATCCTCCAGAAAATTGGACAAAATATCGAAAAAATATGATGTCCCTAGATTTTGATGCAGAATGATTCAGAATCGCTCCACAAATCGTTTAAGGTATTCCGCTTCAGAATCGGTTGATTACTAACAAAGATATGGACATCGCAGGGGGCAAACTTGTCCTCCCCATACATTTTTCAAAATTTTGATGGGGATCCTCCAGAAAATTTGACAAAAAATCGAAAAAATATGATGTCCCTAGATTTTGATGCAGAATGATTCAGAATCGCTCCACAAATCGTTTAAGGTATTCCGCTTAAGAATCGGTTGATTACCGACAAAGATATGGACATCGCAGGGGGCAAACTTGTCCTCCCCATACATTTTTCAAAATGTTGAAGGGGATCCCCCAGAAAATTGGACAAAATATCGAAAAAATATGATGTCCCTAGATTTTGATGCAGAATGATTCAGAATCGCTCCACAAATCGTTTAAGGTATTCCGCTTAAGAATCGGTTGATTACCGACAAAGATATGGACATCGCAGGGGGCAAACTTGTCCTCCCCATACATTTTTCAAAATGTTGAAGGGGATCCTCCAGAAAATTGGACAAAATATCGAAAAAATATGATGTCCCTAGATTTTGATGCAGAATGATTCAGAATAGCTCCACAAATCGTTTAAGGTATTCCGCTTAAGAATCGGTTGATTACCGACAAAGATATGGACATCGCAGGGGGCAAACTTGTCCTCCCCATACATTTTTCAAAATGTTGAAGGGGATCCTCCAGAAAATTTGACAAAATATGGAAAAAATATGATGTCCCTAGGTTTTGATGCAGAATGATTCAGAATCGCTCCCCAAATCGTTTAAAGTATTCCGCTTAAGAATCGGTTGATTACTGACAAAGATATGGACATCGCAGGGGGCCAACTTGGCCTCCTCATACATTTTTCAAAACATCAAAACATTAATCCTACAGAAAATTTGACAAAAAATCGAAAAAATATGATGTCCCTAGATTTTGATGCAGAATGATTCAGAATCGCTCCACAAATCATTTAAGGTATTCCGTTTAAGGATCGGTTGAATATTGACAAAGATATAGTAATCGCAGGGGGCATATTGGTCCACTCCATGTCTTTTACAATTTTTGAAGGAGGATCCCTTAGAAAATTTATAACATAAATTTTAAAAAAAAATGTACTGCTTTAGCAACAAGCTACATAAATGAATTTAAACTTCGCGGGCTATCGATACCTTCTTATCGGACTTGTATAACTGTCTGGCAGCACTTGTCGTCAGCGCCTTGGCAATCATGGCAAACTAAAGTAAACATTTAGTAGTAGTAAACATATTAGTAGTAAACATACTTAGTCTAGTACCTACATATGTTATTATTTGTAAATAAACCACAATTTTCAAAGAGGTTCTTTGCTACGTGTGAACATCAATATATATAATGAAGAACTGGAAACGGATCTTTTGGCAAATGCCGGAATATTGCAGAGGTCGATTTAAGTGAGTTTTGTAGAAAGTTATAAACATTTCTAAATGACTCCTTTAAGTTCCCTAGGTGGGACACCAAGATGAGCCTCCGAAATACCTCTCTCAGGAATGTCCCCCCGTACGATGGCCCCCCGGCACACGGATGAGATGCCGCATACCTGCCTCATTCCGCGGAGATACTTAGCATCCAGCCGCAAACACTGATGTGTGGACATTCTACTATCACTGCGATAAGAGGAATCCCAGCTTCTAAAACTAGCCGTGATAAAATACACTTCGGCGAACGTTTGCATCGGTGCCTAATCTGCATTAGATTTTTAACAGGGCAGGTCAGCTACGAAATAGGAGATGCGTCATGATGCCGGAGAGTGATAGGCTGGAGACGGATATTTTTGGCGCCGCCAATTTGCAACGGTTTTACCTATCAGCAGTCTTATCTGCAGGCTAGAATTCTTCTTGCAAAGCTAAGGTGATGTTTTTAGCTCAGAGCAGTTCAAGAGCTTAAATCAAAAAGATGTACCTAAGTCGAGTGTTTGGAATAATATTGATAGTGTTGCTGGTTCAAGGAAGCTTCGCCTCAAGGCGTAAGACTAGAGCAGTGCACGTTAAACTACCCGGCAGGTATGTTATTTAAATTTACTTAGTAACTAAATAAAATATAATTCTCTTTTAGCAACAATGTGGCTCTGACCGCCGCAGTGCGCAGTCTTAAGGATAAGATTGACGAGCAAACTAAAATCTTAGGTCGTCTGGCCAATGCCACGGAGCAGTTATCCACCAAAACAGATGCTATACCTCGCAACTGCGCTTTTACCGAGAAGTACGGGTACACCCGCATTCAGTTGGAGGAGTCCAGCCAACCATTTGACGTTTTCTGCGAGCAGGCCCTGAATGAGGGAGGATGGACATTGGTTCTGCAACGCTTTAACGGCACCAAGCGCACCGCCAAGGAGTTTCGTGAGGGATACAATAGCGTCCAGGCTGGAGAATACTTCCTGGGAACCGATAAATTGTACGCATTGACCCATTCGCGGGATCACGAGCTGCTTTTCGTAATGGAGTTTGTTGACCGGTCAACGCGCACCTACCAGGCCCAGCGATTTGTACTTAACAGCCCCCAGGCGCACTTCGTTTGGTCGCAGGAGCAGGACACTGCTCGCTACAATTGGCAAACGTGGGAGCAGGAAATAGCTCGCCTGCCAGCTGGCAGTTCCTGGGAATCCCTTGAACCCTGCCACTCTACTATCTGTGGCCCGGAACGCTTGTGAGTTAATACCAGTACTTCATAGATGCAATATACTCTAAACAATTTTTTGTTGATTTAGCCTGGTCTTCTTGCTCAAGTGGAACTTTGCCAGGGGAAACCAAAGTCCTATGGTGGGACGCCCGGCTATTCGACTCTTCAAGCTGTTGCTCCGCCCCTCCAATGCTTACTGGTCATCCAACAATAAATAAGGCATTCCGATTGTAATATGAACGATGTAATCTTTAAATGGTATGGTATCCATTAAAATAAAAGACACTAACACGAATTTTACATTTTCAAATCTTTTATTGCATGCAGGTAAGAGTTAGTAATGTTTCATTTTGTAATTGGTTTACACTTTGATTTTGCAATTATCCTACAAGTTACAACAAATGACGCAGTTACATGCTTGCTATATATATATATGAGAATATATATATATATCCGTATAATATTTAGATGTATATCGGGTCGTATGGTATATTCTTTGATGAAGTTAAATTATAATTGAAGAGACAAACTTGTACTCGTAATAACTTGCACTGGGCTGAGGGCAAGATTAGCCGTTTGATTTTAATTTTCATATCTAACCCTCTGGTAGGGCGTTACCAATCCTATTTGTACAGTAATGTATAAGTATATCTATATACGGGTGTATATATAAATATTGTTAGTCATCAGATTTGATTTTCATGCATTTTTTTCGAATAATGTACTTGGCTTAATTTAATTAATGGTAATTTACGAAATTAGATTAGTTCATCGGGTGTATCCACGTATGGCTCAATTCTCTTTGGGATTCGCTTCGGGTCGTATCTTTGTCTTCCATTATGGCGGCGGGATAGCTGCACTCCTTCCACAGCTACATCGGATTCAGTTTTTCATTCAATTCGGTTTGGTTTTCGGGATCGGGATCGGGTCAGGGTCTATGTCAGGGTTACGGGTTTCTTTATTTGGGTCACTTAGCCTACAAAAGCGTCGCCTCTGGGTAAACAGAAATAAGGGGAAAAAACCATTTTAATGCTATCCGAGTGAAAAGATTGAGAGGGTCAACATGTGAGAAAACAGGTGCAAAACTGGGTGCCTTTCTATTCTTTTCTTTCTCGTTCTTAGAGCGCTGATCCTTGATCCTTTCGACTGCGATACTTACGCGCCTGCACGCCCAAGTCGTCTAGAAGCAGCTCGCTGGAGGACTTGGACCGCTTGGGAAAGATCAGAGCCTTGCGCAGCGGAGTCACATGTGCGATGGCCACCTGGGATCGGGACTGGGGTTTGGGCGGCGGCCGGGGTGCCCTCTTCTGCTTTTGCGAAGGCTTTCTCAGCTGCTGGACAAAGGACTTGCTGACCGTGGAGCCACGGTTGAAGTCCCCAGCATCGTTGAGGGCCGACTCCGCCGGGTACTTTTGCAACTTGTGATCCTGCGACTTCAGACGTTCGAAGAGGTTCGTGAGGGTCCGGGATCGCGGTGGTGCTGGAGCCGGATATTTATTTACATTCAGGGCCGGAGTACTGTGCTTGGGCGTTCGTCCTGCCTTGCTGTTGGTGGGCGTGGTCGCTGCTGTGGCCGCCCGACTGGCAAACACCTCGTCGTCCAGCTCGCTGAGGCTCACCAGCATGTGCTCATCCTCGAAGAGATCGTCGATGTTCGTCTGGGTGTGGGTGTGGGTGCGGCTGCGATCCTGGCCCCTGCCCACCTCACTTCCATCGTCATCATACCGCGAGAATATCTCGTCGAAGGCGGCGTTCACTATGAAGGATTCGTCTTGCAACTCCTCAGGCTCCTCAACGCTTCCGCGCCTACCCAAGGTGCCGAACAGATTCTTGCGATAGTCCTCGAACGTAGACTGAGGCAGATGTTCCGTGGAGCGGCGCTGAGCTGGCTGCCAGAAGTGGGAGGCCAAGGTCTGGGTGCTGCAGCTATTGGTCAGTAGGGTGCCCTCGTGCATGGATTGCTGCTGTGGCTGCGACTGTGTTCGTGAGCGTGCTAGTGGCAACTGCTTTTGCTGCAATTGCATTTGCTGGTGCTGATGTTGCTGCAATCGCTGGCGGTGCATCTGCTGCACCAACCGCTGGCGCATCTCCTGGGAGCGGCGCTTCAGCTGGCTGTACTTGCTCTGGGTGCTGCTGGCTTCATACTTACTCAGCTCCCGGTCGCGGTCCAGCCTCTCCTGCTCCTCCGCCTCGGCCAGGCGGCGTTGCAGGGCCAGGGTCTCGAACGTGTGCACCACGCTCCCCACATGGGTGTTGATCTCCGGTATGCCCAAATCACCGCTAAAAAGATCCGCATTCCGTCTGGCCAGCGTGTTGGGCGCATGGCCATGCCCATGTCCGGGAGCGTGGCAGTGCCTAAGAGGCGGCACGGGACAGCGGGAATCTGGAAACTGCTCAAGGAACTCGCAGGAATCCTGCTGCCAGAGGAGGTTGCCCAGTTCGTCGTGGCCAACGCTTCTGGCCTGGGAACTCGACTGGAGGTGTAAGCGTGTTCGGTTGTTGTTTGTGGTGTGGTGGTTGTTGATGTTGTAGTTGATGTTGTTGTTGTTGTGTGGTTTGGCAGATATTTCAAGCAATTCATTAATGAAACAAATAAACAAAATGAGATTAGCCGAGTTTTTGGATGGCCAAGAAACACGATCTGCTTTCGGTGCTAAGGTCGGGGTGGTTGGTGAGCTTTTCGGGTTTCAGAGGTTTTTCAGAGGGGCCGAGGGTCAGGGGCTGGTGGGCCTTGCTTAGGTCTACAATAGATATATCTAGTTTTGTTGGCTTAACCATTCTATGTACACAGTAAACAATAAGCTGTTTGCAATCTCAGTGGCTTTCGATTGCATTCGCCTTCGACAATGCCTAGAACTAATTTAGTTTATAGACTAAGTAAATATTCAATTCATTTAGGGGCTATATCATTCGAAAACAACAAGCGCCTAACGTATTATTTGATCTAAAACATTGAACTCCCACTGTAGCCTGTGGTATACGTATGTATTTTTAATTGTGTGGGTGGCTGTGTGTCTATGGATTGCAGCTGCATTCCAAAAAATTCTCCAAATTGTGTGTCCTGCAGCCGCAAAACTAAGAATTTTCATCAGAAATGTATCCTGGATACAGCATCAAGAATGCATCAATCAAAAAAACCAATTGCTGAACCCAAATGTGTGATGTCTAGTGCTTTGATTATGGTTAAAAGTCGTAAAAGGTGTTCCAAAAACGAGGATATTGCATGTTTGGTATGTCAAAAACAATAAAAAAGCAATTAAGGATACTCGAATGTCGTGTGATTTTATATTAGTTTCACTATTACTTGATTTTTAATTGATTATTAATAAGCGGTTTCAAATAAACAATAATAAAATGTTATACTAACTTCTCTGAATGTTTCTCTTTTTTAGAATTTTGGAACACCCTTTACCATCCTTGTGTTCGATTAGTGTTTCTGTGTTAGTGTGCGTGCATCTAATAGTAGTTATTATCAAACGGTAGGCTATCACTAGAGCTGGAGTAGTGTTGCTGCTGCGACTGCTGTTGATGAAGTTGCTGATTGCTGCAACCGTTGCGCTTAAGCTGCTTGTTGTTGCTGCTGGCGCATTTCTGTTGCTGTTGCTGCTGCTGTTGCTGCTTGTGCATGGCCTTAAAATCGTCCTGCGACTTGCTGCTACTGCCCTTGGAGCCGTGCTTGCCGTTCTTGTGACCCTTTCCGTGCTTGGGGTGCTTCAGGCTGTGGTGCTGTTGGTGCTGCACCTGCGACTGTGGCTGCTGCTGCACATGCGGATGACTGTACCGCTCGCCACCGTGCTGCGGATGGTAGTGGTGCTCAATGGCCAAGTTGTTGCTGCTGTGATAGTGTTGCTGGTGCTGTTGGTGGTTCGAGTTGTCGCTTGCAGTGCCGCTGCTGCCGTAGCTATAGATCTGTGACTTGGACTGGCTGCGGTGCTGCTGTTGCTGCTGCAATGTGGCCACACTGTAGTGGTCCAGGCTGTCAAAAGTCTGAAGGTAATGCGGGTTGATCTGGGTGCAGTAATCCCCACTCGTCTGCTGTTGCTTGCGATCCAGTGTGTTGCGTGCGGCTCCGGGATGTGGTTGGTAGGTCAAGTGCTGGTAGTGCGACTCCTGCTGCTGTTGCTGCTTGGCTCCGTTCTTCATCGGCAGTGGCGGCGGTTGGGGCGAGGACTTCCTTCCGTTGCCGCTCGACTTGAAGCTGCTGTTGCCGCTGTGCAAAGTCAGGCTGTTGTTGCTATTGCTGTGGTTGCTATTGCTGTTACTGCACTCCGACTTGGTCTTGATGGCCACGAACGCATTCGGCAGCGGCGGTAGCAGTGGCGGCGTGCCGGTGGGCGTGGCCACCGTGGTCGCCGGCGAGCTGGAAGTGGTTGCCGCTGCTGCAAGGGGGACTGCTGCCAGTTCCCGCTCCCGCTCGCGCTACGCGATGTGATGACCGCCAAATGTGCGAAGTACCGGCACGCTCTGATTTGTGGTGTTTGTTGTGGGTGTTGGGGGATTGTTGTGGGTGGTTGAGTGGTTGGTTGTTGGTTTTCGGTTGGTGGTGTTGTGGAGTGGAGTTCACATTACAATTGTGGTGTGCGGTGTGGAGTTGGTGTTGGTGTTGGTTAAATGCGCATTGGTTGGTTGGTTGGTTGGTTGTTATCGGAAAATGAAATGTCAGAGCGTAAAAGAGACGAAAAAGGAAAAGAGTAGACACTTATCATATAAATTGTGTATGACATAAGTATATAAATATTTTTTGCTAAAGAGAGTATACGTAGGTGTCGTTCTGTGTGGTTAGCATGTGGTGTATATTGTTTCGGTATCAGAATGGATTGGGAAAGTGCGTCCGTTGTGGGATTTCGTAGGACTTAGCGGCACTTGCCGTTTCCGGTTCGTAGTCCATATACAAAGTTTATATTTTACACATACAGCTACGCTTTGATTCACGAGGTACAAGTGCTCAAATCGAACCAGTTTGCATACAAGTAAAATCAAAATCAAGTTGCACTACATAGATATTTACATTATGGTGATTAATCAAGGCATCTAGCGCCTTGTGAGCTTCAAGACATTCATTGGGCAAGCGTTCAACTTACATTTAGATTAGTTTGGGGTGCATTTTGGTGGGAACTTGGCGGGTATTTCATGCATGGATGCAGTTGCAGGCGGGGTTGGGTGAGGCGTGGCAAGCAGGCTAATTGGCTGGCGAAACTTATTAAATTCAGTTGCAATTTACCGCTACACACCCCCGCACACACTCGTCTAATTAGTCGGGGGTAATTTGGGAAAATTGAACATCAAGTTGGCATCAAGTTAACTTAAACGGAGTTTTCCTGTTTAAGGACCTGCGATTCGCGTACCATATAATGTAGGTCTGAGGTAGATAATTTTTACATTAAATTAAAAAAGTTTCCGGCAGTAAGAGCAACTGTTTTTTCTATCTTTGTCGTTCCCCACTGTCTGGGGAGGCACTGTAAATGCACTTTATGCATAGTCAATAACGCACCCACTCGCACACACATACACACGAGCATCGCCAGGAGCCATTCTTAGCGCGTTGGGGATCTGGGGCACGGAGGGCAGAGAAAACTTTCAGGCGCTCACTCAATGCACTCTCCAAGACACTACAGGGCGCACTTGTCGAGCAACTTGGCTCAACGGAAAAGTTGACAAGCATTGACATAATTTTACGCGCAATGACAACTTGAAGGAGCCGCAGGATGTGTCTTCACGGACCCTCAAGTACAGGCAAATAAGCGCGTAAGTAAGTGCCACACAGCCAGAAGCATACCATTCTCTTAGAAGATCGGAACAAGTGGCGGTGGCAATGCCAATGGCACTGCATTTTCTGCATCATTTAGTTACATGGAAAAATTGATGGAAATTTAATATACTTGCCATATAATTGCGGCGAACATTTGTCGGGTAATGATGGATGACTGTGAATCGAAGACCGGGCCATCTGCTGCCGGGCCAGGAGCACCAGAGTCCCCCCAAAAGCTAGGACCAGCTCAGAAGCAACATCATCAACAGCAGCCGGAAATGGGAAATGGGGGAAAGGGAATGCCAACGGCTACGGGAATGGGGTGCACTCGGCGGAAGTTCAACTCAGTGCCACAAAAATTTGAAAACTTTGTAAACAAAACTTTGAGCTTGGCACTTTTGCTGCTGGCGCGAAACGAAACGAAAAACATCAGGCGACGATCCGCAGGACCTTTAGGATAAAAATGGCTGAGCCCTCTTCACTCCCTCGCGATTCCCCAACCCCCCCGTTCCCCACTGTTTCCCTTGGCCCAGCCTGTCAACTGCACAAAGTTTTCCACACGGCAAATGGTAACTGAACTTGCTCGAAACTTGGACGAGGACAGGCACTGGAGTTGAACTGGAATCCACTCTGCATACAACAACAAAGGCGTTCATCAATTGTCCGGCGGATGTTAAGTTCAGTTAGAGCGGGACGGGGCGAAAGAGATAGAGATATAGAGTGAGCAGTGACAGCGACAGTGACAACGCCGACGACAGTTGCAGCCACGCTTCCGCTAAGCTCGCTACATCCGCCACCCAAATCACCGTTCTTCCTTGCTGCCCCATGTCCTTATACCTATCGGGTTTCCTAAGCCATACAGACACAGAAAAAAATACACCATTAAAGAGAGATTAAAGATTAGAATAAAGATATATGTACACCATTAAAGATTAGGTTCTACATTTAAATTCCACTAGCTTTATATAACGATTTTTATCAAAACACCCATTAAAGATATATACTGCAAATAATGCCCTACTTTTTCTTTTCAGTGCAGCTATTCCACTCACACACTGATCAAAGCTAACTGCACTTCAAAAATGGCTTCTATCTGCCGTACAACTGCAGTACTACAAAGCACTGGCAACGCAAAAAAATGTACAAAAATATTCTTTTGTAAATATTACTTTGCTGCTGCTACTGCTGCTGTCGAATAAGAAAAAGAAGTGGAAGATGGCTCAGCTCGTTTTGCATTTCATTTGAGGAAAATGCTACAAGTTTTTCCCGCAGCTGCCGCTTTCCACAGGATCCGCCATACCCACTCGCCTCGCCCCCGCAAGTATCCTCACGCATGCTTGTGTTGTTGCTGCTTTGTGTACAATTGTAATAACTATCTCGGCGAGTGTTTGAAATGCGTTTACCGAAAACTTTTACGGCTCTGGCGCTACAAGAGTGCAAGAATGTTTACGGTTTTCTTTCCTTTCTTCTGGCATTTTCGTCCGGAGAAGGGCCATGGGTATTGCCTTTCTTATTTCAGATTTAAATAAAAAAAAGACATTGTAATGGCGCATAAAGGACGCCCAAAAAAGTATGCTACGCTTTATTTCGTCGCCAAGAAAAAAATATTACGTATACGCCATGTTCACAGAATGCAGTAATGAACCTTAAACGAAAAGATATGGCTGTCATTTTAATTGTCACCATCACTGCTTTTGTTTTTGAATGCAACTAGGGAGTTTCATG